GTATGGTGTTCTTTAGATGCAACTCAGCATTCTTTGTCCTCCAAACACGACGAGTTGAGTTTTTACCAAAAAGTTCTATTTTGGTTTCATCTGACCATATGACATTCTCCCAATCCTCTTCTGGATCATCCAAATGCACTCTAGCAAACTTCAGACGGGCCTGGACATGTACTGGCTTAAGCAGGGGGACACGTCTGGCACTGCAGGATTTGAGTCCCTGGCGGCGTAGTGTGTTACTGATGGTAGGCTTTGTTACTTTGGTCCCAGCTCTCTGCAGGTCATTCACTAGGTCCCCCCGTGTGGTTCTGGGATTTTTGCTCACCGTTCTTGTGATCATTTTGACCCCACGGGGTGAGATCTTGCGTGGAGCCCCAGATCGAGGGATATTATCAGTGATCTTGTATGTCTTCCATTTCTTAATAATTGCTCCCACAGTTGATTTCTTCAAACCAAGCTGCTTACCTATTGCAGATTCAGTCTTCCCAGCCTGGTGCAGATCTACAATTTTGTTTCTGGTGTCCTTTGACAGCTCTTTGGTCTTGGCCATAGTGGAGTTTGGAGTGTGACTGTTTGAGGTTGTGGACAGGTGTCTTTTATACTGATAACAAGTTCAAACAGGTGCCATTAATACAGGTAACGAGTGGAGGACAGAGGAGCCTCTTAAAGAAGAAGTTACAGGTCTGTGAGAGCCAGAAATCTTGCTTGTTTGTAGGTGACCAAATACTTATTTTCCACCATAATTTGCAAATAAATTCATTAAAAATCCTACAATGTGATTTTCTGGATTTTTTTCCTCAATTTGTCTGTCATAGTTGACGTGTACCTATGATGAAAATTACAGGCCTCTCTCATCTTTTTAAGTGGGAGAACTTGCACAATTGGTGGCTGACTAAATACTTTTTTCCCCCACTGTATAATAGTGCTGCCCCTGTGAGGCTGTTGGTGTGTGAGGCAGTCTGAAAGTCATGAGTTTATCATCTACAGTGGCGACCGACAGGGAACAAAGGTTGTGTGATATTTAAATGCTGGTGTGAGCCACTCCGGGACATGCTGACTAATTGGTGAGCGCAAGTATGTGTCTTGGAATGGGGGAGGGGTTTGTGGGTTCGCTAGCCAGACACACGGACAGCTGCAGTTATTCCCTTCAACTGCCTCCAATCTCCCTCAGTCAAGTTATCCACTGCTCTTCAGCGTGTGTGTGTGTGTTTCTGTGTGTGTGTGTGTGTGTGTCGGTGTGGGTGACTGTGTTTGTGTACGTGTTCATTATCTGGGTGTCACTTTGAGTGCTTGAGCTCAACTTGGGTCCTCGCCCATTTCTGTGCTCCACCTCTCTGGCACTTCTGCTGGCCACATGGAATGCTCAGCCCTCAGTAAAACTAATTTCCCTCTCTGAGTCTACTGTACTGGTAACTGGACTTACAGGCAACATCTGTTTTTTGCTGTAGGGAACAGTTAAAGTGGGGTTCTGCCCCAATTAAACACTTACCTGCCTTGTCAACTTGATGTACAAATACAACATGATGTATTACATTTTAGTCATTTAGCAGACGCTCTTATCCAGAGCAACTTACAGTTAGTGAGTGCATACATTTTTCATACGCCCCCCCCGTGGGAAACAAACCCACAACCCTTGCGTTGCAAGCACCATGCTCTACCAACATTACGCTTTACATTTCAGTAATTTAGCAGACGCTATTATCCAGAGCGACTTACAGTTAGTGAGTGCATACATTTTTTTTTATATATATACACCAGGGTTGTGGGATTCGAACCCACAACCCTGGTGTTGCAAACGCCATGCTCTACCAACTGAGCTACACCCCCAAGGTAAAAGTTGTCATATTAGTGTCAGTTTAGTGAGGCCCTAAGACAAAATGACAGTAGCTAAAAGTAGTCTCTTTGGGGTAAACCCAGTTGTTAAAGTGGCAAAATGTAAACCCACTCCAGTGTTCGTTTCACCTAATTTAACACCTCTTTACTTAACAAAAGGCACATCTCAATAGGTGGTCCAGGTAAATCATGACATAGCACAAGTGGGGGTGGGCCTTTCCTCTTTTGTTCTCTATTGCTCCCCTATTGTTCCTCAAGCAAGGGGGAGGCCAATGACATCACGACTTCCCATCAAACCAACTCCTTGAATGCCCTACTCCTTGAAGTTTGTAGTTGTGTCTAAAAAACACTATTTTGCTAAAAACATGTATTTTTTACCCTTTAGTGTATGTACTTTAATGTATTTATACTTGGGAAATCGTTTTTCAACAATAAAAGTTTGAAACTCACTGGAGGACCTCTATTACAGCATCGTTTTCTCCTAGTTCCTCTTTGTCAGTCACACCTGCTCTTAAACTTAACTGAATATTCATAACACAACATATGAATATGTAATTTGTCAAATGTTTTATCATAACTGTTATGTCACATTTTAAAGCTGCATGCTTATTGTTGTCACTGCTTCCTTATTCAAAACAGGAATGCATCTAGGAACCGAGAGAATGTATTTTCATTACATTGTTGAGTGTGGTTTAATTATACAAGTTTGGGTGGCATTGGACGTCAGCAAGCCAACCCAAGGCTGTAGCTTCAACAAATGGCCCTTTTGTAAAGAATTATGTATTTCAGTTACATTCGCCTGATCTTCTGGTTTTAGTGCTGTACCCACCCTTTACTTGTTGGCCTTTCTACTGTGATATTCTATACTAGCTCCTTCCTCATTCTAAAAGGAAGATACAGTACTGTATCATCTTTGGGGATTAGGGACAACCAGGGCACATTTCCTGTGTTTAGTGTATTTATGATATGTGCCAAATATGTGGGCCAAAATAATGTCATGGGGAAACTTTCATGGAATAAACGATTTGTCCTATTTTTCCGATGTATCATGCCAACACTTTTGAACAGACCCTCCAGAAGTCTCTGAAGCTGAGGAAGGCGTCTGACACGCTGAATTGTAAGCCTATTAGTTTGCCCTGGATAAACCTAAAGATCAATGCGGATATCTGATTTCTTCTCTGGGATAGTCATCTTATAACCTGGGGTAAGATTTTTTTTCTGGCCTCCTGAAATCCTGTTCCTGGCCAATGCCTCTGCACTTCTATTCTCCTTTGCTTCCCCCTCTGTTTTTTTTTTTTTACTTCTCCTGGCTTCCCTTCCTATATCTCCCCTCTTCCTCGGACACAGTGCAGTTGCGGTGGCGTTCATACTGACCTCCTGCACCCCTACACTCCCACCTATTCACTGCGCTACTCTGACATTGGCCTCCTCCCCAACTCTGGAACTCCCTCTCCATGTCAGAACCTCACAATCCATACACATATTCAAGTCCACACTAAAGACACACCTCCTCACACAGGCTTACCCAGATTCTCTTTTGTCTTAGCTTTTATCCTCTGTCTAATTCACCTCCTTGGTTAGTCTGTCATCATGTTAGTGTCCTCCATGGTTAGTCTGTCCTTATGTTTAGTGTACTTTGACATACTTACTTATTTTTATGTGTGATTTTATAGCTTTTTATCCTACTGATTTTCTTGTGCATGTAAAGTGACTTTGGGTGTCGTGAAAAGCGCTTAAAATAACATTTATTATTATTATTCACACACTATGTGTGACACGGTTTGCGAGTAGCCTTCACTCTCGCACTCACTCTCTCTTACTCTCTCTTTCACTCTCTCTCACCCGCTGTCTCGCTCCCCCTCTCACTGCGCTGAGCTGATTGAAAGCAGCAGCTGCTTTCTCAGTGGCTGTTACCTGAACTGAGGGAGGAAGTGATAGTTGGGGAGAGCCGTCACCGCGCCAAGGGGTGCCAGCTGTCCTATATCGGGAATTGAACAGTGATGGGGACCGCAAGGAGACCGCAAGGCCCTGAGTCTGACCTCTCCACAGCACCCAAAACACAGAATGGACTTCCACAGCATCCTTTGGAATAGGCTCTATGGATTAGAATATATTGATAATATATTGGGCAATAGTAATATTCACGTCATCATATCTTTGTGGTGCTGGAGATGAAATAAATCAATATTTACATTGTTTTTGACTGTTCTTTTGGAAAAGGTTGACTATAATGTTGTAAAAAAAAAACATGCAGAGTCATTTTTATCATTATTTATCATAAAACACACTCACTGACTAGGGTATGGGGAAAAGGAACTGTAGAATGTAGAATTAAATGTAGAACGTAGAACATAGAACTGCAATCACAGTTACATCACCCAACTTTGATGCAGTGTTATTGAATTTAACATTGCTTTTGGACTGGGTGGGCAACACATAGGCCTACAGCAAGGAGAGGTTTATCATGCCTTTTACTATATTTATTGGAGAATTTGATTGATATGATCATTATAGGAAAGCACTCAGCATTACAATGTGAGTGGAGAATCTATCAGGAGTCCCTCACACTCATTGATCACTATATTCACTCACCTTGGCCTGGTCTGAACCTCTTCTGAATCTGAATGTGTGTGAGATGTGGTGGAGGTGCCCTCCAGGCCATTAAAACAATGAGTCTGGGTCTCCCTTCTCAGCGCACTGTTTGAGTGCAAATCTCTGAATTTGAATACTCTTGTTATACTGATTGGGTCACCTAGAGTCAATACCGGTGGATGGGGATAACGAGAAAAGCCAGGGGCATTTCCTTTGTGTCTAGTGTAGCCTGCTTCTGAGACAATAATTCAAGACAGTTTATTGTCCACAGAGAAAAATGTATAATCTAAATTTAGTGGGTGTAGAGTAAACCGACTAAATACAAAATATGATATGACACCAATTTGTAAGTCGCTCTGGATAAGAGCGTCTGCTAAATGACGTAAATGTAATTTGAAATTTGAAATTTTTACGACATCATGACGTATCACGACAGACAGGAATAGTTTTTCGCTGAATTGTGTGTGATTTGAGGGTTCGAGTAGGGAGGGGGAAAGGAAGCGGGGACGCAACCCAGTCTAGCCACCTCCCAGTGTATAAAAACTCAAACTCAACCATCATTCTGTCTCTTTTTGTTACCTGGGTAGGGGCAGCAGCAGTGGTTGAGTGAGCGTACAGTAACACCGGTAAGAGCGTTTATAATCTTTAGCCTCTAGTGGTTTCAAAAACAGGCCTAACCTGTAAGCAAGTTTTTTATTTTTTATTGCTAGCCAGACACATTGCGAAAACGTAAGCCATTTCAGATAGTATTTAATGGTGTAGCCAATGTTTCAATTAAACTGAATTTGATGGGTGTAGGAATGCTGTAACGTTCATCTTTATTTTACTTTATAAAATGGCGATGTGGTTTTAGGAAACTTCAAGTTATGTTTTGCCGGGAAAATGTTTTCAATTGGGAGGGGGCTCTGGGGGGGGGGGGAAACAAAGGATACTAAAGCGGTGGCCTGTGAGGATGACTGACTAGCTAGCTAAATGGAATGTCTGCCATTGATCTAAACAACTGCACGAAAACCCAAGCGACAGGTGTGTACTTGGGAATGAATTCCTTTTGGATATTTGGAAGGCTTTCTGTAACTCTATACGACGTGGCCTATAAGTAACACGTGTCGCTTTTGGCCCATGGCAAACTGAGGCCTAACATTACGTGATCGTAGCTCGCTCACCCTTTTGTCGGTTGAGTTAACTACTGTCGAGTAGTTAAATAAGTTGTCTGCTTACTCCCCCCCCCCCCCCCCATCTAATTTTAATGGTTTGTGGACAGTGATTTTGATGGCCCATCAAAAATTATGCTGTGAATGTATTCCCCAAGGCAAATTGTTACGTTACTGTAACGTCAATGTTGCCTAGTTAAGTGGTTTCTTTGCTCATTTTATTTCAGAAACTAATTAAGCAACCATGGGAAAGGAAAAGATCCACATTAACATCGTGGTCATTGGCCATGTCGACTCCGGCAAGTCCACTACCACCGGCCATCTGATCTACAAGTGCGGAGGCATTGACAAGAGAACCATTGAAAAGTTCGAGAAGGAAGCAGCTGAGGTAAGCGGTTTTCCGGTTGTTGGATACATTATTTTGGATTAAAGATGGCGATGCCAGCATGGTTGTTGAACTGTCGAAGCCGGCAGGGTGTGGGTAACGAGTGCGCGCATGTGGGGTGGTGCTTGCGCAGGCCTAGTGTCGGGTAATGACGATGCACTTTGTGTAATGGCGGCTGAGGACTTTATAGCGGTCATGGCTAGGAGGGCTACAGTTTGACACATTTACATCCAAAGCAGATTTTTTTTTTGTTCTTACCATTTTCCTAACCTTAACATACTTCTCCTAACCTGCTATGGAATGTCAAATATGACACAAGCTATCCCATCTAGTCAACCCTTCATAGAATGCATCCTCTACATTTACATTATCAATTTGTAAGTTGCTCTGGATAAGAGCGTCTGCTAAATAATGTAAAAAATTTACATTTTTTGCTTACATAACATTTATGAAAAGCCCATTATGACCAGAATCTGCTAAATTATGCAAGTTATGTGGGCCTTGTTTTCCCAAACCCAGTTTAGGCTGAACCATAAATCTACTTGCGCACTATAATTTTTTTGTTGCTATGTAGCATAATTTCACTGGTAAATGAATTATTGAACATAATGTGCCTTTCCTCTTATTTTAGATGGGCAAGGGCTCTTTCAAGTATGCCTGGGTGCTGGACAAGCTGAAGGCTGAACGTGAGCGTGGTATCACCATCGACATTTCCCTGTGGAAGTTCGAGACCGGCAGGTACTACGTCACAATCATTGATGCCCCTGGACACAGAGATTTCATCAAGAACATGATCACTGGTACCTCTCAGGTAATTGGGCCCCCATTGCATTCAGAATATACTGTTGACTTAACAAACTAAGGTGGTCAATTAACAAGTGTGTTGGACTGACATTACTTGTCCCCCCCCCAGGCTGACTGCGCTGTGCTGATTGTTGCTGGTGGTGTGGGTGAGTTTGAGGCTGGTATCTCCAAGAACGGCCAGACCCGTGAGCACGCTCTCCTCGCTTACACTCTGGGAGTGAAGCAGCTCATTGTTGGAGTCAACAAGATGGACTCTACAGAGCCCCCATACAGCCAGAAGCGGTTTGAGGAGATCCAGAAGGAAGTCACAACCTACATCAAGAAGATTGGCTACAACCCCGCCACTGTCGCTTTTGTGCCCATCTCTGGATGGCATGGGGACAACATGCTGGAAGCCAGCGCAAATGTGAGTAGCCCATCCTCACAGTTCACTCAACTACATTGAAAGTCTCACCCTGTCACTTGCATACATCCATGCTTTGTATATAAATAGAAATTGTCCTATTCTAGATGGGCTGGTTCAAGGGATGGAAGGTGGAACGCAAGGATGGTAACGCCAACGGTGTGACTCTGCTGGAGGCCCTGGACTCTATCCTGCCCCCCTCCCGCCCCACAGACAAGCCTCTTCGTCTGCCCCTCCAGGATGTCTACAAAATTGGCGGTAAGAACCAGTCATAGACTTCATGTTTGTATACTGACTGATGACATGCAAATGCTTGATTCTGCTCTCAAGCATTTGTTAATCTATTCTCCCCTGGCTTCCTCTCAGGTATTGGAACAGTACCAGTGGGCCGTGTGGAGACTGGCACCCTGAAGGCCGGCATGATCGTCACCTTCGCCCCCGCCAACGTCACCACTGAGGTGAAGTCTGTGGAGATGCACCATGAGACCCTGGAATCTGCTATGCCTGGCGACAATGTTGGCTTCAACGTCAAGAACGTGTCCGTCAAGGATATCCGTCGTGGTAACGTGGCTGGAGACAGCAAGAACGACCCCCCAATGGAGGCCGGCACCTTTACCGCTCAGGTAGGCATGCTGTTTAAAATTGTTTGGTGGGGGAGCTGTCTTCACTTGACATTTGAATTGTTCATGCTCTAAATGTCTTGTTTTTACAGGTCATCATCCTGAACCACCCTGGCCAAATTTCCCAGGGCTATGCCCCTGTACTGGATTGCCATACCGCTCACATCGCTTGCAAGTTCAGCGAGCTCAAGGAGAAGATCGACCGTCGTTCCGGCAAGAAACTTGAGGATGCCCCCAAGTTCCTGAAGTCTGGCGACGCTGCCATCGTTGACATGATCCCTGGCAAGCCCATGTGTGTGGAGAGCTTCCAGGAATACCCCCCTCTTGGTAAGTAATCCACAAGGCCCTCTTACCCAAAACATTGTTCCTTTTTTAAAGGTGTTCCATGCTTATGGAAAAGCATAATTCCTCATTTGCCCCCTCCCACAGGTCGTTTTGCTGTGCGTGACATGAGGCAGACCGTTGCTGTCGGTGTCATCAAGGCCGTCGACAAGAAGGCTGCCTCCAGCGGCAAGGTCACCAAATCCGCTGTCAAGGCCGGTAAAAAGTGAATTCTCCTCCCACAGGACGTCCCTCGGGTGGTGGGGCCTGCGGAGTCTAGAAACCTGAGCGCTATACTTAAGGACTGGTTAATGCTGATTAAAACCCATCGTAAAAGTTTTCGCAGGAAAAGAACCCAACGCGGATACACTTGTGACTTCGTCATATGACTGACAGTGCCGCTTTCAGTTTAATTTTAGTTAATGGTTTAGAACTGCACCTGTTTGATGCCACAATTAAATTGGAAGAAAGCTGCTGGTAACTAATAAAGGTCTTTAAATGTCTTGACCAAAAAGCTTGCTCTGTCGTTTTCCTTAATCCTTGTTCTTGTTTTAGTTGAGTGGGAGCTGTTCCATAGGGTAGAAAGAGTGCAGTACTGTATCTAACTTGGTCTTTGCAGCTGTTTTGACACAAGCTATCCCTGACTGCTGCAGGGCTGTGCCCAGTGTGATGGTTTTTGCCATCCAATCACCTTGGTGGGGTTACACTGACTCAACCAATGGCACTTTATTTTTCATGACAGCAGTGCTGTAGCGCTAGCTGTTCTCCCGCCCCCCCACTGCACCCATATAAAAAGAGATGTGGGCTCATATTCTGTCCTTTTTCTCCGGTCTAAAGCAGGAATACCAGTTCTATCTTGTCACAGGTTAGTGAAGAAAATGCTCATTTCTGAACGTAATTGGCACGTAGCTACACTAATTACCTCAATACTGCTAGACTTAAATTGAGGCATGGTTATGAAAGTGTTTTTGCCAGGCTGCCTGTCTCTTGGGCGCATGATTTAGAACCAGTTTAATTTGCACAAGATGAGTAACTAATCGTTTTCATTTGGGGTAAACAGTCTTTCTCATTGCATACCACTATTTGAAGTTGAGTGGGTTATTGCATTCATGGGAAACTAGAAGTGTAACGCAATTGCCTTAATATTATAGCCTAGCTAGAATTTGAATAGTTGCTATGTGCACCACTGCCTTCACGGTCATAGCGCGCGTGTCGTTGATTTGCCTCAACATGGCCGGCTTGCTAGTCTTATGACTTAACATGGAGGGCGGTGGGAGGGGAATGATTTGCGGATAGCACATGGTGCATGCGTCAGTGGCGCATATCATCGGCGATCTGTCGAATTCACCAAAATTGTATACACCATTAATTTATACTCCTGTAACCATGTCGGCAATATGTATTTTGTGTAAATATATTTGTACATCGGTAGTTATGTCAGTTTCCTTTTCATCAGTAAATCATGGGAAAGGAAAAGATCCACATCAACATTGTGGTCATTGGCCATGTCGACTCCGGCAAGTCGACCACCACCGGACATCTGATTTACAAATGCGGAGGCATTGACAAGAGAACCATTGAGAAGTTCGAGAAGGAGGCTGCTGAGGTATGTTTGGGAGCCCTGACATTTTCTATGGATTGAGTTGGCTGATAATGTTGCTATGAATTGCGATATTACATAACGGGTGTGGTTAGAACAAAATCCTTAAATCGAATGCTTTGATACGAGCGCCACCTACTGTACAAACTATTGCTGTCAGGTGTGGCCATTCATTGTGCACTAAAGGAAAACGATGACATCTAAAATATTTATTTGATTGTATCATTGATAAAATGTTATTTTAATCTGTGATTAAAAGCGTATTTAAATCTAATCTGTTTTCATTTGTCAAAGGCCATTATGACACGTATTGGGGAGCACTCAAACATGAATGTTTGCAAATGTAATTGAGTGGTCTGTTTGACTAGTCAAGACATGGATTTTGTTAACTGGATAGACTTTTATTGCTCAACTAACAGGAGAAGATCAGATAAGGCAGTCATTTTGTTAATGGGATGGATTGTCAATTTGCAAGTCATGAGTAATAATACTGTTGTAAATAGATAAATTGAGTGATTTGCATTTCAGTAAATGACGAACTGGTACAAAATTATCACACTTTTTTTAGTAGGTGTAATTGGATAGATTTGATCTAAAAACATTACAGAACTGTGTAGACATAAGTACAATAAAAGCCAACTTTATTCTCTGCTTGTGTAGATGGGCAAGGGCTCTTTCAAGTATGCCTGGGTGCTGGACAAGCTGAAGGCTGAGCGTGAGCGTGGTATCACCATCGACATTTCCCTGTGGAAGTTCGAGACCGCCAAGTATTACGTCACCATCATTGATGCCCCCGGACACCGAGACTTTATCAAGAACATGATCACTGGTACCTCTCAGGTAAAGACAAGCTTTAATGTCCAATCTGTTTCCTAACTGAAATGATCTATCAGTAGTGGCATTTTACCACAAGGTTTGGAGTGTCAATATCTATGACCTCATCTCCTCAGGCTGATTGTGCTGTGCTGATTGTTGCTGGTGGTGTGGGTGAGTTTGAGGCTGGTATCTCCAAGAACGGCCAGACCCGTGAGCACGCTCTCCTCGCCTACACTCTGGGAGTCAAGCAGCTCATTGTTGGAGTCAACAAGATGGACTCTACAGAGCCCCCGTACAGCCAGAAGCGGTTTGAGGAGATCCAGAAGGAGGTCAGCACCTACATCAAGAAGATCGGCTACAACCCCGCCACAGTTGCCTTTGTGCCCATCTCTGGATGGCATGGGGACAACATGCTGGAGGCTAGCCCCAACGTGAGTATCCCATCTACACAAAGTAAACTATACCACAGCAGTGTAGGTCTAGGTGGTTATATGCGTAAATGATTAGGTCTGGAACTTTATAGAAGGGTAAGCAAGTCTGTAATTTTTATCATGTTTCTTCTGTTGCCCGTTGCAGATGGGCTGGTTCAAGGGATGGAAGGTTGAGCGTAAGGAGGGTGGCGCTAGCGGTGTGACCCTTCTGGAGGCTCTGGACTCTATCCTGGCCCCCTCCCGCCCCACAGACAAGCCCCTCCGTCTGCCCCTGCAGGACGTCTACAAAATTGGCGGTAAGAACCAGTCATAGATCAATATGTTTCAATATACTGGTTATTTTCTTTAGATGTGAATGGGTAAGGGTCTTGTGGTTAAATACTTGTTTCCCCCTCAGGTATTGGAACAGTACCAGTGGGCCGTGTGGAGACTGGCACCCTGAAGGCCGGTATGATCGTTACCTTCGCCCCCGCTAATGTCACCACTGAGGTGAAGTCTGTGGAGATGCACCACGAGACCCTGGAAGCGGCTCTCCCCGGTGACAATGTCGGCTTCAACGTCAAGAACGTGTCTGTCAAGGATATCCGTCGTGGCAACGTGGCTGGAGACAGCAAGAATGACCCCCCAATGGAGGCCGGCAACTTCACAGCTCAGGTGAGAGATGGGACTGATTTTGAATGTAGGTTTTGTAAAGATAATAGAAAATATTAATATTCTAAGTTTACTTTACTACATGTCTCGTTTCTGGCCATAAATTAGGAATAATAAATAAAAAAGTGCACTCTTAAAAATCATAATCAAGCAATGAGAAAAATGTGAGTTATTCCTTTTTATTTATTTTTTACAGAACCACCCTAGTTTTCTGAATTCAGTTTTGCCACGTCCCAACCTCCTGTCACTGTAGTTCTAGAGTCCAGCCCATCCTTACCCAACCTTTACCCCAATCTCCAGGTCATCATCCTGAACCACCCCGGCACCATCTCCCAGGGCTATGCCCCCGTGCTGGATTGCCACACCGCTCACATCGCCTGCAAGTTCAGCGAGCTCAAGGAGAAGATCGACCGCCGTTCCGGCAAGAAGCTTGAGGACAACCCCAAAGCCCTGAAATCTGGAGACGCCGCCATCATTGTCATGGTGCCAGGAAAGCCCATGTGTGTGGAGAGCTTTGCCGCCTACCCTCCCCTCGGTGAGTCACACACCAATGCCTAATGATGACGATTATGAGTTTTATTTATACAGTGCTATTGGAAAAACTGAATGGTACGTGGGGGTTCCCATCACTGTATAGGACCCATCTGGGTAATGCAGCCTTTTGATGTTAAAAGAACTCCCCACACATGTACTGTTGCATTGCTTGTAAGATGGCGAAGAGAACTTACTAGTCTCAATACCTTACAATAGCACTTACAAACACAGTGAAGTAGGAACTACAATGACTTCTGGAATATGCTGACAGTCCATTTAGCAAAACCAATTTAGCCTATTACACACGCATCACATTCAGACCCGTCCAGTAACCATTTCTCTTCACTGTTGCAGGTCGTTTCGCCGTGCGTGACATGAGGCAGACCGTTGCCGTTGGTGTCATCAAGGCTGTCGACAAGAAGGCTGCCAGCACTGGCAAGGTGACCAAGTCTGCCATTAAGGCCACCAAAGCCAAATGAATTCCTGCTCCAGACATCCAGCAACAACAAGGCGTGTCACCAGCATCCCATCCTGCAGTGTCTCAGAACCTGAGCTCTCTACTCAAGGACTGGCTAATGCTAATAAAAACCCATCGCAAAAGTTTTCGCAGGAAAGGAAAGCAAATGTTCGAAGAATAATGCTTTAGGGAAAATAATGATAAAACCAAAAAATAAAAAACATGAACATTAACTGTCAAAACGCTGCTGTTTCTTGTTTTTCATAAGCCAAAACGCTGAATCAGTTACTGTTTGATACATACTGCTATCTATCAAGAAATATGTTGTGTTAGAATATGAAAATAAAGTCTGATTTCTGTTGCTGTGAAACCTTGAGCTAGTTGTCAGATTTTGGATTGATTTGCTGAAAACGCTCCATTGGTTTACAATATTATCTACAAATTGCTTTGGGGAATATTCAATAGATATGATTCACTGCCTCTGTTTTAAGCATTCTCCTTTGAGTTACATCAGAAATGTAAATTCTGTTGATCACTACTGTAGATGCATACTTTCAGAAAATAGTTTGCCCTGTAGGAAATTGTACACCAGTCAATGTCGTCTACTGTTAAGTTATGGGGTTGACAAAGATAAACTAATTGGCAGTGTAGTTTTCCTACAAAAGCTTCCTCACAAATGGGCAAGCTTTCACAAACCTAGTAGAGCACAACATTTCTTTATGACGCCACATATACAATCCTCTGATGAAAACCTCTTTCTTACAGTTATACTTTCAGTATCAACCCCTCACCTGGAATGCATTTGTGCGATCCGTATTCCACTGCGACAAAGGCGGGGACAATGCTCTATTTTCTTTGATTAATTTGTGACATACTTGGGAAATAGAAAGGGAATAGTGGCAGGAAACTGAGATATGCTGTCACAGAGAGGAGGAACACAGTAAGTGAGCTGACACGAAGAAGCACAATAGCGACGTCTCAGCCTGTCACCCTACCAAGCTGATATTTGTGACAAAGACTGCAATAGCAGGTAAGTCTTCACAACCTGTGTAACATTTCACAATGGTTGAATGATTCTTTAACAATCAGTCTGGGAGTATGAATAAAATGTTACAAGCGAAGTTGTCTTAAATAACATGTAGCCTGGCCTGGGGTCGTTGTGGTTCAGGTAAGATCTTGGTGTCACGACTTCCTCCGAAGCTGCCTCCTCCGCGTTCGTCGTCACCCGCCTTCTAGCCACTGCCGCGCCATATCTCATCATTCCATTTGTCTTGTCATTACACAAACCTGGTTCATATTCCCCTCATTAGTACGTGTTTAAGTGTTCCCTCTGCCCCCTTGTCCTAGTGGGTGATTGTGAGGATTAGTAGCTCGGTTGAGCTCAGTATTTTGTAATGCCGGGGTATTTTCCCCGTATGCATGTTTGTTCCAGTGCGCCTGTTTTGCGCACTGGACTGGTTACGATGGATTACGGAACAAACTCTGTATACTGGGATTTACCCTCCTGCGCCTGACTCCTTCAAATCACGCATCACACTTGGAAAACACAATTATGTTAATTCCTCATGGCAGGACCTCAGCATTACTGTCATTGTACTAAAATGACATAACTTAGTAATGTATTATGATCTCTGTGGTACTATGTTTATAAGCTCCCACTAAAGACTGAGTGAGGTAGTTTTATTATTGAGCAGTCCTATCCCATATACTTTCAGCCAAGAAGGAAGAGGATATTCAAATTATATTTATGTCATACTTGCAGATCAAGTTTCTCTGAATTGATTTGTGTTTGTGTGCATGTGTGTTGATCAATGTAGAAAGATGAACAGAAGCACACCTCAGAGGGGATCATCCTCCAGGAGACAGAGCTCAGTTCCATCCACACCCTCTGGAGAGCACCAGAAATTCCTCCATCACGGGCCCTCGGAAGGACCCCGACCTCCAACCTAGCCTGGGCAGAGAGGCCGAGGAGGGTGGGTATCTGGACGGAGATGGAGGTAGCCCTATAGAGGACTCTCAGACTGTGGAATTGCTGGGTCAGGATGATGGAAACGCTAGTGCCACACCCACCTCACACCTCCCTCAGCAGAGAACACACATGGCAGGTAATAGCACGGTAGACCTGCTTGCTTCAATGGTATTGTTGATTGTCCTCATCTGATGTGTGTATCATTGTATGTCAAAGATGCTAAGACAATCAGTAACATGTTATATTCCTTAATCTATCCAGAATTTCCTCTGAGACAGAAAGGTGTTTTGTAGATGAAGTTCATGTGTGCTCATCTGAGACAGTCCAGCCAATACATAAATCTGCCCACAACCCAGAACCCCACACCAGGGGATGAGCTGACCCCTATCTACCCAGAGCTGGCCCGCTGGATCAGGCTTCGTGCCCAGAACCTCAAGCTCCGCCAGAGTGACGTGGACCTGATCAACCATCTCCAGGAAGAAGCCTGCTGGTCTTCCTCAAAAACCGTGACGAGCAGTCCTACTTCCAGTCAGCCTCTTTACTCAGCAGTGGTTCATACAACTAGATGGTCAAGGTAACTCACACCATGAGACAGGATGTGTCTCTGGCAGGCGGCTCATTTAAAACACATTTTTAGTCATTTTAGCAGACGCTCTTATCCAGAGCGACATACGGTTAGTGCATTTTATTTATTTTTTCATACTGGCCCCCGTGGGAATCGAACCCACAACCCTGGCGTTGCAAGCGCCATGCTCTACCAACTGAGCTACACGGGACTACACATGAACACAAGAGAATAACCAACAGCAAATTATCCACATTTTCACTAAAGGTGTGTTTTGATAAACATGGATTAACCTTGAGTGACTGATTAGGCAGTATCGATGAGCTAATACTGAACCTTATTTTATACTAACAGCCACCCACACACCAATGCCCCACCTTAACGCTGATAGGAATGTTTACTGTCCGTCAACAAATTCTTTCCACAAACATATACAGCAAAAAACGATCCTCACCCCCAGACAAATAGTATCACATACTGTACATAATAGGGAAATATGACATGCAAACATGGAGGTCCTTGTTCTTCTTGTGTTGAATGTCAAGTCTTGCTGTTTGTAAGTTTGTAAGTTCATCTGTTTCTGTCAAACCTGCCCTTTAGATTCAGTGAGTATACTTTACTGTTATTATAATCCTGTGAATGAAACTAAATAGTATGTAAATAGTACCTATTGCCATTGTGTGCCAACAGATCCACAACCCAAATGAGTTTGACATGATGCTGAAGCTCCAGTCTCCTTCCCGCCTCAAAATGACTGAGCTGGATCAATACCACGGCCTCTTCTATGAAGTCGCCCTATCCCGATCAACCCGTTCCCACATACGGTCTTTCCTATTGGACGATGGGCTCACCATCTCAGCCAGCAAGATCATAAGTGAAATGCACCGTCTGGTCCGCAAGTTCATCAGGACCTACAGAGGTGTGGTAACTGGTCTATATTCACCTGAGAGTATACGAATGTAGTCATACAAATGCTCGCATGCCCATACTGTATATCTTGTCCAACTGGTTTGTCTGTGGATGCTATGTTGTTGAGGGGTCAATATGATTATTTGAGCCTTAGAGGTCGGTGTGTCCACATCTCCAACCACCTATATATATAATAGTAATATAAATATGACATGACATTGCATGCGTTTGTGTGTTCTTTGATCACCAGTGCCTGGAAATAGCTGGCGTTGTGTTGTGAATAGGAAGCGTCCAAACTCCCCAGCAGTGACCCTTTCCCTGTTGTAGGTGGATAATGGGAAACAGGAAGTAGTTTCTGTGGATGTACAGTGAGGGAAAAAAGTATTTGATCCCCTGCTGATTTTGTATGTTTGCCCACTGACAAAGAAATGATCAGTCTATAATTTTAATGGTAGGTTTATTTGAACAGTGAGAGACAGAATAACAACAACAAATTCCAGAAAAACGCATGTCAAAAATGTTATAAATTGATTAGCATTTTAATGAGGGAAATAAGTATTTGACCCCCTCTCAATCAGAAAGATTTCTGGCTCCCAGGTGACTATTATACAGGTAACGAGCTGAGATTAGGAGCACATTCTTAAAGGGAGTGCTCATAATCTCAGCTTGTTACCTGTATAAAAGACACCTATCCACAGAAGCAATCAATCAATCAGATTCCAAACTCTCCACCATGGCCAAGACCAAAGAGCTCTCCAAGGATGTCAGGGACAAGATTGTAGACCTACACAAGGCTGGAATGGGCTACAAGACCATCGCCAGGCAGCTTGGTGAGAAGGTGACAACAGTTGGTGCGATTATTCGCAAATGGAAGAAACACAAAATAACTGTCAATCTCCCTCGGCCTGGGGCTCCATGCAAGATCTCACCTCGTGGAGTTGCAATGATCATGAGAACAGTGAGGAATCATCCCAGAACTACACGGGAGGATCTTGTCAATGATCTCAAGGCAGCTGGGACCATAGTCACCAAGTAAACAATTAGTAACACACTATGCCGTGAAGGACTGAAATCCTGCAGCGCCCGCAAGGTCCCCCTGCTCAAGAAAGCACATATACAGGCCCGTCTGAAGTTTGCCAATGAACATCTGAATGATTCAGAGGAGAACTGGGTGAAAGTGTTGTGGTCATATGAGACCAAAATGGAGCTCTTTGGCATCAACTCAACTCGCTGTGTTTGGAGGAGGAGGAATGCTGCCTATGATCCCAAGAACACCATCCCCACCGTCAAACATGGAGGTGGAAACATTATGCTTTGGGGGTGTTTTTCTGCTAAGGGGACAGGACAACTTCACCGCATCAAAAGGACGATGGACGGGGCCATGTACCGTCTAATCTTGGGTGAGAACCTCCTTCCCTCAGCCAGGGCATTGAAAATGGGTTGTGGATGGGTATTCCAGCATGACAATGACCCTAAACACATGGCCAAGGCAACAAAGGAGTGGCTCAAGAAGAAGCATATTAAGGTCCTGGAGTGGCCTAGCCAGTCTCCAGACCTTAATCCCATAGAAAATCTGTGGAGGGAGCTGAAGGTTCGAGTTGCCAAACGTCAGGCTCGACACCTTAATGACATGGAGAAGATCTGCAAAGAGGAGTGGGACAAAATCCCTCCTGAGATGTGTGCAAACCTGGTGGCCAACTACAAGAAACGTCTGACCTCTGTGATTGCCAACAAGGGTTTTGCCTCCAAGTACTAAGTCATGTTTTGCAGAGGGGTCAAATACTTATTTCCCTCATTAAAATGCAAATCAATTTATAACATTTTTGACATGCGTTTTTCTGGATTTTTTTGTTGTTATTCTGTCTCTCACTGTTCAAATAAACCTATCATTAAAATTATAGACTAATCATGTCTTTGTCAGTGGGCAAACATACAAAATCAGCAGGGGATCAAATACTTTTTTCCCTCACTGTAGTTCCCGCCCTGGAAGTGCCCTCCTCACAGGGCTGGCCTCTGGCTGCCCGCACCGGCCCAGATGTGGACAACTGGCTGGGGAAGAAGACTCGGCGCTCTCTCACCCACTAAACTTGCTTCTTTGTACCCAAGAAACCACAGGGGCGTAACCTTAGTGAGGCAGCTAAAGGTGTGCGCATCATTGTTGTTTTGTGCCAGAGCCATATATGTATGACTCTGGATGTGGATCGTTTTTGTCATGACTGATACATTGAATGTGAATGTTATTTTCCCTTTCATTGAAATGTTGCTGCTTTGTCTCCTGCAGAGAGTTGGAGGATTTCCTTTTCTCACATAGAAAAGGAACTAATCAAGACTCATGGGAACAAGAGGACCTGCTGTGAGAGCTCTGCCACCAGAATTCACTCTACTACACCATTTACTATCACCTGTGACTCATTTAGCCCTAATACTGAACAAATACCTTTATGTGAAGTGATCGATATAATGAACAATACCTCTCTCTCCTCCTCTCCTTTAGTAAGAAGTGCTTCAAGCTCCTCAAGTGTCTGATCGAAGGACTGAAGCAACGCTACCCTCAAGAGCTGAATGCTCTGTGCTCCTACTACGGGAAAACAGCCTTCCTACACACCCCTCTCCATCAGTGCCCAGGACTGCCTGTGGGTGCCCCGTCAGCAGCCTGAGTGCTTCATGCACCTCCTAGGGGCCCTGGAGGGCTATGCAAGGAGTGGCTCTTTGTCTCAACCTCCAACCTCTTCGCCCCATCGACCTTCCCACGCAAAGCTCTGGTGTTTCTGACTGAGGCTCTGGAGGAGCAGAGAAGACAGGGGCTTCCCCTTTTAACGCCCCTAGCTCCTGCCCCACCACTGGCAGTACACTCCGACAGTAACTCCCAGCCCCAGCTATCACCTGTTGTACAGCCTCCTGTTATCCAGCCACCCCAAGTTATTGAGATAAAATCCTTTGAGCAAATGTTCAAAATTGTGGCTTTGGTTGTGGCTCTTGTCTCTGTTTGTTACCTTCTGTAGAGGTGTATATCCTGCCCATTGGTGGTAGGAAGTTGGCAGAGACAGTCTATCTACAACATAGGGTGCTAAAACTACATGCAGCTGTAGAAAATAGTATGCCATAAGATAGGATAGGATTCCAGATTTGTATTTCTCTCTAAATCATGTCTTTGCTCTAGATAAACACATTGAAACATTTAACCCAAAATGTAAAAAAAAATATTTTATAGTGCATTCGGAAAGTATTCAGACCCCTTCCCTTTTTCCACATTTTGTTATGTTACAGCCTTATTCTAAAATGTTTCTCATTAATCTACACATAATAACCCATAATGACAAAGCGAAAACTGGTTTTTAGAAATGTTTGCAAATTTATAAAAATATATAAATCAGAAATACCTTATTTACATAAGTATTCAGACCCTTTGCTATGAGCTCAGGTGCATCCTGTTTCCATTGATCATCCTTTAGATGTTTCTACAACTTGATTGGAGTCCACTAGTGGTAAATTCAGTTGATTGGACATGATTTGGAAAGGCACACACCTGTCTATATAAGGTCCCACAGTTGAAAGTGTATGTCAGAGCAAAAACCAAGCCATGAGGTCAAAGGAATTGTCCGTAGAGTTCAGAGACAGTTACCAAAAAATGTCTGCAACATTGAAGGTCCCCAAGAACACAGTGGACTCCATCATTCTTAAATGGAAGAAGTTTGGAACCACCAAGACTCTTCCTAGAGCTGGCCGCCCGGCCAAACTGAGTAATCGGGGGAGAAGGGCCTTGGTCAGGGAGGTGACCAATAACTTTTTTTTAGTAAATATTTTCTTAACTCTATTTTCTTAAAACTGCATTGTTGGTTAAGGGCTTGTAAGTAAGCATTGCACAGTAAGGTCTACACCAGTTATATTCGGCGCATATGACAAATAACATTTGATTTGATTTCTGTACAAAAATATATATAATTGTGCAAAAATGTATACAAACCTGTTTTCGCTTAGTCATTTTAATCAATTTAAAACAATTGAAAACATTTTAGAATAAGGCTGGAAGGTAACAAATTGTGTGAGTGCATACATTTTCATACTTTTTTTGTACTTGTACTTCATGACAAACTTTTAAATAAACTATATTATGTATCACTTGTCCTGCATGTATGATCTTATGATTTATCATATTGTGTGTGTAAATAAAATCCTTGTTCGTTGTAGTCTTATAACAGAGTTGGTGGTCTGTCGGTGTTGAAATCTTTTTTACGGTAGGCCCTTCCAAAATCGGTAAAAAAATAAATAATAATAATGTATGGCGGAAAAGGTGATGGCAATTTCTGAAATAAAAACTAATGTAATGGCATAACTAAGATGGATGACTAACTGATGAATAGAGTACCACAGTATGTCATAATACCCATAAAACCTAGAGGTCAAACAAGGAAATGGTTCCAATCGTTTTTCCACCATTCATTTTCAGTGGCGTGTATTAATGGATGCCAAGGGAGGCCAGGCTTCCCCTAAAAATGTACCAAGAATTGTTTTTTTTTTTTAAATCTGTCGTCTCTCTGTGTTTCATAATTTTCCTCCAATTTGCAAGAGGCTGAATGTATCTCACTGGAGAAAACATCAGAGCGGGAGAAACAGTGCCCTTCTGTCTCAGTATCTGTAGGCCAACTATCTGATGCTGTCTGGTCAAAAAGAGTATGACATTGTTGTAGCCCGTAGCATTGAACGCAAGGGAAGCCAGCGAACGTTTGGCTTCCCTTTATATATTTTTTAACAACATAATAGCCAATCAGCGTTGAGCTAAACTGAGTGAGCTCAACCGTGAATGGTCCTGGCGCACCAAAATCACAAGCCAAACATCATTTACAGAAAAAACTGAATTGTTGCATCTCCTTGTGTCGTTGTCCTCCGGTGGCTAGCTAGCTATCTAAAATTGTCCCTTTCCTAAATTAGCCATGGATGGAGTTGGGATTTGGACTTGTGGTTTTACTTAATTCTCCGTACTGGCCAATGATTATAACGGCGATTATGATCTAACCATAAATTCACACATTGTGCCACTGGACTGAGAGGATGGAAGTTCAATATGTAGCTAGATGTAGTAGGCTAATGTCAAGTAGCTGGCCTGGCGCATCGCTGCCCATGAAAGGAAGTTAGGCTAGCGAGCAAGAATTTCAGCCAGGTAGCCTAGGACAACAAAACTAAAAGCGTGTACTGCAGTGGCGATTGTCACGATCGTTAGAGAGAGTGGACCAAGGCGCAGCGTTGCAGGCAAACATATTTATTTAAAGAGAGTAAACACTCGCACAAAACAACAAACGATACGTGCAGTCCTACGGTACAGACCAAAAGGAACAAACCAACTGGAACAAGATCCCACAACTATTGTGGGAAAACAGCCTGTATAAATATGGCTCCCAATCAGAGACAACCAGCAACAGCTGACACTCGTTGCCTCTGATTGGGAACCACTCTGGCCAACACAGAAATACAAAACTAGAATCCCAACATAGAAACACAACACATAGAATATACACACCCTGGCTCAACATATAGAGTCCCAGAGCCAGGGTGTGACAGTACCCCCCCCTAAAGGCGCGGACTGCGACCGCGCCTCCACATAGACCAAACAGGGAAGGGCTGGGTGGGCATTCCTCCTCGGAGGCGGTTCCGGCTCCGGGCTCGCCCACCACCCTCCAATAATCCCCCCGTAGCGCCCCTGGTCCGGTCTGGCCCCGCTGGCTGGAGCTGGACTGGACGTCGTAGGAGCGGATTGCTTAAGCCCCGGTGTGGAGCAGCTGACCGGTACCTGACCAGGCACCGGTGACCCAGGCACGGGTTGTGCCGGACTGACGACGCGCACCCCTGGCTTGGTGCGTGGAGCAGGAACGGGCCGGACCGGGCTGACGATGCTCACCCCTGGCTTGGTGCGTGGAGCAGCAACGGGCCTGACCGGGCTGACGATGCGCACCCCTGGCTTGGTGCGTGGAGCAGGAACGGGCCGGACCGGGCTGACGATGCGCACCCCTGGCTTGGTGCGTGGAGCAGGAACGGGCCGGACCGGGCTGAAGATGCGCACCCCTGGCTTGGTGCGTGGAGCAGGAACGGGCCGGACCGGGCTGACGACTCGCACCCCTGGCTTGGTGCGTGGAGCAGGAACGGGCCGGACCGGGCTGACGACTCGCACCCCTGGCTTGGTGCGTGGAGCAGGAACGGGCCGGACCGGGCTGACGATGCGCACCCCTGGCTTGGTGCGTGGAGCAGGAACGGGCCGGACCGGGCTGACGACTCGCACCCCTGGCTTGGTGCGTGGAGCAGGAACGGGCCGGACCGGGCTGACGATGCGCACCCCTGGCTTGGTGCGTGGAGCAGGAACGGGCCGGACCGGGCTGACGACTCGCACCCCTGGCTTGGTGCGTGGAGCAGGAACGGGCCGGACCGGGCTGACGACTCGCACCCCTGGCTTGGTGCGTGGAGCAGGAACGGGCCGGACCGGGCTGACGACTCGCACCCCTGGCTTGGTGCGTGGAGCAGGAACGGCCGGACCGGGCTGACAACTCGCACCCCTGGCTTGGTGCGTGGAGCAGGAACGGGCCGGACCGGCTGCTGACGACTCGCACCCCTGGCTTGGTGCGTGGAGCAGGAACGGGCCGGACCGGGCTGACAACTCGCACCCCTGGCTTGGTGCGTGGAGCAGGAACGGGCCGGACCGGGCTGACGACTCGCACCCCTGGCTTGGTGCGTGGAGCAGGAACGGGCCGGACCGGGCTGACAACTCGCACCCCTGGCTTGGTGCGTGGAGCAGGAACGGGCCGGACCGGCTGACGACTCGCACCCCTGGCTTGGTGCGTGGAGCAGGAACGGGCCGACCGGGCTGACGACTCGCACCCCTGGCTTGGTGCTGGAGCAGGAACGGCCGGACCGGGCTGACGATGCGCACCCCTGGCTTGGTGCGTGGAGCAGGAACGGGCTGGATCGGGCTGACGATGCGCACCGTAGGCTTGGTGCGAGGAGCAGGAACAGGCCGTGCCGGGCTGGCGATGCACACCGTAGGCTTGGTGCGAGGAGCAGGAACAGGCCGGGCCGGGCTGGCGACGCACACCGTAGGCTTGGTGCGAGGGGCAGGAACAGGCCGGGCCGGGCTGGCGACGCGCACCGTAGGCTTGGTGCGAAGGGCAGGAACAGGCCGGGCCGGGCTGGCGACGCGCACCGTAGGCTTGGTGCGAGGAGCAGGAACAGGCCGGGCTGGCGACGCGAACCGTAGGCTTGGTGCGAGGAACAGGAACAGGCCGGACCGTACTGGGAACACACACCACTGGCCTTAAACGGGGATCAGGAACGGGCCGGACCGGACTGGCAATACACCTCAGTACCTCTCGCCGTGCCTCTACAACTTCCTTCCCTCCTCTCACCAATGGCTCCCGTAACCCGGTGGCCTTCTCTCCTCGTCTCCCATTTCGCCCTGTGGCAGCCTCCTGCTGCCCAGTCGCCCATGCCGTGTGCCCCCCCCCTAAAAAATTGCTGGGGTTGCCTCTCGTCCGTCCGACGACGACACTGTTGACGCCGTTGCTCCTCTCTCGCCAGGGCCTTAATCTTAGCCCATGGCCCTTTGCCCCCGAGCATGTCCTCCCAGGACCACGATTTGCCCACCTGGGCCATCGCCAACCTCTCCAGCTCCTTTCCCGGCGCTTCCTCCCATGTCCAGGCCGCCTGCTCCTGGACACGCTGCTTGCTTCTGTCACGATCGTTAGAGAGAGTGGACCAAGGCGCAGCGTTGCAGGCAAACATATTTATTTAAAGAGAGTAAACACTCGCACAAAACAACAAACGATACGTGCAGTCCTACGGTACAGACCAAAAGGAACAAACCAACTGGAACAAGATCCCACAACTATTGTGGGAAAACAGCCTGTATAAATATGGCTCCCAATCAGAGACAACCAGCAACAGCTGACACTCGTTGCCTCTGATTGGGAACCACTCTGGCCAACACAGAAATACAAAACTAGAATCCTGACATAGAAACACAACACATAGAATATACACACCCTGGCTCAACATATAGAGTCCCAGAGCCAGGGTGTGACAGCGATTTTAGCATGTAAATCTTGCTGGGACCAAAAAATATATAAAGAAATAACATGCATGCCAGCAAAGCCACTACACAACACTAAACTATACATTAATTGCACTATAACGGTGACAAACGGTGCCCACAAACTGTTAGGGCCTACATAAAGTTGTCCCAACAGCAGAGCTTTCTTTTCAGCACCATGGAGTGAATCCTTACCATCGCTACACCTGGCTATCAGCGGAGCCTTGTCTGGCAGCGAAACAGTTCATTCAGCCTCATTTACTGCCGTTTAAAAAAACATAGCTGATGTGGCTGACTTGCTTAAACAAATGTGATTTCTACTGACAGTTGAGATGTACAAACTATGACATAAGGGGACGAGGAGCAGATAAGAGGCAATCCGTAATTTCAATTAAGATATTAATGAGCGAGCTAGGACGGACATAGTCAATATAACTATTTGTTCAGCACTTTTGAAATGTACAGCAACAGAATTCAGAACATGGGCCGTTCTTACAGTACTCTCCCTGTACACCAAGTCAGAACCATAGGATAAATAAAGGGGGCATATACAGTGCTTTCGGAAAGTATTCAGACCCCTTCCCTTTTTCCACATTTTGTTACATTACAGCCTTACTGTAAAATGGATTAAATAAAAACATTTCCTCATCAATCTACACACAATACCCCATAATGACAAAGTGAAAAGAGGTTTTTAGAAATGTTTGCAAATTTATAAAAAATTAAAAACAGAAATACATTATGTTCATAAGTATTCAGACCCTTTGCTATGAGACTAGAAATTGAGCTCAGGTGCATCCTGTTCCCATTGATCATACTTGAGATGTTTCTACAACTTGATTGGAGTCCAGCTGTGGTAAATTCAATTGATTGGACATGATTTGGAAAGGCACACACCTGTCTATATAAGGTCCCACAGTTGACAGTGCATGTCAGAGCAAAAACCAAGCCATGAGGTCAAAGGAATTGCAGGACAAGTTGCAGGCTTGTTGCAGGCAATTGCAGGCTTCGGGACAAGTCTCTGAATGTCCTTGAGTGGCCCAGCCAGAGCCCAGACTTGAACCCGATCGAACATCTCTGGAGAGACCTGAACAGAGCTTGAGAGGATCTGCAGAGAAAAATGGGATAAACTCCCCTAAAACAGATGTGCCAAGCTTGTAGCATCATACCCAAGAAGATGCAAGGCTGTAATCAACAAAGTACTGAGTAAAGGGTCTGAATACTTATGCATATGTGATATTTCTGTTTTTTTATTTTGAATACATTTGCAAAAATGTCTAAAAACCTGTTTTTGCTTTGTCATTATGGGGTATTGTGTGTAGATTGATGAGGAAAACAAATATTTAATACATTTTAGAATAATGCTGTAACGTAACAAAATGTGGAAAAAGTCAAGGGGTCTGAATACTTTCCTAATGCACTGTAAGCAGACAATGAAAGCTTTTACAATATTCAATGATTACATTTCTCTAAAACAGGCTATAGGCTACATGTGCACCACCAAGTCAGAACAGTAGGCTAAGTTATGAGGGGGAAAGGGACCAAATTATTAGGGTGAGGCACATGGGCTACTAACAGCTTACTACAAAACATACACTTAGTATACAGTTGAAGTCGGAAGTTTACATACACCTTTGCCAAATACATTTAAACTCAGTTTTTCACAATTTCTGACATTTAATCCTAGTAAAAATTCCCTGTCTTGGGTCAGTTAGGATCACCACTTTATTTTAAGAATGTGAAATGTCAGAATAATAGTAGAGAGAATGATTTATTTCAGCTTTTATTTCTTTCATCACATTCCCAGTGGGTCAGAAGTTTACATACACTCAATTAGTATTTGGTAGCATTGTCTTTAAATTATTTAACTTGGGTCAAACGTTTCAGGTAGCCTTTGTTGTATCTAAATAATAATGCTAATTATGCTGTGAGACCAAGGAGTCCGCTTACACTGTACTTTGATTATAAAGGTTTATTTATATCACAAGATTTCAGCGTAAGTTTACAGACAGGCATCTGGAGAACAATGACCCAAAATAATATGTTGTTCTGTCCTCCTTTGTCTCAACCAAGTATTTATCATCTTTAACATGATATGGGTGGTTTTCCCTAGAGACCAATCCCATGACTCCACACAACAGACTTCCTCTGTTTTATGGGGTGCCCCTATAAAACTGCTCCCCAGATGCTTCCCTAAGCTGAATCAACATCCTCCAAGATACCATTTGCAAACGTTAGCAAAGTCATAAATTCCTTAGACACCACACCTTCCACAAGCTTCCCACAATAATTTGGGTGAATTTTGGCCCATTCCTCCTGACAGAGCTGGTGTAACTGAGTCAGGTTTGTAGGCCTCCTTGCTCGCACACGCTTTTTCAGTTCTGCCCACACATTTTCTATAGGATTGAGGTCAGGGCTTTGTGATGGCCACTCCAATACCTTGACTTTGTTGTCCTTAAGCCATTTTGCCACAACTTTGGAAGTATGCTTGGGGTCATTGTCCATTTGGAAGACCATTTTGCAACCAAGCTTTAACTTCCTGACTGATGTCTTGAGATGTTGCTTCAATATATCCACCTGATTGTCCTTCCTCATGAAGACATCTATTTTGTGAAGTGCACCAGTCCCTCCTGCAGCAAAGCACCCCCACTGCATGATGCTGCCACCCCCGTGCTTCACGGTTGGGATGGTGTTCTTTGGCTTGCAAGCATCCCCTTTTTCCTCCAAACATAACGATGGTCGTTATGGCCAAACAGTTCTATTTTTGTTTCATCAGACCAGAAGACATTTCTACAAAAAGTACGATCTTTGTCCCCATGTGCAGTTGCAAACCGTAGTCTGGCTTTTTTATGGCGGTTTTGGAGCAGTGGCTTCTTCCTTGCTGAGCGGCCTTTCAGGTTATGTCGATATAGGACTCGTTTTACTGTGGATATAGATACTTTTGTACCTGTTTCCTCCAGCATCTTCACAAGGTCCTTTGCTGTTATTCTGGGATTGATTTGCACTTTTCGCACCAAAGTATGTTCATCTCTAGGAGACAGAACGCGTCTCCTTCCTGAGCGGTATGACGGCTGTGTGGTCCCATGGTGTTTATACTTGCGTACTATTGTTTGTACAGATGAACGTGGTACCTTCAGGCGTTTGGAAATTGCTCCCAAGGAGGAACCAGACTTGTGGAGGTCTACAATTTATTTCTTTGGCGGTGACGTAGTGTCCCCATGAGTGACAGAACACTGAGCCAATCAACCCCTGCGCTCCGTATTTTCCGCTGGCTGCCCCACCACCACAGAAAGCACTGAGCTAGGCTGAAACACCTGCATTTTGGAGCTGCCTTACTCAAGAAAGCAAAAAAGAGACCATGTTTGCATGCGGCTTTATTACCTCAATGTTTTTTTTTTTTTTTTTTTTTACATTGTTTGCAAACTGATATGTGACACATATTTTTAATCTCAGCCCCCTTCCCCGCAGGAGGCCTTTTGCCTTTTGGTAGGCCGTCATTGTAATTAAGAATTTGTTCTTAACTGACTTGCCTAGTTAAATAAAGGTTAAATAAAAAATATCAAAATAATGCCTAAAAAACATGCAAAAAAAAACTGAATACATTTTCCACTTATTCTTACATAATTTTGCTTTAAATAAACCTTTTTCTTGTGTTCTTGAATCTAAATATTCTTACATAAGCGCAATTTAATACTGATATGTACAGTTTTACTGTTCTTTATTATTGAATTTGAGCGCCTATGGAACCTTCCTTAAAATGCATGATTTTACTTGGGGTTCATTTATTTGAACACTTCCCTATAAATACGCTGGGCCGGAAACGTGTCGTCCTCTTCTAGTGATCAAACATGGCGGTGAGTGCAAGTTTTACGTATAAGGAGGCGAGATTTCGCGGTTTACCATTTAAATCCACAATCATCAGCGTTATACGGCCATTAACTCAGAATTTTTATAGACAGATATGAGTAGTTTCATGTGCAGTATTGAAACAAAGTTATATTAAGGGCAAAATATTATGTCATTGATTTTAATTGAAGCATCTGTTAGGGCTAGCGACATGGCTGTTGCAGTCGATTTCTCTCCCCGAATACGTTTCTCAGTACTTTGTTACAGTTGACGCAACATGGGTAAAAGTCACCATGCGAACAGTGTGAAAATATTGTTAACCTTCAAGAAATTACAACATTGACTGCAACATTGTAAATATGATACCTGCAAGCTAGCTAGCAGTAGCCGGGGATATGCCATAGGATATGTACAGGCATGTCCGTGTGGCAGGAATCAGTGGTTACTTAGCCATGAAGTTAAAGGACACCTTTGAAACATGTTTTTGAATAGATTTAAGTCAGTGTAAACACGTATGGCTGTTTGGAAACTGCCTAAATATGGCCAGTTGGGTGTCTATTGACATTGACCAGGATGTATTAGTTAGGTAGCTAGTTATAATCAACATGTTTCTATGTTGGCAGCTAACTAGCTACCCGGCCTGGCTTCAGAGCAAACAGCTGATATAGCTAGCTAAACATACGTTTCGTTATTAGATTTTGTAAATGTTAACCTTCCAGCCTCCTAATGCCAGCGTTTTATTTCAACAGGAACAGGGCGAGAAAAAGGAGAACCCCATGCGTGAGCTTCGCATCAGCAAGCTCTGTATGAACATCTGTGTTGGGGAGAGTGGCGACAGATTGACCCGTGCTGCTAAGGTGCTTGAGCAGCTCACAGGCCAGACCCCCGTCTTCTCCAAGGGTAGGTATCCTAAATCTGAATTGTTTGTGATAATCTGTGGCGGGGTGTTTGATGGGTACCTCTTCGAATGACACATTGTCACTGGAAAATGGTTGTGTTTAATGAGTCATCCTCCCCATGTACCCCCTCAGCCCGCTACACTGTGCGATCCTTCGGTATCCGCAGAAATGAAAAGATTGCTGTCCACTGTACTGTCCGTGGAGCTAAGGCTGAGGAGATCCTGGAAAAGGGACTCAAGGTGAGCTTTCAATTTTATTTGACACTGTCCATTACTACACCTATTTATTACAAACACTGCATGAAATGTTTTGGAATGTGGCTTTGATGACCTTGCAAAACTCTTAATCGCCATTCATTTTTCAAGGGAATGTTTCTGACACCTTTTAGTGTAGTGGTAATATTTGCTGCTGTTAGTAGCTTTCTAGAGTTCTACATATGGTTAAATTGTATCACTCGTGTTCAACATCAACCAATGGTGTTTCGGCAAGGGGTCAACTTTGACCATTGTCCACATGGTTAGGAATGTATTTAGGCATGTTGCTTAATGTTGCCCCTGCTTATTGGTATAACACTTCCTTCCAAAGGTGCGTGAGTACGAGTTGAGGAAGAACAACTTCTCCGACACTGGCAACTTCGGCTTTGGCATCCAGGAACACATTGATCTGGGAATCAAGTACGACCCCAGCATCGGTATCTATGGACTGGACTTCTACGTCGTGAGTGGCTTCACATGCTTTAGAATGCTTTTTAAATAAAGCTTGGTTTTGATTTTACTTGCCAGTTGTGTTACGATAGTATTTACATGTCTTCTAAACTGAACCACGCTCTTTCTCTCACTCCTTTTGTTGTCAGGTTATGGGCAGACCTGGTTTCAGCATCGCTGGCAAGAAGCAGAAAACGGGCCGCATCGGTTTCAGGCACCGCATCCGCAAAGAGGAAGCCATGCGCTGGTTCCAGCAGAAGGTGTGGCTCAGTAAAAAAATAAAAATATCTGACTGTAATGGTTTGAATGGTTTCTCTTATACAGGGGTAGGCTATCATACCTGCAAATGACTGTTGTGGATGCAGACTATTTGCTGTGTGCTGCCAACCAAAATATCAAGGGTTTTACACCGACTGTCTGTACCTAGTATCCCAGTTGGATTATATCCGCTGTTCTGAGGACCACATGAACTCTTCAATGTTGACTTTGATCATTTTGAATCGGCTGTTACTGTTTGGCTGGAATAAAAGCATGCACTCAGTGCCCCTATGCAGGTATGATTGCCTACCGCTGCTTGAAAGCTTTTGGTAGAGAACTCTGCTGACTCGTGTTGTGTAGTAAGGCTGAATGACCTGTGTAATATTTAAAAAATGGACAGCTTGTCTTGTGTGGAGCTTGTGAGTAGACTTCTTTGCTAAGCAGCTAATTGTTGTCTTTCTTTTTTCTTTCTCCAGTATGACGGTATCATCCTCCCCGGGAAGTAAAGGACCTCCATTGACCTTGTTTATAACTAATAAAATGGTAAAAGACCAGTTTTTGGTCCTGTGGTCATTGAAGTGATATGAATCCTATGCTGAATAGTTTTCTTTTTCTTAAGTAACCCACATTTAGTTCAATTATGCATAATAGGAAATGGTTGGCAGTAACTTGACTCAAAGGACAGACTACAGTAATGTGTGTGTAGATTCTGGAAAGAATGGAGCTTGCTGCTTTCAAGCACAAATATTAGTATGTATTTCTCATGGTATCCTGATTTTGAGAGCAGACTGGGTCTGTATTGAGAAGCTTTTTCTTCTGAAGCTCACATTGTAACTATACCTATAGGATGCTATAAAAGGGGAAAATAATATAAATTCAGAATACATGATGGAGAAAATGTACATTTGATTTTGAGTGATTTGCCTAATGTGTACTTTTGGGCTGAATTGTCTACTTTCCTAAATGCAGCCAGTTGTATTGAACGGTTTGTATGCAGTACTTGGTGTTTCATTCTTCTGCCACATGATGGCAATATTGGCACTTAAAATGACAAGTCTGGTTGAAGTGAGTTACCTGATACTATTTTTGGAGGTCGCATGGCTTTGATTACGCTAATTTAAGCAGCTGTCTTGTATCTCTTCAGAATGTCATTGGGAAGGTGTCGGAGACGAGTTGGTGCAAGCATAGGGGTTATTTATGGTTCCAAACCCAGAGTGATTTCATGCTACTTCATCTGAGTTGGCTGTTTTTATAGAAAAATGTGACTGGACAATGCAGAAAGTGTTTCCTGGACAACGTAACCGCTTTTAAGTTACCTGTGAGGAGTGAAGTTCATTGAAATAAGACGGATCCCTTAGGTCAGTTTGGCTTTATTCAGTGAAACCCTAGGGTTCCATTGCCTCTGGCACCGCTTGTCTGGACAGACAATGGCTGTTCACACAGGCAGGCCATTTCTGATATTTTTCCACTAATTGGGCAAAAGATCTGAATTGGGCTGCCTGTGTAAATGCAAAAAGCACCAACACACTTTCCCTGTGCCAGCTCACTTCTCAGTAAGACTTATACAGAGGGATTTCTCAAATTAAATAAGCCTAATTAGCATGCAGTTACATTATGGTCGAGTCCTCATTTACCTAACCCCTATTTCTGCTAGGCAGGTTCCCATCTATGGGAGTTTCACTGATTCCTGGTAGCTTGGCATTGTATCGCCTGGATGGAGATGGCAGAGGTTGACTCTGATATAGCATAAACACAGGTGAGCTGGAACCCATGGACTAGATACAAAACATGACCTGAGCCAAATCTTTAAACGGACACTCATTTAATTTCTGAATCAAAGAAAAAGACCTGTGACTAGGTCAGGGACACAGTTTGCTGGGCCATCGCCCTGTCAGACATTCTCTGTGTTCGTCAGTGGATGACATTGTAATCATGTCATTTTGACCTCTAACCTTGTCCACCTATACTTCAGCAGTCACTGCAACACTCACTTTATTGCACTTACAGTGGGGGAAAAAAAGTATTTAGTCAGCCACCAATTGTGCAAATTCTCCCACTTAAAAATATGAGAGAGGCCTGTAATTTTCATCATAGGTACACGTCAACTATGACCGACAAATTGAGCAATTTTTTTTCCAGAAAATCACATTGTAGGATTTTTAATGAATTTATTTGCAAATTATGGTGGAAAATAAGTATTTGGTCACCTACAAACAAGCAAGATTTCTGGCTCTCACAGACCTGTAACTTCTTCTTTAAGAGGCTCCTCTGTCCTCCACTCGTTACCTGTATTAATGGCACCTGTTTGATATTGTTATCAGTATAAAAGACACCTGTCCACAACCTCAAACAGTCACACTCCAAACTCCACTATGGCCAAGACCAAAGAGCTGTCAAAGGACACCAGAAACAAAATTGTAGACCTGCACCAGGCTGGGAAGACTGAATCTGCAATAGGTAAGCAGCTTGGTTTGAAGAAATCAACTGTGGGAGCAATTATTAGGAAATGGAAGACATACAAGACCACTGATAATCTCCCTCGATCTGGGGCTCCACGCAAGATCTCACCCCGTGGGGTCAAAATGATCACAAGAACGGTGAGCAAAAATCCCAGAACCACACGGGGGGACCTAGTGAATGACCTGCTGGGACCAAAGTAACAAAGCCTACCATCAGTAACACACTACGCCGCCAGGGACTCAAATCCTGCAGTGCCAGACGTGTCCCCCTGCTTAAGCCAGTACATGTCCAGGCCCGTCTGAAGTTTGCTAGAGTGCATTTGGATGATCCAGAAGAGGATTGGGAGAATGTCATATGGTCAGATGAAACCAAAATATAACTTTTTGGTAAAAACTCAACTCGTCGTGTTTGGAGGACAAAGAATGCTGTTGCATCTAAAGAACACCATACCTACTGTGAAGCATGGGGGTGGAAACATCATGCTTTGGGGCTGTTTTTCTGCAAAGGGACCAGGACGACTGATCCGTGTAAAGGAAAGAATGAATGGGGCCATGTATCGTGAGATTTTGAGTGAAAACCTCCTTCCATCAGCAAGGGCATTGAAGATTAAACGTGGCTGGGTCTTTCAGCATGACAATGATCCCAAACACACCGCCCGGGCAACGAAGGAGTGGCTTCGTATGAAGCATTTCAAGGTCCTGGAGTGGCCTAGCCAGTCTCCAGATCTCAACCCCATAGAAAATCTTTGGAGGGAGTTGAAAGTCTGTGTTGCCCAGCGACAGCCCCAAAACATCACTGCTCTAGAGGAGATCTGCATGGGGGAATGGGCCAAAATACCAGCAACAGTGTGTGAAAACCTTGTGAAGACTTACAGAAAACATTTGACCTGTGTCATTGCCAACAAAGGGTATATAGCAAAGTATTGAGAAACTTTTGTTATTGACCAAATACTTATTTTCCACCATAATTTGCAAATTCATTAAAATTCCTACAATGTGATTTTCTAGAATTTTTTTTCTCATTTTGTCTGTCATAGTTGACGTGTACCTATGATGAAAATTACAGGCCTCTCATCTTTTTAAGTGGGAGAACTTGCACAATTGGTGGCTGACTAAATACTTTTTTTCCCCACTGTATATGTTTAAATACTGTATGATAAATAAAAAATCTGAGCTAATACAGACTTTACAGTACTGTTATAAATATAGATTATTTTAACTGATTCTATTTAATGAGAAATGTTTAAAGTTTTGCTGAAAATCATATTCCAATATTTGTCATAAGATTGTATGGCTTCATGTATAACACCCAGACACTATCATTCACTCCAGAATGTACACACTCTTGCAACCATGCACACACGTAATCACCACAGTTCTAACATGTTCCACATTACTAACTGCAATACATATTGTACACATACTGCAAATTGATTTAATTTAGTCATATTCACATTCAACAACCACATAGGCCCCATTTTATTGAACTCCCTAATGTACTGTTATCATACCACTAAAAGAGTTAATAATTATTCACTCTTCCTTCCATCTTTCATTTTCCTTCCTTTCCTGCTCTGTTCCTCTATCTACAGCTCTCTTCTCTCCTCCACCTCTCTATCACTCCTCCCTTCCATCTTCCTTCTCTCTCCCTTTTTTTTTTTATTTTCTTTTTTTTTTTAAATCTCGCTCTCAGGCAGTGATGGGCTGTGGGGCCTCACTGCTCTTTCTCTGTGGCTGTAGCTGCTCCTCCTTGGTTGCTGGGGTGTTGTGGTGCTGTTGCCTGCGGGGGGCGTGGCGGGGTGGGAGGGTCAGGGTGCAGCAGGACACACCCACAGTGGCCTCGGGCAGATTCTCCGCCATGGACCAGCTGTCGGTTGCTGGGGTATACTTCTGCACAGCCGCCTTGTAGCGCTTCTCGGCCTCGTTCCAGCCACCCAGCAGGTACAGCTGTTCCCCGAGCGGTGACAGGCCTGCTGTGCTCACGCCCAGGGGCAGGGGGGAGGCCCGGCTCCACTCACCGTTCTCCGGGGAGAACACCTCCATGGACAGGACGTCCACACGGTCTCCGCTGGGGCCCAGCTGGCTACCACCCACCACGTACACCTTCCCTCCCAAGGTGGAGGAGCAGTGCCAGCCTCGGGGTGTCTCCAGGCTGGCCTTCTCACTCCAACTGTCCGTCTCAATGTTGTAGCAGGCCACGGAGCGAGAGTAGGCGCAGTTGATGTAGCCGCCGGTCACCAGGATGTCTCCGGAGGGCAGCACGGCGCTGGCGTGGCAGCAGCGTGGCACCTCCATGGGCGTCTTGAGCTGCCAGGTGTTGGAGGAGGGCAGGTAGCTCTCGGTGGTGGCCAGCAGGCCCTCCACGTTGCGGCCGCCAATGGCGTACAGGCGCCCGCTGGTGGCCACCAGGCTGAAGTGGGTGCGGCGCTGGCGCATGCTAGCCAGATGCAGCCACGTGTTGAAGCGAGGGTCGTACCTGAGGAGCAAGAGATTAACAGTGTTGAGTCAGAATATACATTTGTCTAAAGTGAAATGAAATCTACACATAATCAAGGAACACTCAAGTATGCTTTACTGCCTTGTTATATTTACGGTATGTTAAGGTCTGGACCTGGTCAGTGACCTTTCTCATGTGTGGGTGTTTGCTCATACATATACAGGATATCCATGTACCTGCTGAGGGTGCTGACAGCGTGCTTGGCCTGGTTTCGTGCATCGTTCTGATCCTCTCCTCCGGCCACGTACAGGAAGCCATCCATCACAGCCACACACTGGTTGAAGCTCTTAGCGGGCAGCTGGGATAGGTGGCGCCAGGTGGCCACACCCTCACGTGGGTCTCTCCACAGCACCTGGAAGGGAATCATACGTCAACAACTTAGCACTTCTCATTTTGGATAAGACTGTTGAATCATGGTGATTGGTGAAACAGTAGTCTTCTAAAATGTTGGTTTACTTCATCATGTCTTTGACCTCTGCCTAACGTTTAGCCCCCCACCAGATCCCCCACACTCACCACTCTGCTCAGTGCCCGCTCTGTGATGGAGGGACGCCCCCCAACAGTCAGCAGGGTGGACTGTCCGCCACGCACCTGCGTGCGACGAGACTGCAGCGTGTTCTGTTGGTGGGGTAGCAGGTGGTAGTTCATGGCGTCCACCAGCAAGCGGTGGCAGTGAGGGTCCATCATCATCCTCGCCACGGGCTGGATCTCGCTGACCAGCTCGCTGGCGGGGATGGTCTCAAAGCGCACGTGGGACAGCAGCTCGGTGGCGTGCACCTGGCGCTTGGGGTCGAAGTCCAGCCACTTCATGGCCAACTGTGGTTGAATGAAACCAGAACTATACTTAGAATCCTATTCGATTCGGTTTATAAATACCGCTCCCTCTCTGCTTCCTTGCTAAGTCTCTCATCCCTACTGGTATTGTGTATTAATAACCATACATACAGTGAGTTATACTGACTGAGTATTTCTATTCACAGTAGGATGTAAAATAGCCTGGCAAGTGTCCGTGTACTAGGGTCATGTGGCTATATCATGTCCTTAACAGCTGGTCTGAGGCTGGATTTAGGTTTCGATCAAAATGGCTGTATGTTGGGGGTAGGGAATGAGGAAACATGGTGAGCTGAGCTGACCTGGAAGGCGGTGACTTCAGATGGCAGAAGCAGGCTGTCCTCCTGGAGGAAGGCTGTGATCTGTTCCAGGGTCAGCTGGTTGAACAGGGGTGTCTCGGTGAACGCGACAAAGTTCTCCAGCACAAAGCGGCGGGCTGCGTCGCGCACGGGAATCAGGCCGTAGGCGGCGGAGATGTTCCACACGTACACGCACGTCTGCACGTTCATCTCAGCCAGCAGGAAGTCCATGCACATCTGGAGCAGCTGGGGGATCTGGAGGGTGGCAGCAGCTGACACAGTACAGCCGATGGTGTACAGGGACATGTGGACGCGGCCCAGGTAGGCAAAGGTGATCACGTTGGCCAGGCCTGGGAATAGGTGGACAACATCATCACTTTATTCATGTGTTTTTGTCTATTAATGCGGATTTCACAAATATGTTTCCAAACAAGACTGTTCCTGCCTTTAATAAATATCAGCTATAGATGCTAGGTGGTTTAGTTTGAAACCTACCGAGGGGGGAGAGTGAGGGCAGCTCTAGACGCTTCATTCCAGGGTCCTTGGCCAGGACCTCCCGGAAGTACTGGCTGATGGAAGAAATGACCAGTTTGTGCACGTCGAAGGCCTTGGTCTTACAGGCCAGCTCCAGGTCGGTGAGGAAGCGCTCCTGGCGCATGCGGCTCAGCTCCTCCAGCAGGGCATTGCCGTGGAGGGGGCGGGTAACCTCACAGCCCAGACCCAGGCCCTTTTCTCCGGGCTTGATGATGGGAGGGGGCAGTGGGAGGTTGAGGTGGTTGAGCTGCACGATATCCAGTGCGGCCATCTCCTCAATCTTCTTCACGCCCTCCACCACCACCACTCCTCCTGCCATCTGAGTGGTAACAGTGGTCACCTGGGTGACAACTGGCTCCATGGCAATCTTTGTACGATTGGCCTTCTTCTTGGGGGCCATGGCGACAGCTACTTTGACAGTTGGGTTTAAAGATTTTGGTTCTCGAGTGCTGACTGAAGCACTGAGGGATGAGGACTCCAACGGACCAACTAATCAACAAATTGACAAAACAGACTTTTTACTGAGTGTGATAAGGTGGACTTTCTTCACTGACAAACACCCACTGAAACACTGAGTGACTGACACACTGACTGGCTGTTGGACTAGCTATGTGTTCTCTACTGCTGACAGAAGGGGAACACAAGACGAATAGATTGACGGACACCGGTGTGTAAGGGTGGTGGGTAGGTGGGGTTGGTCAGTTTCAGTGCGACAGCACACGGGACCTGAAAAATTGAAGAGAAAAAGCACTAAGTATCACAACATCAGAGAAAAAGACCATGGCAACACAGTAACAACATATACTCTTTATCTCTCTCTCTGTCACAGACGGAGTCTAAAAAAAGAGGGGTTGTGATTGACAGCTGCAGGTTTCTAGGGGTGCTTCGGGTCAGGTTTATGGTTTATTGCAGCCAGAGATACATGTGCTTGTATTCATACTCATACACAGACTCCCACTATATTTCAGCAACAGAACAACTGGGAATCTTATTCATGTTTTAAATGGCCCTATATAAAAACGTGAGAAATTTGAGGGGAGTTTTAGAAGGACATTTGAAAAATATTCAGTATGATCCTCAATAGTCCCTTAGTTTTGTATAAACGTTGCTTATACGCATGCTGGTTATACAAGTTTCAAAGTGTCTCAATCATAATGACAAACTAAGCACACACTTGGAACACATACTTGGAAAAATACACACATCTCACTAGCTCAACATCCATGGCAACTTCAATCACAGATACACAGGCGCGCTCATGTCACCTAAAAATACACTAAGGGCAAAGCGAGCATAGCGGTGCCCCTGCCCCTTGGATTACTACCCAGTAAACCCCCTCTCTGGTTCCACACCCCATACCTGCCCCTCATCATATCCTCCCAGTGATTTGACTCACTATACCCAAATTACTCGCTTATCACTTTGTAAACAAACAAAGAAGGACACGCTGTGACTGTGGCCTTTATAGATATAAAACTCTGATCTCTTGCCTCCCCGATACAGGATAGAGTCCTGGCCCAGTTGCCATGGACAAGAGTATTCCACCCCATTCGCTATGACAACAGGACAGGCATGTACAAATATAATCCCTTTAGTGACTGTAACAGATCCTTTGTATTCAGAGGCAATACAAAGGATCACAGGCAATAAAAAGGATCATAGGGGGACAACTTAATCATGACTCGTCCTTTGATTACAAGGGTACAGCGTCATTATCATCAACATTAGAGGACCAAAACCTGGAAATGCTGCTGCTACTCTGTCCTTGTTTTACTCTTATTATTATCTATCCTGATGCCTAGTCACTTTACCCTGCCTTCATGTAAATATCTACAGTGAGCGAAAAAAGTATTTGATCCCCTGCTGATTTTGTACGTTTGTCCACTGACAAACAAATGATCAGTCTATAATTTTAATGGTAGGTTTATTTGAACAGTGAGAGACAGAATAACAACTAAAAAATCCAGAAAAACGCATGTCAAAAATGTTATAAATTGATTTGCATTTTAATGAGGGAAATAAGTATTTGACCCCCTCTCAATCAGAAAGATTTCTGGCTCCCAGGTGTCTTTTATACAGGTAACGAGCTGAGATTAGGAGCACACTCTTAAAGGGAGTTTGTTACCTGTATAAAAGACACCTGTCCACAGAAGCAATCAGTCAATCAGATTCCAAACTCTCCAACATGGCCAAGACCAAAGAGCTCTCCAAGGATGTCAGGGGCAAGATTGTAGACCTACACAAGGCTGGAATGGGCTACAAGACCATCGCCAAGCAGCTTGGTGAGAAGGTGACAACAGTTGGTGCGAAAGGACATTTGTTCTCTCTCAAAAACCAAATCAGATAGGCTAAATGGAGATTTTTCACTCCATGTTGCTTATGATCTCAGTAAACAGAATACCTTTCCATGGCCAGAGCCATAGTATAACAGCATGTCGGAGTGCAGGTGCTTTCCACCACATGTTATGAAAAGACATACATGGAGATCCTGTCGGAGATTGACCCTCAGCCAAGGCTATTATGTCCAGACTGTTGTTTACAGATCACCCACAAAAGCAGTGAATATGGGTCACCAATCATCCTTGACCTATTAGTGGTGTAAGGTCCCGTGTAGCTCAGTTGGTAGAGCATGGCGTTTGCAACGCCAGGGTTGTGGGTTCGTTTCCCACGGGGGGCCAGTATGAAAATGTATGCACTCACTAACTGTAAGTCGCTCTGGATAAGAGCGTCTGCTAAATGACTAAAATGTAAATGTAAAATGTGTACATTTGCTCAATGTACTATGCTATATGAAGTACCAGTTTTAATAAATAGATGTGGTGCTATTGTTGGTTCCCGTGATGACGTCTGATGTTGTGCTATTGTTGTGTCTATTTGCCATGGGGCGCCCACTATGGGGGATGACACAGCAGCTGTGACCAACCTTGGTTCCAGATATTTGTGAGGATTAATGTGCTATGTGAAGGTTATTTTTAATTTGATGTAATCACGTGACATTGTTAGCTACATTGCTAGAACCTTGCTGAATATTCTAAGACCTTTGCCAATGTCTTCATTTGGTGGTCAGGTTCTTGTCCACCAGCAGAGAAGATTTAAGAAAGTGGTCTCAGAAATATCAGGTTCTTTCTTAGATAAGCAGCCTCAACTTTTGTTGCCTGGCCGGTCAACAATTTAAGTCAAATTGTCAGGGATCACTTCCCCCAATCATTCCAATAATTCTCATCCCACTGGGGGCACACTGGTTGAATCAACGTTGTTTCCATGTAATTTCATTGAAATGACATGGAATAGACGTTGAATTGATGTCTGTGCACAGTGGAATCTCTGGTGTGGACCAGCTATAGGTCAGTAATGGTAGGCTATAATTTCGGCACCCAGAACAAATCTTGCGTAAGCGGTGGCCTCTGGCCATCTACTCGATTTTGTAAAGTCTGTCACAAGATATGAGTAGTGGTACAGTACATCACTGGTCACTGCTGTTTCATCTCTTTTGGGATGTGTTGCGACATCCAACTAGGTGGCTACTCACACCCTCCCTTTGGCATGTAACTAACTCCCAGTGTCAGCTCTTTCTCATATAACACCAACAACAGCTGCTGTTCTGTCCCCCTCTCCACAGCCCAGTCACAAGCATCGTCCACTGCACTGACCGGGGATATTTGAAAACATCAAGTTCAGAGAGGATGAGTAGGAGGGGAGGGAGAGAGGCAGAGAATCAAATACAGTATGCATGTGAATCTTTGTAAAAATTATATAAGCTAGTTGAGGTCTGAGGCAAAGCTTATTGTTGGGAGGTTGTGGTGTACATCTGCCTTGCTTGCTGTTTGGGGTTTTAGGCTGGGTTTCTGTATAGCACTTTGTGACATCTGCTGATGTAAAAAGGGCTTTATAAATAAATGTGATTGAGTGTACTTCTCAAATGTGTATTGGAGTATCCGAGTGTGCCATAACCTCCATACTGCAAGTATGTCTTTGCCGAGGATGATGAGGGTCAGAATTGGTAGGAAAACAGCACAATAATGTGGAAGAAAGATGAACTACCAGATCCTATGAAAAACATCATATGGGGTAGGTTAGGAACAGAGAGAACAGCTTATGACACTAAAGCAAAAGGAGGACAGAAATGAAAAGGGCATGAACATAAGGAAAATAGCAGAGATGGATCAAAGTCGACGGGAAAGATATTGGAACGTGGCAGAGGTAGCTGAGTAGGTGACACCGTGACAAAACAAACACAAAGCCAGGAAGAATGATCATTAGCACTAACACCACCTGCTGTTTACCAGTGTTGATGCAAAATCTCAAAGGCCAGAACTCACTGGCATGCAGGAGCTCTGTACAGGACACAATGCCATCATGCGTCCAACTCCTACCTCCCCCAGTGTCAGAATTCCTATGCCTATCTCCAGAGATTATTTATAGATGCTGAGCAACACTCTGTGCCTTTGAGGCTAGAGCTGGAATGAGTTAACCCCCCCCCCCCCCCCCCCCCCCCCCTCAAGTAGGCTATCACTCGTATCCTGATTTCAACTGGCCTCGCATTAAATGTGTGTGAGTGTGAGTGAAATAGAATGCAACTGCAGATTCTACATAGTGTATAGTTGATGCTAGAATGAATGTGTTTACATCGATTATTTTAGGTGATGAAATGTGTGAAAAGGTTCTTATTTGGGTATGTCTTTCATGCAAATATCTGCACACTTGTATTTTGTGTTATTGGCGATGGTTAAGTTGTAAAGTTCTGGTGAAATACAAGAGCGCAGCAGTGCAACTTCTAATGTCAACATATTACATATTATATATAAATGCTTTATGATTAGGATAGGCTATCTCATCAAGTTGGATGAATCATGACTCGAAGAATCATGCAAATAGTTAGAGAAAAATACAGTCAATATGCGTTTACCTCTCTCTCCACTCACTTTCCTCTCACTCTTCTTCCTTATCTTTCTTCGTTTCTTTCTTGGCTTTCTTTCGCTTTGTTGATTTTCTCTCACAGGTTGCTCTCTCTTCCTCTTTCCTCTGTCCCTCTGTCCTCTGTCTGTCTGTCAGTGCACTGTAGTTCAGTGTTTGAGTGAGTCAGGGTCCAACCAAGTCTATGAAATGAAACCCCCTCCCTCCCTAATTTCCAGCTCCCACCCCCTACAACTCCAAATACAGGCACCCCCTCCCTCCCTACCAAAAATACTCCATATGTTGCCAGCCCTCTGCCATCCCACCCCCTTCAGTCACTCGGATATGCCAATATGATGTGCTCAAGTTTCTGTTGTCTCACAGTCTCTCTCTCTCTCTCTCTCTCTCTCTCTCTCTGTGTTGTGTGTGTGTGTGTGTGTGTGTGTGTGTGTGTGTGTGTGTGTGTGTGTGTGTGTGTGTGTGTGTGTGTGTGTGTGTGTGCACGCATCAGGAAGAGGCTCTGGTGCTATTTTAACAAAGTAGTGGAAAAACTTTGTGGAGTTGTGTAATGTTGACACACCGAATGTTGTAGAGATTCTATCAACAGGAAAGGAGGCATGCACTATGACACTGACAACAATATAATTGTATTGATTATTAATACATTAGCATCTCAATACCAGTATTGTAAGGGCAATAACTAATGATGGTGATGGTAAAAAATGATTGATAAAAACTGTAAGATGTAACATTTCTATAGGGCCATATCAGTACATTATCACCAATATCATTATGATGTCACAAAGCATATTAAAGGCCCAGTGCAGTAAAAACGTGATTTTCCTGTGTTTTATATATTTCTACACTATAAGGTTGGAATAATACTGTGAAATTGTGAAAATTATGATAATGCCCTTTTAGTGTAAGACAGCGGTCCCCAAACTAGGGGTTGCGAACCTGATATGAAAATGGGGTCGTGGGAGAATTTCCAAAATCCTGAAAAATATAATGTGACATTATACATTTTAGTAGACACTCTTATACAGAGCGACTTACAGGAGCAATTATGGTTAAGTGCCTTGCTCAAGGGCAAATCAACAGATATTTCACCTAGTTGGCTCAGGGATTCGAATCAGAAACCTTTTGGTTGCTGGACAAATGCTCTTAACTGCTAGGCTACCTGCCGCCCTGATAATATCGCCTTTGTCTCTCAAAATCATTGTAATGTGGTTAACCTTAAAAATGGAAATGAAAATTGTTCAAATCTAAAAGTAAAAATTCAACCAGAGAGCGCCCTTATACATACACCGAGAGCAACTGGCGATATGCAGCAGGTATCTTCGATTGTAAACTACATCACAGGCCTGTTCGCAAAACTATGTGGAGATATGGGATCAGAGCATGACAATGTGACCAAATGCTTCAGACAACACATGAATTGGTCACTATGGAGTCTTCTTTTTGACCATTTTAATTGAAATCAATCAAAGTAAGGTACTTCATTGTTACCCAGAAAATATTTTATATTGATATAAAAACGGCTGCATTTGGACCTTTAAAACTCAAACAGGTGTCTGGTTTATCCTTTGTCAGCTGTTTTACTGCGTAGTTCCGTCAATCTCCACGTCAACTGCAGGCTGACTGAAGCAGTGGATATGACGGCGCTGACCCACTACTACTGTAATGAAGCAGCTTCCGGGGCACAGGACACCAGCACTAAACATGGCGGAGGAGCTGTTAGAAGTGGTGGAGAGACTTCAGTCTCGGCTCTCCGAAAACCTTGAGCCTCGCAAGGTAATAATCGAAAGGCCCAGAATGGAACCGCAAGGCTGTAGCGGATTGCTTGCGCTAGCTAGAATGTTTTCAAATATTGTCGCGTGGCAGGTAGTACCGCGAATGTAGCTAACTACTGCTTTTTCTAAGATCACGTCACGATATGTAACTTAGCCAACTAACGTTAACAGGGTTTCTTAACCATAGTTCATGTTAAGTTTAACCTAGTCCTCGAGCTACCTGCCAAGTCCGTAGAACTGTACTTTATGCAATGGAGCCATTGTAGCTAACGGACACTGCCACTTTCAAATGCTAATACTTTAGCCAGCTAGCTAACGTTCAAGAAACGACAACCAAAACGATTGTAATTTATAAGCTCCGCGATCGAGTGACAACAACATAACAGCAGCGCGGGCCTAGTTGTTAGATTATTGCACTTCACTCAATGGACCAGTCCAAGTTTAAGGGCAAAAACAATATATTGGGTCTTGATGCTTTATTGTGATATCGACCGTTTCTTCATTGTGTCTCATTGAACAACGCAATCCCTGCACACACTGCAGTGTCGTGGTGGATTTTTGTCAGCTGATCAACTTTAGTAAACACAACCCCCTCACCGGATAAGTGTAGCTAGCCTACCCCCTCAACCCCCTCACATAGGCCACGACAACGGACAAATCTTGACGAGCCATGACAGTGCGCAATTTGGGCACATTTGTCCATTTCTGGTTCAAATACAGTCTGAAAGTACTGCACAGTTTGACATATAGCCTACAAAGTCAAACTACCAGTAGGCCTAAACTTTTACACAGCTAGTGTACAGCTTCACACAGTAGACCCATGTCGTCAATGCTGTGATTTTGTAAATATTGTTATGTCTCTATATTTTCATTCATTCAATGATCAGGAGCCTTGAATTAACCTGACTGTTACCTTTTAACCAGCTATATATATCCTCCCTTTTGGCATACCTGAATTGTGTGTACTTTGCTAGTGTGCAGACTGTACTGTAAATCTTCTGTATTTGCGCTATCTAGCTCCTGAAGACCCTCAAAAGGCTGGGGGAGCTGCCTATGACTGTGGATATCCTTGTGGTAAGATTTTGAAACAATGTATGGTCCTGTGTGGCTCAGTTGGTAGAGCATGGCGCTTGCAACGCCAGGGCTGTGGGTTCGATTCCCACGGGGACCAGTATGGGGGATTAAAGCATGAAAATGTATGCACACTACTTTAAGTTGTTCTGAATAAGAGCGTCTGCTAAATGACTAAAATGTAAAAATGCTCATATCACGATTGTGATAGCATCTCTTTTTTTAGTCTCAAAGACCCACACTGATTGCATTGCGCCATAGTTTCTCACTCACTGCCCAGTGTTCTTTAGAAGAGGAAGCCAAGTACAGTCTCTGGTTTTGCAACCGGATGATGTGGCCCTCTGTAGCCAGCTGCCCTATAGGAGTTGATGTGCTGTTCAATATTGTCAAACAACCTTCAGAACATGCTCATTTCCTTTTATGATGGGCAATAATGCTAATGTGGCCTGTTTTATGTGCACTACTAAGTGTACTGACCTGCTCACTTAACCATTAGAGCTCCTGAATCTATATAAACCACCCACGTTGCTCTCAATGACACGCATGACACCAGTGTCAAAACATAATGTACTGATAATGAGGACACCCTGTTACTATCTATGTTCAGCTTATATTTTGTTCTCTTCTGTGCAGGAAACTGGAGTAGGAAAAACAGTGAATTCGTTCCGGAAACATGATCTTGCTGGAGATCTTGCGAAGAGCCTTGTGGCCAAGTGGAAGAAACTGGTTCCTACCCCGTCTGCTGAAAGGTATGTTATTACTGAGGGATTTGGGGATTTCTTCTGATTCTTCGTCGTCTTCTTCATTTTCTTCGTTGTCTTAGCGTATTTGCATCTGAATTCTACTGAAGTGTAGCTTTAATGTTTTTCTTCTTCCTCGCAGACCCGGCAACACCAAGGACGTTCGAACACACGCGCACCCTCGCAGCTCCGAGGGAGCGGACGTGAGCCGCGAACATGTCCGGGAACTATCCCCGGAGGAGCCTCCTCATGTAGAGGAGGACGAAGAGGAGGAGATGATGGAGGAGGAAAGAGGCTACCGCACTAACTACTCCCCCTCCCCCCCTCAGCACCACTACAGCCCCCCACAGCTTAGCCACGGCAGCCAACGAGGGGGGTACCAGTCGGAGGGCTACGAGAGCCCCATGGAGGAAGAGCAGGAGCCCGCGCCCAGCCCCCCGCGCAAAGAGGTCCGACACGCCAAACCGCTAAAAGAGCCTGGCAGGGAGCATCACGGTTCCCACGGCGACCGGGACGAGGAGAGGCGGCGACGTCACGCCCAGGCAAGCGGCGGTGGTGGTGGTAGCGGCGGCGAAGGGAAGAAGAGCAGCGTGGAAAAGGAACCGCAGCACAGTGGCAAGGCCTCCAAGCACAGTCGGCACTCCACACAGCACGAGCGCAAGAAGGACAAGAGAGGGGGAAGTGATGGTGAGTGTGCTGCCGAGTGAGTTTGCTGAGAGAAGTTCGCTGTGAATTCTGTGTCATTGTGACATTTACAGAGAGGCTGGTTCTCAAATTACATCCTATTCTATAGATGACTATTTCAAGCTTTGAGTCAGTGTTGGTCTGTAAATAGATGGTTTTCCAATCATGTATTATATTTATACATGTGGGATAATGAGAACTTTACTGTATTGTGGATATGATGACCCATGGTCTTTTTCATCAGCACTCTGTAACAGTACTGCTATGGTTGATTAAAAGATGCAGTGATAGTTACCATTTTCCCATTAATTTGACCCCTAAAGATGTGGGTTGTTTTCACCCACTTCCCCCCCCCCATCCCATAACATCCTTCATTCCTTGTTCTCTTTATTCTCTAGGGAGGTCACGTGAGCCTAGGGACTCATCTATATTAGCCCAGGCGCCTGAGGAGCAGGCGGAAGAGGCATTTGATACCCCCACCATGTCATTTGAATCCTTCCTCACATATGACGCACCTACGCCCACTAAGAAGAAGAAGAAGCCCGGCAGCAGCAGTCGGCCCTCCTCCCACCACCACACACCTCCTCGTCCGCCTGTCCAGCCTTCGTCTGCTGGTCCTTCCTCCTCCAAAGAGTCCAAGCCCAGCAAGGCCAATGGGAGCCGCAGCAAGAAGGCTGATCCAGCCCAGACCCCGAGGGCAACGACCCCGGTGCCTGAGAAACGCAGGAGGGTAAGAACAGACTTTCACTGAACTTTTCCTCTCACTCGATCATGCGTATGTTCAATTGGAGAATGTTATATTTGCTGTCAGATTTTTGGGGGCTGGACAGTAAGTCCTTATGATCGTGTATGGTTTTTATTAACCAGTTGCCCTGACCCTGAAGTTCTCATATTATTATGAGACGTTGTTCTCAGGTTCTTGACTGAACTCTTCCTCTTTAATGTACTCTTTCTTTTACCCCAGGTGGTCGAGGTTGTGTCCACACTTCCTGATATCCCTCTGCCGGCCATCCAGCCTTACTACAGACCTCTGCCTTCCATTGATCTCACACCATTGTCCCCTCAGCGGCGCAAAGGTACAAAACATTTTTTGGGTTCTTTCTAGGGCTGTGGCGCTCATGAAATGTTGTTAGCCGGTGATTGTCATTCAAATAACTGCCCTACTCACGGTAATTGACTGTTAATTAACATAAACACATTTAGCATCTCAGGCTTCCACGCATAGCCTACAAGCCACGGATGTGGACCTTTTGGAACATCCTACATTTAAAAAAAAGTATAATAAATCCATTTAATATAGCCTACACCATCACAATAAATCCATTATTTTAGGCAGGTCTAAAGAAACATTATGATATGAAGAAAATGTAGCCTATTTCAGAAGAACAGAATAGCATATTCTGAGTCGTCCTCATGTTAGGCCCTGATCTGGCTATGCCATATGGCTGTGGGCTACACTAGTTCATTTAGCAGGTAAGATTTGCTTAGAATTCCCTTGGCATTATTTCATAGTAAGAACAATACAATTGAACATAGCTGAATGAAATAGAAAGGATATTTTTCCCTAAACGATTTTTGAGGGAGTGCGCACATGCGGCTATTCTGTGTTGAGCGGTTAACAAAGAAACAGGTCCTTCTATATGCTTAATTTAGAGTTATTTATGCAACTTTAGTTATGTTTTGATTTCTAATACATTCTAAGGATGCATGATGCGACTACTTATGATTTGAAAAAAGTTGCATGAAAGGGAAGCGCTCTGCTCTGTTTCTTGTGCAGGCTGCACACACTCTTATTCACAATTTGACAAGCACTTGATAATATGCTCACGCAGTATTCTCAATTGAATCTGGTCACATATAGCCTACTAATATATGTATGGAATTATTTTTGATTTAGAATGGCCCACAAAAAAAGTCATCCATAGCCTGCACTCGAATAGGGAATGGTTACGTGCAGTACTTTTTTAATATGCCAGGTAGGCTACACTGCTTAATTTAAGAATTTAGCAAGAAATATAGCAGCATGAGAAAGCTGGGATTTGCTTTTATTATATAGTGGTCAGTCAAAACTCTTGTTTCACACGCGATTGCGCAATGACTGGGCTTATAAATTGAAATAATTTAGAAGCCCAGTAATATAATTTAGCCGCAGAGGATCAATAGCTTCTTTATTTATTTATTTTTGCCTAGCTGTGGCTTGTGTGTAGCCCAATAACAAGGCATAGCCTACAGCCAGGAACGTGCAGCAATTCTGTCAGTGAACAGCATGCAGACTAAACAGGCCTTTCGCACAATTTCAAATACAGTCGTGGGAAAACACAGGTTGGAAAGCAAATGGCTCCTGCAGACTCTAATCCGTATGCTGTAAGCTACCAAAATATTTGATCAACTTCCAAATATTATTTTTGCAAAGTAAAACAAGCGAGATAGTCTTTTGGCATCATTGGAGTCAGTGAAATTGGAAAGCATTTTTAGGACTATAATTAGCCTACAATATGAGCGTCTCTACACACACCTACTGTAGGCCTAGGCTATTGATGGATTCAAGACAAGGTCGTTTTTATTGATCTCCGATTCTCAGTTTGTCAGTGTCAAAGTAGCCTGTCATTTAGATCATTTGTGCGGTATTAAAAAAGATTCTGCCAGTCTCCAGTCATGTAAAATGACTTAGAATTGCATGAAATGCGTTTATAAAAGGACACATTTTTCTGGGATCTTAGGCTACTAAAATTTTTCCCTATGTTTGCAACTTCTGTAAGTGCCTCAACTATTCTCCTCTATGCCATTACGCTAATGCGATGATGATATGCATGCAATGCTTTATTATAAAGGTGACTACAATAAAAAAAATTAATTATCATGCGGTACCTCAGAGCTCCCCAGGTCACCCCCCCCCCCCCCTCCTCTTGAGCTCACTATTTGTTCCGGCACCTCCCGATTTTACAAATCAAGCACTGGTCTTTACGTATACTAAATAATATGTGTGAAATTAGTTGTGATTTAGAATGGGCCATTATCATGCACCTGTCGGAACAGGGGTAGGGGAAAAAATCTCTCATCTCATCCATATGCACTTGAATAGCAAATGGAGGACACTTTTCCCGCGGTTCATTTTCATGCCAGCCAGGTAGGCTACTCCAGTTGTAAAGCAAACAATGTGCTTAATATATGGAAAGTTGAGAAATAAATATAGTAGGCCTAGCCAATAGAAAGCTGACGGGATCCTCTTTTTTAAACATATTTTATTCCATGTGTCAACCAGCTATGAGGAGCTAGCTCTCTGCGCAACAGCTGATCCTATTCCGCTAAAACTCTGAATGCCAGTGCTCTCATGAAGTGTTTGATTTGATTTTTGATTGCATTTGCATTGATGTCAGAGTGATTTAGAGGGACAATAGCGCGCTGAGTACCAGCCATTAGCAACTGGCCGTTAGCATGTTTGGTAGGCTACTAATGACCATCAGAGGCATCAGAGCGCAGTTTTGGAGAAGCCTAGTTACCGTGATCCAACAGTCACATGGAATTTGACTGCGGTCATGACTCCTGACTGCCGGTGTGGCAGTAGTACGGTCAGCGTAACAGCCGTAGTCCTTCACACTGTGTGTATATCTGTGTGTGGGTACGTTCCGGATGACTATGTGATCACGCTCTCCGTAGCCGATGTGAGTAAGACGTTTAAGCAGGTCAACATTCACAAGGCAGCAGGACCAGACGGATTACCAGGACGTGTACGCCGAGCATGCGCTAACCAACTGGCAAGTGTCTTCACTGACATTTTCAACATGTCCCTGACTGAGTCTGTAATACCAACATGTTTCAAGCAGACCACCATAGTCCCTGCGCCCAAGAACACTAAGGTAACCTGCCTAAATGAGTACCAACCCGTAGCACTAACGTCTGTAGCCATGAAGTGCTTTGAAAGGCTGGTCATGGCTCACATCAACACCATTATCCCAGAAACCCTAGACCCACTCCAATTTGCATACCGCCCAAACAGATCCACAAATGCAATCTCTATTGCACTCCACACTGCCCTTTCCCACCTGGACAAGAGGAACACCTATGTGAGAATACTATTCATTGACTACAGCTCAGTGTTCAACACCATAGTGCCCTCAAAGCTCATCACTACGCTAAGGACCCTGGGACTAAACACCTCCCTCTGCAACTGGATCCTGGACTTCCTGACGGGCCGCCCGCAGGTGGTAAGGGTAGGTAACAACATATCTGCCACGCTGATCCTCAACACGGGGGCCCCTCAGGGGTGCGTGCTCAGTCCCCTCCTGTACTCCCTGTTCACCCATGACTGCATGGCCAGGCACGACTCCAACACCATCATTAAGTTTGCTGACGACACAACAGTGGTAGGCCTGATCACCAACAACGATGAGACAGCCTATAGGGAGGAGGTCAAAGACCTGGCCGTGTGGTGCCAGGATAACAACCTCTCCCTCAACGTGATGAAGACAAAGGAGATGATTGTGGACTACAGGAAAAAAAAGGACTGAGCACGCCCCCATTCTCATCGACGGGGCTGTTGTGGAACAGGTTGAGAGCTTCAAGTTCCTTGGTGTCCACATCACCAACAAACTATCATGGTCCAAACACACCAAGACAGTCGTGAAGAGGGCACGACAAAGCCTATTCCCCCTCAGGAGACTGAAAAGATTTGGCATGGGTCCTCAGAACCTCAAAAAGTTATACAGCTGCACCATCGAGAGCATCCTGACTGGTTGCATCACCGCCTGGTATGGCAACTGCTCGGCCTCCGACCGCAAGGCACTACAGAGGCTAGTGCATATGGCCCAGTACATCACTGGGGCCAAGCTTCCTGCCATCCAGGACCTCTGAGGAAGTCCCTAAAAATTGTCTAAGACTCCAGCCACCCTTGTCATAGACTGTTCTCTCTGCTACCGCACGGCAAGCGGTACCGGAGCGCCAAGTCTAGGTCCAAATGGCTTCTTAACAGCTTCTACCCCCAAGCCATAAGACTCCTGAACAGCTAATCATGGCTACCCAGACTATTTGCATTGTCCCCCCCACCCCCCTCTTTTACGCTGCTGCTACGCTGTTTATTATCTATTCATAGTCACTTTAACTCTACCCACATGTACATATTACCTCGACTAACCGGTGCCCCCACACATTCACTGTGTACCGGTACCCCCTGTATATAGCCTCCCTACTGTTGTTTTATTTTACTGCTGCTCTTTAATTATTTTTTACTTACCTATTTTTTACTTAACACTTATTTTTCTTAAAACTGCATTGTTGGTTAAAGGCTTGTAAGTAAACATTTCATTGTAAGGTCTACACACCTGTTGTATTCGGAGCATGTGGCAAATAAAAGTTGATTTGATCCAATATCCATACTAGTGTACAACAGAATGCATTCCCAATACAGTGATTCACAGTGATTCATTCTATGTAGTATGCTAGCGTGGATATTGGAAGTACAGTTTGTGTATGTGTTGGACTTGTCTGGACTTGTAATTTGGGAAAATGTGTATTCAGATACAGTATGTATTTCTCTGTAGGCCTAAACCAGTTAGTTCTGATTGTCAGCAATTTCTCATGTTTCAAACTTTTCACCTCTTTCCGGCAGGTCCTGTGTCAAATGACGCTGAGGAGGACACCGGCTTCACTGGGAGGCGCTTTAACTCTAAAATGACGGTCTACTCGGGTTCAAAGACGTCCTATCTGCCCAAGATGATGAGTCTGTACGAGCAGTGCATCAGGGTGCTACAAAACAACATTGACTGTGAGTGTTGTCTGCTTTTGACACTATTTCAGTTTCTGTTATCACATACACTACCAGTCAAAGGTTTGGACACACCTACTCATTCAAGGGTTTTTCTTTATTTTTACAATTTTTTACATTGTATAATAATAGTGAAGACATCAAAACTATGAAATAACACATATGGAATCATGTAGTAACCAAAAAAGTGTTAAACAAATCAAAATATATTTTATATTTGAGATTCTTCAAATAGCCACCCTTTGCCTTGATGACAGCTTTGCACACTCTTGGCAATCTCTCAACCAGCTTCATGAGGTAGTCACCTGGAATGCATTTCAATTAACAGGTGTGCCTTCTTAAAAGTTAATTTGTGGAATTTCTTTCCTTCTTAATGCGTTTGAACCAATCAGTTGTGTTGTGACAAGGTAGGGGGGTGTACAGAAGATAGCCCTATTTGGTAAAAGACCAAGTCCGTATTATGGCAAGAAACGACAGTCCATCATTACTTTAAGACAGGGGTGTCAAACTCATTTTAGCTCAGGGGCCACATGGAGGAAAATCTATTCCCAAGTGGGCCGGACCGGAAAAATCATGGTGTATATATAACTTAAAAACAACAACTTCAGATTGTTTTCTTTGTTTTAATACGATCAACATACAACATAAAGCTGGAGCCTGAGGACAGTGTGTCCAAAATAGTACAAGCACAACATCACTATTAATCATAAAACACGTCAAGTTTATTTGAAAATTCTAAAGAAAAAGAACACACAAACACACAATGCCTCAGTGATTAACAGAACTGTTTCACAGATCACAGAACTATATCAGGGTGTCATTTCTCAGGCAGAAATGTAGATAAAAATAATGAAATCCTGTTCCCCAAACAAGTGCAAGAACCACAGAGTCAAGAATAGGTTAAATATACAAATAAAATAAAATCAATTAAAAACAATAGCACATCAACATAAAAACATATAATCATAAAGCTGGAGCCTGAGGACAGTGTCCAAAAGCACAACATCACTATTAATCATAAAACACCAAGTTATTTGAAAGTTCTGAGGACAAAGAACACACAAACACACAATGCCTCAGTGATTCACAGAAGTATATCACAGATCACAGAACTATATCAGGGTGTCATTTCTCAGGCAGAAATGTAGATAAAAATAATGAAATCCTGTTCCCCAAACAAGTGCAAGAACCACTGAGTCAAGAATAGGTTAAATATACAAATAAAATCAATTAAAAACAATAGCACATCAACATAAAAACATATAAACATAAATCTGAAAGCGTTGCTCAAACTCCCGTAACAGTCCAGTTATTTTATCTTTGAACCGCTTCATGTCTGCCACATGTTGGGTCGCGCACACATTTTTCAGACAGGGGAAGTGAGCTGCATCACCACCGGCAAGTTGCGTCTCCCACAATGACAGCTTCAACTTGAAAGAACGTATGCTGTCATAATACTGCGTGACAACTTTGTTGCGCCCTTGCAGCTGTTTGTTCAAGTTATTCAGGTGCTCTGTAACATCCACCAGAAATGCAAGGTCCGGCATCCATTCTGCGGAATGAAATTCTAACACTGGTTTGCCCTTTTCTTCCATGAACTGTTCAATTTCTTCTCGTAAATCAAAGAAACGCCTCAGCACAGCACCTCGGCTTAACCATCTTACCTCAGTGTGGTATGGCAGGCCATAGATGTGGTCTTTCTCTCTGAGAAGGCTGTCAAACTGACGGTGATTCAGGCTTCTGGATCGGATGAAATTAACAGTTTGGATGACCACCTTCATGACGTTATCCATCTTTAATGACTTGCAACACAAAGCCTCCTGGTGCAAAATACAGTGAAAAGTCAAAAAATCACGTCCTCCATTTGCAGATTGCACTTTCTCTCTGAACTTTGTCACAACGCCTGCTTTTTTCCCGATCATTGAGGGCGCACCATCTGTAGCCAGGCTGACAGCGCGGGACCAGTCCACTCCGACCCTGTCCAGCGCGCCGACGAGTGCGGTAAGAATATCAGCTGCTGTCGTTGTATCTGTCATCGGCACCAACTCCACAAACTCCTCGGTGACGGTCAATGTGTCATCAACTCCGCGGATGAAAAAATGGCCAGTTGTGCAACATCTGTAATGTCCGTGCTTTCATCAATTGCAACCGAAACGCAATAAATGACTTTACTTTTTGCTTCAACTGGCTGTCCAAATCCACTGAAAGATCGGAAATCCTGTCTGCAACTGTGTTTCTTGTCAGGCTGATATTTGCAAAAGCCTGCCGCTTTTCAGGGCACACAATCTCCGCTGCCTTCATCATGCATGTTTTACAAATTCACCCTCACTAAATGTTTTTGAAGCCACTGCGATTTCATTAGCAATGAGGTAGCTAGCTTTCACTGCAGCGTCACTGATGTCTCGGCTGTGAGTAAACACAGACTGCTGTTTCTTCAGACCCGCCAACAGTTCATTCACCTTCTCTCATCTCCGCTGTCCTTGAAAGTTGTCATATTTGTCGGCATGAAGACTCACATAGTGGCGACGAAGGTTATATTCTTTCAGCACTGCAACATGCTCTGAACACACCAAACATACAGCTTTCCCATTCAATTCCGTGATTAAATAGGATGACCATTTTTCTTGGAACACTCTGCACTCTGCGTCCACTTTTCTCTTTTTTGACAGAGACATATTGGGGCAATGAGGGTGCCAAAGCACATAATGTTAAAAGTAGAAGCCGTAATAAATATCGCGGGCAAAACAAAGTAGCTCATTGGCTGCACGTGCTTGACCTACTTGCTCTGCCCCGGTATAAACAGTTTGCTTGCTTAACACAATTGCTATTGCGCCATCCAGTGGACGCAATTGGAACAGTAGTTTATTTTATTGAAAAATTGCAACGCATTTTTATACTTAAATTATTATAAAAAATAAAAAAAATAATCATCTCGCGGGCCGGATTAAACCCGTTTGCGGGCCTGATCCGGCCCGCGGGCCGTACGTTTGACACCCCTGCTTTAAGACATGAAGGTCAGTCAATACGGAACATTTCAAGAACTTTGAAAGTTTCTTCAAGTGCAGTCTCAAAAACCATCAAGCGCTATGATGAAATTGGCTCTCATGAGGACTGCCACAGGAATGGAAGATCCAGAGTTACCTCTGCTGCAGAGGATAAGTTCATTAGAGTTACCAGCCTCAGAAATTGCAGCCTAAATAAATGCTTCACAGAGTTCAAATCACAGACACATCTCAACATCAACTGTTCAGAGGGGACTGTGTGAATCAGTCCTTCATGGTCGAATTCCTGCAAAGAAACCACTACTAAAGGACACCAATAAGAAGAGACCTGCTTGGGCCAATAAACATGAGCAATGGACATTAGACCGGTGGAAATGTGTCCTTTGGTCTGGATTCCAAATTTGAGATTTTTGGTTCCAACAGCCTTGTCTTTGTGAGACGCGGTTTGGGTGAACGGATGATCTCCGCATGTGTAGTTCACACCGTAAAGCATGGAGGAGGAGGTGTTATGGTGTGGGGGTGCTTTGCTGGTGACACTGTCTGTGATTTATTTAGAATTCAAGACGCACTTAACCAGCATAGCTACCACAGCATAGCTACCACAGCATTCTGCAGCGATAGGCCATCCCATCTGGTTTGGGCTTAGTGGGATTATCATTTGTTTTTTAACAGGACTATGACCCAACACACCTCCAGGCTGTGTCAGGGCTATTTTACCAAGAAGGAGGGTGATGGAGTGCTGCATTAGATGACCTGGCCTTCACAATCCCCCGACCTCAACCCAATTGAGATGGTTTGGGATGAGTCGGTCGGCAGAGTGAAGGAAAAGCAGCCAACAAGTGCTCAGTATATGTGGGGAAAGCATTCCAGGTGAAGCTGGTTGAGAGAATGCCAAGAGTTTGAAAAGCTGTCATCAAGGCAAAGGGTGGCTATTTTGAAGAATCTCAAATGTAAAATATATTTTGATTTTTTTAAACACTTTTTTTGGTTACCACATGATTCCATATGTGTTATTTCATAGTCTTCACTATTATTCTACAATGTAGAAAATAGTAAAAATAAAGAAAAACCCTTGAATGAGTAGGTGTGTTCAAACTTTTGACTGGTACTGTATTTAGTTAACTTAGTCAAGTGTAAATTATATGTTAATATAGTATACCTAACATCTCCCAAAAGAGAGAAGGCGAAGACATGGATCACTTACCCCATTTATAATGGGCTATTGTTCAAACACCACCAACTTAATTGTTGCGTGGATTCTTATGGCTGCTGGCCCACTTAGATCCACTTGCACACACTCATAAAATCATTTCACCAAAACTAAGAGCAACACCTGACGTCCTCTTTAACGTTACACCCCCACGGAACATTAACTGTTAGTGTGCCTTACTCCCCTAGGACTTTTATAGTTGTCTAAATCCAGGAAATGTATTCTAACCACAGCTCTGTTCATGCCTCTATTTTCAAATCACACTATCGTTGTTTATCTTAGAGATACTGGACACCCTGCTGATTGTGTCATTGTATAATGAGATGCTTACTGTATGTTTGTCCAGCAATTGATGAGGTGGGAGGCGTGCCTTTTGAGATTCTGGAACCAGTACTAGAGCGATGCACTCCAGAACAGCTTTACCGCATTGAGCAGTGCAATCAGGTAACACACACACAATCAACCTAGCGTCTCACACATAAATGCACAAACCCTCACCCAGTACGATATGGTCAGTGAGCTTGTAGTACACAAGCTCTCATTCCCTGCCAAGACATACTGTATACCAGGAACACCCTAGGTGAAGTGTATAGATAAAAACTTGACTCCTAACTGTAATACTTTGAGCAATGAATGGTATTTACTCTCACTACTAAATTGGAGGATATACAGTGCCTTCAGAAAGTATTCACAACCCTTGACTTTTTCCACATTTTGTTGTGGTACAGCCTGAATTTAAATTAGATTACATTTAGATGTTTTGTCACTGGCCTACACCCAATACCCCATAGTGTCAAAGTGGAATTATGTTTTTAGAAATGTTCACAAATTAATTACAAATGAAAAGCTGAAATGTCACTAAGTATTCAACCCCTTTATGGCAAGCCTAAATAAGTTCAGGAGTAAAAATGTGCTTAACAAGTCACAAGTTGCATGGATTCACTCTGTGTGCAATAATAGTGTTTAACATGAATTTTGAATGACTACCTCATCTCTGTACCCCACACATACAATTATCTGTAAGGTCCCTCAGTTGAGCAGTGAATTTCAAACACAGATTCAACCACATAGGTCAGGGAGGTTTTCCAATGCCTCGCAAAGAAGGGCACCTATTGGTAGATAGGTAAAAGAAAAGCAGACATTGAATATCCCTTTGAGCATGGTAATTACACTTTGGATGGTATATTAATACACCCATTCACTACGAAGATACAGGCGTCCTTCCTAACTCCGTTGCTGCAGAGGAAGGCAACCGCTCAGGGATTTCACCATGAGGCCAATGGTGACTTTAAAACAGGAAACTGAGGATGGATCACCAACATTGTAGTTACTCCACAATACTAATCTAATTGACAGAGTGAAAAGAAGGAAGCCTGTACAGAATACAATTATTCCAAAACATGCATCCTGTTTGCAACAAGGCACTAAAGTAATACTGCAAAATGTGGCAAAGCAATTAACGTTTTGTCCTGAATAGAAAGTGTTATGTTCGGGGGAAATCCAATACAACACATTACTGAGTACCACTCTCCATATTTTCAAGTACAGTGGTGCCTGCATCATGTTATGTGTATGCTTGTAGTCGTTAAGGACTGGGACGTTTTTCAGGATAAAAAAGAAACTGAATATACTGGAGTTGCTAACCAAGAAGACAGTGAATGTTCCTGAGGGGCAGAGTTAGTTTTGACTGCTTGAAAATATATGGCAAGACCTGAAAATGGTTGTCTAGCAATGATCAACACCCAATTTGACAGAGCTTGAAGAAATCTGAAAATAATAATAGGCTAATATTGTACAATCCAGGTGTGCAAAGCTCTTATAGACTTACCCAGAAAGACTCACAGCTGTAATCACCACCAAAGGTGATTCTAACATGTATTGACAGGGGTGTGAATACTTACATAAATTAGATTTCGTGGTCCTCTGTAGCTCAGCTGGTAGAGCACGGCGCTTGTAACGCCAAGGTAGTGGGTTCAATCCCCGGGACCACCCATACACAAAACATTTTATGCACGCATGACTGTAAGTCGCTTTGGATAAAAGCGTCTGCTAAATGGCATATTAATTAATTAATATTAATTTAATTTTCAATAATTTGCCTAAAAGTCTAAACACATATTTTCACTTTGTCATTATGGGGTATTGTGTGTAGATGGGTGGGTGAGGAAAAAATATATTTAATCAATTTTGAATTCAGGCTGTAACACAACAAAATGTGGAATAAGTCAAGGGGTATGAATTCTTTCTGAAGGCACTGTATTTGATGTCAAAACTCTTGTAAATTGTATTGTACTTGTAGTTTATAATTTTAACCCACATTTTTCCTCTCAGTGTTTTATGGAGGACTCTGATGAGCTTTGGCAACGCCACTGCCAGCGGGACTTCAAGCGTGAGACGCCCCAGGAGTACGAATCGTGGCGGGAGATGTACCTGCGGAGGCACGACGAGCGGGAGGAGCGCCTGCGCAAGCTCACCCAGAACATCAGCTCGGCCCATGCCAACAAGCCCAAAGGTGCTTTCTCTATGTCCTATCTATGAGCTGAATCCTACTATACAGTAGTTATTACTAAGAGTTATTTCATCAATGAAAGTGTACTGAGGGTGTTTATTTTGAGTGAGCATATGTTTATGTATATGTGTGTATTTTCCTCGCAGGTCGACAGGTTAAAATGGCATTTGTGAACTCCGTCGCCAAACCTCCACGTGATGTCCGCCGGCGACAGGAGAAGTTTGGCACCACAAGCACCTCCACCGCCAGCTCCACCGCAGCTGCTGCTCCGATCAAGTATGTAGACACTAGTGTGCATACCACTATCAAACACTTTATAGTAGTGCATGTTGGCACTTCCATGTTTATTTTTTCCCTACTTACATTTCCATATACGAAGACATGATTGGCTGAATGGTAACTTTATATGCTAACATGTAATTCAGACTCTCAAACTTATTCTCAAAGGTCCACTACATCATATTTTCATCTACAAGTTGACCGTTATGATTCTATGTGAATTGTTGCAATGTCATCATGGGGAATTCTAAAGGTTACCAAGTTCACGCAGAGGGGTTACGATTCCTTACATTGAAATAAAATGTTGAAACTCCCCCTGACGTTTTCTGGCTATTCCGAACTTACAGGAGGACACACAGCTTCAGGGATGCCAGAGTAGCCAGAGGACCATATGTTAAACAGGAAAAGCAAGAGACTGCCGCTAAAGATTTTCCGGTGTTCAATCTGACGACAGGGTGAGGATAGAGAGGCTAAAAGAGAAGAGGAGCACATACAAACATTCCGGAATTTCTTTCATGTCTCCACCACCATCAAACATTTTATGTTGGCACTTACATTTTCATTTACACAGAAATGCTTGGCTGAATGCTAACTTAAGATAATATGCACTACATCATATTTGTATCCAAAATTTGACCCAAATATGTCTTGTTTGAGGAATGAATGGTCATAAGATATTGTAAAGGTTCAACACTGGAGGATGAAATGGAATAGAGACAGACATTCTGACGTTTTCTGGCTGTTCCGAATATGCAGGGAGACGGCGAGCTTCAGAGACATTGTGAAAGCCTGACAGGAAAAGAAAGCGAGACAGTAGTTCAATCCGACGACAGGTTGAGGATATATAGCGACTAGGCTACATGAGTAAAGAAGAGCAAATAGAAACTTTCTTGAAATGTTGATCATATCGCTTAATAGTTCTCAGAGATGGAGCTTATAATGCCCCCCAGACTTGAAAACATACTATTACGAAACTATACTGTTTTGTATTTCCCTGTACACTGATTGGGTAGACCTTCCTGTTTTTTTTTCTTCTTCAGAATAAGGCCAGCCATGTCTTATAGCTCTCACTCGGCTGAGCCCAGCCACTCCTCCTCTCACGACAGTCCCCCTGAGACCTCTCGCTCCTCAGGTCCCAGCGGTGGGGGTGGCCCCAGCGCAAGAGACAACAAGCCACAGGTCAAAAGTGAGTATCGTGTGTGAGAAAATGGGTGCATAAATATATATTGGACTCAACATTCATGTAAATAAATAAATAAAACATTTTGACTTTAATCTGTGTTGAGAGGACATGTCTACGTGGCTAACTTTTCTGCTGTTACAATGTCACGTCTGTTTGTCTTGCAGAAATCGCCCCCATGATGGCCAAAACTATCAAAGCTTTCAAGAACAGATTCTCCCGCCGATAGAGTTGGAGAGAGATGAATGTATGGAGTGATTGAGAGGAGAGGAAGAGAGAGATTGTAGGAGCTGAGCGAGCTAAGCTCTTTTTTAATTCAATGAATTATGGAAGATCTACAAACCCCCACCAGACATGTGTACACAGGCACACACACGTCCATATACACACAAACACACACACATTTTTCTCCATTATTTTAGCGTTTCTTAAATACACACACAATTATGTCCTCTATTTTTAACTGTTCCCAGTTTGACCCTGGCAAACACACACACACGTGTACACACACAGACAAAATAACATTTCAAAGGCGAAACTAGTCATTTGTTACAAGTTCATACAAGCAGTATCATACACTACAGAGGGACTCTGACACAGACAGAACTATGCTTTAGTATGGTACGCATAAATTAAGACATCAAATTACATAGTGCTGTTACAGTCAGTCATGTTTTTAAATACAATTGAGTAGACATCCTTTTATTCCAGTGCATCCACACTTTGTTTTCCTACTGTGTTCAGTGTTGAACCACATGTGCATCCCTACTTTTATCTGGTTCACTGTGATGAGTGAGGAACGAAGTCAGTGCGGGAAGAGGAAAACACAAAAAGGGAGAAAGAGGAGAGAGCAAGTGATGGTACCCTGCAGCTTCACTCTTATGTATTTATTTTCAACTCTGGGACCCCTGGCTCACCCTGAACCCGGACCCAAATGGAAGTGGATCAAATAGTAATTTTAATAGATTTTAATAAATGTTGTATGGACATTTTTAATAAAATTGACTTTTTGCCCTCAAATATGTTAATGGTCTATTTTCTTCAGTCTGTGTTGATGTTGAAATGTAAGAAAAAAACACTGCTCAAATCTAGCAATGGAACCAGGCCATAGTGCACTGAATAAATTGCTGTGGTAGGGTACATTCTGTATGCCCCACACTATTGAGAACAGAGAATGTCATTGTTCAACTTTATATTGTAACATTGTATCACTGTAACAATGACTACTGAAAGAAAGATGCAATGGATGTTGGGTGCAAAATAAATGGGAGTAGCTTTCCACTAGACATTGATCTAAGCTTAGTTATGGGTTTTACAGGTTTGTGTGCTTGGGTAGTCACTAGCTTGTATACCCACAAAGTCATAAACCCTGCCCATTTCTAAAATGTATTCTTTAAAATGTGAATTTTAAACCGAACCTTAACCACACTGCTAACCTACCTTATGCCTAACCTTAAATCAAGACCAAAATGCTAATTTCTGTAACCAATTTTGACTTTGTGGCTGTGGAAACTGACTGCGTATAAAAACAATTAGTGAGGGAAAAAAATATTTGATCCCCTGCTGATTTTGTATGTTTGCCCACTGACAAAGTCATAATCAGTCTATAATTTTAATGGTAGGTTTATTTGAACAGTGAGAGACAGAATAACAACAACAAAATCCAGAAAAACGCATGTCAAAAATGTTATAAATTGATTTGCATTTTAATGAGGGAAATAAGTATTTGACTCTGCAAAACATGACTTAGTACTTGGTGGCAAAACCCTTGTTGGCAATCACAGAGGTCAGACGTTTCTTGTAGTTGGCCACCAGGTTTGCACACATCTCAGGAGGGATTTTGTCCCACTCCTCTTTGCAGATCTTCTCCAATTCATTTAGGTTTCGAGGCTGACGTTTGGCAACTTGAACCTTCAGCTCCCTCCACAGATTTTCTATGGGATTAAGGTCTGGAGACAGGCTAGGCCACTCCAGGACTTTAATGTGCTTCTTCTTGAGCCACTCCTTTGTTGCCTTGGCCGTGTGTTTTGGGTCATTGTCATGCTGGAATACCCATCCACGACCCATTTTCAATGCCCTGGCTGAGGGAAGGAGGTTCTCATCCAATATTTGACGGTACATGGCCCCGTCCATCGTCCCTTTGATGCGGTGAAGTTGTCCTGTCCCCTTAGCAGAAAAACACCCCCAAAGCATAATGTTTCCACCTCCATTTTTGACGGTGGGGATGGTGTTCTTGGGGTCATAGGCAGCATTCCTCCTCCTCCAAACACGGCGAGTTGAGTTGATGCCAAAGAGCTCGATTTTGGTCTCATCTGACCACAACACTTTCACCCAGTTCTCCTCTGAATCATTCAGATGTGTATATATTAGGGCTGTCAAAAATAGCGCGTTAACGACGTTAATTAGTTGTTTGCTGTTAATTACGTCAATTTTTCACGCATGCGCAGTGTGACAAATTATTCAGGTCAGGAAAGTGGTTGGGAGCTAGAGGCGAGATGGAGCAAGGTGAGCAAAGTGGGCCTATTGACGGATTCAAATATAAAAAGAATGATGATGGTACAGTTAACAAGTACAAGGTTATTTGCAAGATTTGTAAGAAGGAGTTTCAATTTCACCGGAGCTGTTCAAGCTTGAAGTACCATGTCAACGCCAAACATGCGTTTGCTGGGCCGTCAGATTCAGCAAGTGGTTTGCGCCAGACCACGCTGAATGTTTGCAGGCAATTAACAAAATCAACCTCAGATAATTTGATATCTAGCCACTCCTGCAACCACTGTTCCCTGTGAACGACTTTTCTCAGTTGCAGGTCACATTGTGAACAAGAAAAGGTCAGCTTTACTTTCAGAAAATGTGAACAAGTTAGTTTGCCTCAGCAACTGGCTGAAAGATGATGAAGCTCAGTAGATTTGAAAGGTGATGTTCAAACAAAAAGACCAGTTTCAGTGCAACATGTTATAGTAGTTAGCAACTGGATTTTTGAGCAACTGGATTAAAGAATGGAGGAAAAGGTAAAAGATTGTTCTTTGGTTTGATTTAAAAGTTTTATTGAAAATGTTTTTTTCCACAGATGACTCAAATTGTGCAAAAATGTGGTAGGTCACTTATGATTTGACTACATTTATTGCTTTCTGTTCAATTGAATACTGTAAATTGTACATCCTGGTTAAGAGGAATGCCAAAGAGGAAGTGATGGAACATTACAAAGACAAATATTATGGTGTGTAGTATGTTTCAGCTTGATTTAAAACACCATTATTTGGCTGTGTTAATAAACAGACATAATATGAAAATTATGTATCTGTGTCCTGTTATTTATCTTTTGGTATGCATTTCAGAAAAAAATGGTTAGGATTCAGGTGTAATTGCAAATAGTGATTAATCATGATTAATCCACTGAATTCTGATTAATTTGATTAAAAATTGTAATCATTTGACAGCCCTAGTATATATAAATTATTTATAACTCATTGGTCAAAAGTCTAGTGGAAACCGTGTGCTTCTTCATTGGTGTTGGCCAGGCCAATCAGAGAGCACGTTGACGTTGTGCGTCTGTACGTCCATCTTGATTGGCTATTCACGTACATGTCATTTTGAAACGTTTCCTCTTCAGAATGTCGTGGAAAAGTGAAACCAGCCAAGTCAGTCTGAAACAATTTAGCTAGTTAGACAGCCCGTATTATCACTAGCTAGGACTTACATTTCCCTGAAGTGCGATATATAGTTAGTACCTGCGATGTCTGGTCACGGCCATGGTCACGGTGGGCACAGCCACGGCTGCTGTGAAGACGAGCACGAGCCAGCGGAACGGGGCCTGGAGTATGCACTGTATCAGCGCATTGACATCGAGAAACTGCAGTGCCTCAATGAAACAAGAGAAGGCGATGGGAAACTCGTATTTAAACCATGGGATCAACGGACAGACAGGGAGAAGGTAATGTTATCGACACCTTGAACGTATAGTACATCATCTCAATTGAACCATGTTGATGTAGAAGCCCTGAATCCTCCACTGAAATTCCGAAACTCAGCTGTGACAGCTGCTATTTTGGCTCTGCGTTAAATCAAACATTGCAAAAATGAACACCCATGTTTACTTGTTTTGTACGCTGAACAAAATATGTACACAGATGGTGGAACATTTTAGTGTCAATGAGCCTTTCCTTAGAGGTGATCTGGACCTCTTCCATTGGTGAAGGCCAATTTCTTATAACCTTTATAATGTGATGAAGGGCCACTGTTGGTTAACTGTTATGTGATACTAATGAATTAATTATCTTGAAACGCTCTCTATCCTCTGCAGTTTGTGGAGAGTGATGCTGATGAAGAGCTCCTGTTCAACATCCCGTAAGAAAATCCCCCCTTCAATCCCCTTTTCACCCTTTCTTATCCTGTCATTTTAATTTCAAACTCATTTCATCATATTGTGTTTATGCATTGTCTTTCACAAATCATATGTTTCTCAGGTTCACCGGAAGTGTCAAGCTGAAAGGGATCATCATCGCCGGTGAAGACGATGAATCGCATCCTGCTGAAATGAGACTGTGAGTGAGTACTGTTTCTGCCTTTCAGAAACACCTTGGGTCCTGACTGTGGAATTGCATTGAGCCAGTGTAGCATGTATCAACTCTCTCTGAGAATTGATGGTTATTACTCACAACAAGTCAACTGAGGTGTATTCATTAGTGCAAAACGGGTTACAACGGAAAGTGTTTTGCAACGAGTTTCTATTGGACAAATTCAGGTAGGTCCCACCCTGTTTGCTTCTGTTTGCTTCTCTTTGCTTCTGTTTGCTTTCTTTTGGTTCATAGTGAATACACCCCCAGCTCTGAGCCAGCTGTGCAAACTGAAAGAGCAAGTACTGTAGTTAACTTATTGCTCCGTGAGTGACATTTGACTCACTATTCACACCGTGAGATCAAGACACCTAGTGACAAATTAGCTAGCTTCTGCTACATCGGCATGGAACTGCATTTATTTATTGTCAGCGTGTGTGGTTTTGTTAACCAACTGTGTGTTGTTGTTGCACTGTCCCTGTAGATACAAGAACATACCCCACATGTCCTTTGATGACACATGCAGAGAACCTGAGCAAGCCTTCCGTCTCAATAGAGATCCACTGGCTCAGCTGGAATACCCAACTAAGTAAGAGCAATAGAACTGGCACACACACACACACACACTAAAAGTAGTATTGTTTTCCCAGAAAACAATGGGGTTTGTGGTCAATGCTCACCCATAGACTATTTCCGAGACAAAATAACAAAACATTTTTTTAAATATAATTTCGGTGAACTATGCCTAAGTACCCACCCAACCTAAAATGCACTAAACGAATCAACGCTAAATTGCCATTCTTTCCAGGATTGCCCGTTTCTCCAACGTTAATCACTTATCCATTCACATATCACGGAACTTTGGGACAGCGTCCACACGGGTCTACTACATTGGGCTGAGTGGGGAGTACTTCCAGGTGAGAACAAACATGAGACCCACGTCCAGTAAATTATCTTATACAGCTCTGACAGTGTACGCCTCAGCTGAGTTAAAAAAATAATATATTATCGCTCTATGGATTTCCAGAATTGTTTCACATATGTATCAGGGTTTACTTTGACTGTTCCATGTTGTCCATTTTAAATGGCAAAACACCTCACCTCAGTCTTATCTGTTTTGCCTTCTTCCTCCCAGGCTCACAGACATGAAGTGACCATCTGCAACTACGAGGCGTCCGCTAACCCCGCAGACCATAAAGTCGACAGCATCATCCCACAAACAAATGTAATCTCCTGAGAGAAAGGAGGGGTTGGATAGTTGCATTGACAGATATGGGTCAAAAGGAAGTGTGATGGATACTTAGGCCTGGTGGGTGAACTTTCTCATTGGAGGTCAGGTATGACTAATACTGAATATCAGTGTCTAATCTGGATTTTCTCAGTTGTTACACTTATTTTACCACCGAGTGGAGGCTGAAAGAAGTGAGTAAGTTTTCGTTTGGTAAATGAATACATTTAATGTCACTCGCTGGTAACCCTGTGATAAAGCATCACAGTGCTTTTATCTAAAACTATATCTGGACACTGTGTGCCACTTAGTGGTTTGTTGTAATATGACAACTTGTCTCAGCAAAACTGGAATGACTCCAAAGTCCCCTACAGTGGGAGTTCACTCACATTATTTCATCCAAGCTCTGAATGGCATGGCAATAATGTGACTATGTAGACATTTTGACACAACCAAAGTAGATCAGCATTAGGTTTTCATTTGATTGGATTAGACCCATATACCCACGTTTACTTAGGGGTGAGTTGCTTACTATACCACACTGCTTTCTTTGACAACCACCAAACACAAAAGCTATTTAACTTATGATTTCATTGCATTATTAATGTGCGTAGTCTGAGAAATAGGACATGTCCTTTGCTGTTGTGTGTAATGTAATTATTTGAAGAATAAATATGTTACATAAGAGAATAGTTGTATCTTTTTTAATGAGTGTAGAATTGAATTGAAATGTAGATTTTGGTTTAATAAAAGGCTGTATTATTTGTATTGAAAATATGCTCTTTGCATTTGGTTTAATATATTTGTTTAGTGTAAATGGCACTATCTGGAATGTATTGCTTGTCAGTATCAATTGATGGCAGGGTGTGCGGTAAGTGCAAGCTCGAGAAAGGGTGTGGACGTCATCATGACATCACTTTGAAGAATACCCGCCCCTCTACAGTAGCGGAAGTTCCGTTGATATTCTGGGACAGCAAGTGGTGAGTGTATGAGTTTGTATTAGCGGGCCGCGGTTTTACAATACTTCTTTACCCCATCCGAACCGAACCCACATGGGCCTTTGGTTACCGCTGTGGTTCAAGGGCATGGGGGAGTGATCTATTCAAATACCTGGTCGAATTTAGGCCACATGTCAATCGAACCAAGCTCGAATGGGAGCGGAGGGCAGTGTACTGAGACAATACAGATTGCTGCTGTGTGGTTAGCTTGCTAAACTAGTCATTGTGAGGATTTGTAGCCAGCTAAACAGGATTAAGCTGGCTACTTGGATGTAGCTAACTAGCTTTTCCGTGTTTGAAACAATCTAACTAGCAGCTTTGCACTTATCCTCTCCCGAATTCACCAACCGGGTCGCACAACGTCAACGACTGGGTTAGCGAGTTAAGCTTCTCGCAGCCCACATTGTTTCTTCATCCCCACCCCCTTCCTTTCCTTTAGCTAGCTAATGAACAAAATATCAGTACCTTGAATCGCAGGTTGCCTATGTATTGCCACATATGTCTACGTCAAATTATCGAAATAAACGAATATAAAAAGATAAATGATTTATGTTGCAAGATGCCACTCCTGCTGGCTAGCCTGCATAACCTAACTGGCTAATAAAACCAGGGGTGTAATCATTAGTCCAAACAGTTCCGTTTTGCAACTAAAACTAGATTTTCTATTGGAAAAATTCAGGTAGGTCCCTCCCCGTTTCGTTCCCTTTAAGAAACGTTTTGCAACAGAATCGGCAGAATGAATACACCCCAGGTGGTGCTGGCTGGCTATACTGACTCTCGCATATGACTCGATGCTTGCCTGGTGGCTAGAATTTACGTACCGGGTCAACCTTACAGGGCCTTTATCCCAGTAACAATTGCTCTTGACTACTGAGGAAATCGAGCCATTAGTTGCTGTAAATGCAAGTGAATAAAGGGCCAAGGCGGCACATTTTTCTTACGCCAACCACTGAACCAGTCAACGTTTAGTTTGTCCTAGCCAGTTTAATGCCAGTCAGATTGGAACTCGTGATCTTGTAGCCGTACATGGACGGCATTGTTTGTATCACCCCTAGAAGGCTTGTGCAGAGGGAGAGAAAGGTGACCGTGAAATCAGTGCATTTCCATCCTGGCTTAGCTATTTTCCCACTGCTGGCGAGATCATGGAAGATCAATGTAGGATAAGCAGCTATTTGTGGTCTTTCTGTTATCTCTGAAGGGACTGAGGATGTTTGCCTCGCAAATACAATTATAGGCTGGCTAACATTAAGTGATGGTATAAAGTCAAAGATTACACTGGCATGCTGGAGCAAAGCCTCTTTGTGTCATTGATGCTAGATGCTATTATCCAATTGCTTCAGACCATGCCTACTAGTTGAGAGCACATCAGATAGGGTTAGTGCTATCTGGGGTCCTTTGGATGTCCTTACCCTAAACCCAAACCATAACTTTTACCTAACCTTTACCGTAACCATTTTAAATGTCAACTTCAATGGGGTAGGGATGTCCCAAGGATACTGGATAGCAAGGACAGAGTGCTGTAGGCCTATCTGCCTGGGGGAATCCTATAGCTTGGTCTATTAAAGTGTGCAATAGCTGACACAGTGACAAGGAAATGAGGCAAAGGCACAATGAGCATGTGTGTCATTGCAGTTCAGAAAGTTATTGTGATGTGTGATGCACGGCCCTGTTCTTTCTCCCTATTGAGCCTGTCATTCTCATTCCCCTGATTTGGCTCTTTTTCTGTCTCTCCCTTTGCTTTCACTAACTGCCTGTCATTAGGTGGGTGGAATTGTAACTAACTGTGTATAATCTCCCTGAAGGTTTATACATTAACCTCCTCACTTTTCCTTTTAATTCCTCCTCTCGTTGTTTCTTTCTCTCTCTTGCTCGCCTCATCCTTTTGTCATATCTGTCGCTCAACCTGACTCTATGAGGGTATTAATTGTTGATTTAGAAAACAATATGCTCTAGCTAGCCGATACTAACCTATTGGCATGTTGGTTAATAACGTAAATGCATTTGCTGACTGAAGAGATTCTTCTCAGTACTCAGCCTGTCTCTTTGGTTCAAAGCAGCCATAATCTGTGGGATGTTCAGTTCTTTTGTCGTGTCTGTCCCTTTGCTGAATAGCTGCATTGATAACCAACCAACGTCATTGATATGCCCCTTTTTCCCCGTCCTCTCTCTAGCACCCCTTATAGTGTATGTGTGGCAACAACATGTCTCTGCCGCTGCTCGCTGAGGCTGTGACGGTGTCTGGGACAGAGAAGGAGACCGCTGCGGTGAGAGACCACACCAACACCATAGTGTAACTTACGGCAGCCATCAGTACATTTGCCCACTTGTTGGAAAGTATCAAAGGAAGCGCAAGAGTTGCCATGCTAAAGCTAATTTGTTGTTCAGAGGTGCTGTGAACTATGGCCGGGACGATACCAGTATCGCAATATTTTTTTCCATGGCAAAATTGAAAAACCAAAGCAGACCAAAGTCTTTAGTCCTTTAAAAACCTGCTGTATGTAAAATATTGTGCTTTGAATTGGAAAATAAATAAACGTGACTCTGGATGACAATGATTTATGTTTGTGTCCAACATTAGGGCTTTTTCCTAAAGAAGTTAAATCCACTTTGTGTTTTGTTTACTTGCCACGATACTAACGAGTATTGTGATACTGGTATCGTCCCGGCCCTACTGTGAACCCACTGGGCAAAAACGGGTTAAATCAACGTTTTTTTCCATGTGATTTCAACAACAAAAAATCATTTTGGTGATGTTGAATCAACGTGGAAAAATGATTGGATTTGCAAAAAGTCCTCAACGTAAGGGAATTTAGTCTTTTTTTCACCCAACTTTTAATCGAAATCCAATGACATGGTGATTTGGGGGGGGGGGGATTTCACATTGCATTCACGTTAGCTGACAACTCAGCTAAATGTAAATAATATAAAAACGTTCAACTGCCGTCTGTGCCCTGTGTGAAATTATTTGGCATGGTTGCACAGCCATATCAGAACTGTGCTATGTTACAATATTGGAGCTTGAAGGCATAACAAACCGATTACACTGAAGTTAAGTGGGTCTGCAAGCACTTGTTAATTCAAAACCAACTCAATTTAATTCATTTGTGAATGCTCATATTAGATTTTTACATAGAACGTACAAAAAAAGAAATATCTGGCTCGCCAAATTAAAAATGTTCTTCCTCTTATGATGCCTCTGATAAATGCTATTCTTTAGAGTTGGCAAGCAGCAATATCAACAGAGTAGTCCTGGCAAAAGTAGGAATTTGCCCTTTGTTGTTGCTATTGGGCCTGATTCACTTGTACATGGTGTTCATATGCAAATACAGTGCAGTTGCCAGTAAACTGGCATGCTCATTGGTGTTCTGTGTAGTTCATAATGCACCATTAACCAATGTAAAACTGTCAATCTCCCCAATTCTACCAAAGGTGATCTTCCTTCATGGTTTGGGTGACTCAGGGTGAGTTTTCTGTCTTAAACCTGTTTTTGTTCGTTTTGGTGTTCGGCTGTTTTCTTTCTTGAGGCAAGTCGAAGTTCGGTAGCCGAAGTCTACGCCCCTTTGTCGGTGATTGGTCAACAGTCCTACTCCTAGTAGGATTGGTTACTATGGACTGGGGTTCTTCAATTAAGTGGTTCTTGTCATTCAATGAGAGATGACTAGTTTTCATGCAAATGTTTTCACTTGAGAAATACTACACCAAACATCTTAGTTAGATGTAAAATTGCGCGACTAAGACATCCTCTGCAAAAATGTAAAATGATTACAGATTTCTTGATTTATCATAGATTCATTCAGACTATTTTGAGGAAGTGTGCACCTTCATATATACAGTGCCTTGCAAAAGTATTCATCCCCCTTGGCGTTCTTCCTATTTGTTGCATTACAACCTGTAATTTAAATTGATTTTTATTTGGATTTCATGTAATGGACATACACAAAATAGTCCAAATTAGTGAAGTGAAATGAAAAAAATAAGAGTCTGCAACACCACTAAGCAAAGGGCACCACCAAGCAAACGGCACCATGAAGACCAAGGAGCTCTCCAAACAGATCAGGGACAAAGTTGTAGAGAAGTAACGCCAGGGTAGTGGGTTCGATCCCTGGGACCACCCATACGTAAAAATTTATGCACACATGACTGTAAGTCACTTTGGATAAAAGTGTTTGCTAAATAGCATATTATATTATATTAAGTACAGATCAGGGTTGGGTTATAAAAAAATATCTGAAACTTTGAACATCCCACGGAGCACCATTAAATCCATTATTAAAAAATGGAAAGAATATGGCACCACAACAAACCTGCCAAGAGAGGGCCGCCCACCAAAACTCACAGACCAGGCAAGGAGGGCATTAATCAGAGAGGCAACAAAGAGACCAAAGAACCCTGAAGGAGCTGCAAAGCTCCACAGCGGAGATTGGAGTATCTGTCCATAGGACCACTTTAAGCTGTACGCTCCACAGAGCTGGGCTTTACGGAAGAGTGGCCAGAAAAAAGCCATTGCTTAAAGAAAAAAATAAGCAAACACGTTTGGTGTTCGCCAAAAGGCATGTGGGAGACACCCCAAACATATGGATGAAGGGACTCTGGTCAGATGAGACTAAAATGGAGCTTTTTGGCCATCAAGGAAAATGCTATGTCTGGCGCAAACCCAACACCTCTCATCACCCCGAGAACACCATCCCCACAGTGAAGCATGGTGGTGGCAGCATCATGCTGCGGGGATGTTTTTCATCGGCAGGGACTGGGAAACTGGTCAGAATTGAAGGAATGATGGATGGTGCTAAATACAGGGAAATTCTTGACGGAAACCTGTTTCAGTCTTCCAGAGATTTGAGACTGGGACGGAGGTTCACCTTCCAGCAGGACAACACTTGAGTGGTTTAAGGGGAAACATTTAAATGTGTTGGATGGCCTAGTCAAAGCCCAGACCTCAATCCAATTGAGAATCTGTGGTATGACTTAAAGATTGCTGTACACCTGCAGAACCCATCCAACTTGAAGGAGCTGGAGCAGTTTTGCCTTGAAGAATGGGCAAAAATCCCAGTGGCTAGATGTGCCAAGCTTATAGAGACATACCCCAAGAGACTTGCAGCTGTAATTGCTGCAAAAGGTGGCTCTGCAAAGTATTGACTTTGGGGGGGGTGAATAGTTTTGCACACTCAAGTGTTCTGTTTTTTTGTCTTATTTCTTGTTTGTTTCACAATAACTCATATTTTGCATCTTCAAAATCACTCTGTATAAATCGTTCTGTCTTATAGCTTAATCTGTATAGACTTAATCTGTACCACTTTCTCTCTCTGAATTGCTATTTTTCTTCCTGTTGTCAGGCATGGCTGGGCAGATGCCATGACGGCTATCCGACTGCCACATGTAAAGTATATCTGCCCCCACGCGTAAGTCTCTGTATTATTATGTCATATTTTCTGACATGTTTATTTCTCTGCTTGAGTGCCTCTGTCTCAGTTTCTAGTGTATGTTGTAATAAGAGAGTTGAATCTTATCTTTGGTAGTGTCTCATCTCTGATCTTTCTATACAACCATTTAGTATTCCTCCACCCTTGTATACTTACATTGATTCACTTGTTTGTCCACAGGCCCAGAATCCCTGTCACTCTTAATATGAAGATGACTATGCCCTCATGGTGAGTCATATGTTTGCACTGATCTGAAAGATATATCATTGGCTAATGGCTTGACTCTAACCTACACTTCACTGGAAAATAGATTTCCTTTTGGTAAGAGATTTGGTGAACATGGAATTCCTTCAAAGGCAGATACACACACACACACACACACACACACAATCAGGATACCAGGGGCACATAAGATATACAGTGAGCTGACACCTCATAGTCATTGTATCATTTCAAATCCAAAGTGCTTGAGTACAAAGCCAAAACAACAAAACATTTCACTGTGCCAATACTTTTGCATGAGATGTGTATTAAATCGACTGACCATGGATCTGTGCGTTTCTGTAGGTTTGACCTGATGGGTCTCAGCCCAGATTCTCCAGAGGACGAGGCTGGCATCAAGAGGGCAGCGGAGAACAGTAAGTAATTCAGTGAAACACCAGTACTATACAGTGGGGAAAAAAAGTATTTAGTCAGCCACCAATTGTGCAAGTTCTCCCACTTAAAAAGATGAGAGAGGCCTGTAATTTTCATCATAGGTACACGTCAACTATGACAGACAAAATAAGATTTTTTTTCTCCAGAAAATCACATTGTAGGATTTTTTATGAATTTATTTGCAAATTATGGTGGAAAATAAGTATTTGGTCACCTACAAACAAGCAAGATTTCTGGCTCTCACAGACCTGTAACTTCTTCTTTAAGAGGCTCCTCTGTCCTCCACTCGTTACCTGTATTAATGGCACCTGTTTGAACTTATCAGTATAAAAGACACCTGTTCACAACCTCAAACAGTCACACTCCAAACTACACTATGGCCAAGACCAAAGAGCTGTCAAAGGACACCAGAAACAAAATTGTAGACCTTCACCAGGCTGGGAAGACTGAATCTGCAATAGGTAAGCAGCTTGGTTTGAAGAAATCAACTGTGGGAGCAATTATTAGGAAATGGAAGACATACAAGACCACTGATAATCTCTCTCGATCTGGGGCTCCACGCAAGATCTCACCCCGTGGGGTCAAAATGATCACAAGAACGGTGAGCAAAAATCCCAGAACCACACGGGGGGACCTAGTGAATGACCTGCAGAGAGCTGGGACCAAAGTAACAAAGCCTACCATCAGTAACACACTACGCCGCCAGGGACTCAAATCCTGCAGTGCCAGACGTGTCCCCCTGTTTAAGCCAGTACATGTCCAGGCCCGTCTGAAGTTTGCTAGAGTGCATTTGGATGATCCCGAAGAGGATTGGGTAAGATGAAACCAAAATAGAACTTTTTGGTAAAAACTTAACTCGTCGTGTTTGGAGGACAAAGAATGCTGAGTTGCATCCAAAGAACACCATACCTACTGTGAATCATTGGGGTGGAAACATCATGCTTTGGGGCTGTTTTTCTGCAAAGGGACCAGGACGACTGATCCGTGTAAAGGAAAGAATTAATGGGGCCATGTATTGTGAGATTTTGAGTGAAAACCTCCTTCCATCAGCAAGGGCATTGAAGATGAAACGTGGCTGGGTCTTTCAGCATGACAATGATCCCAAACACACCGCCCGGGCAACGAAGGAGTGGCTTCGTAAGAAGCATTTCAAGGTCCTGGAGTGGCCTAGCCAGTCTCCAGATCTCAACCCCATAGAAAATCTTTGGAGGGAGTTGAAAGTCTGTGTTGCCCAGCGACAGCCCCAAAACATCACTGCTCTAGAGGAGATCTGCATGGAGGAATGGGCCAAAATACCAGCAACAGTGTGTGAAAACCTTGTGAAGACTTACAGAAAACGTTTGACCTGTGTCATTGCCAACAAAGGGTATATAACAAAGTATTGAGAAACTTTTGTTATTGACCAAATACTTATTTTCCACCATAATTTGCAAATAAATTCATTAAAAAATCCTACAATGTGATTTTCTGGATTTTTTTTCCTCATTTTGTCTGTCATAGTTGACGTGTACCTATGATGAAAATGACAGGCCTCTCTCATCTTTTTAAGTGAGAGAACTTGCACAATTGGTGGCTGACTAAATACTTTTTTCCCCCACTGTACATGTTATAAACTCAGCAAAAAAAAGAAACGTTCTCTCACTGTCAACTGCGTTTATTTTGAGCAAACTTAACATGTGTAAATATTTGTATGAACATAACAAGATTCAACAACTGAGATATAAACTGAACAAGTTCCACAGACATGTGACTAACAGAAATTGAATAATGTGTCCCTGACCAAAGGGGGGTCAAAATCAAAAGTAACAGTCAGTATCTGGTGTGGCCACCAGCTGCATTAAGTACTGCAGTGCATCTCCTCCTCATGGACTGCACCATATTTGCCAGTTCTTGCTGTGAGATGTTACCCCACTCTTCCACCAAGGCACCTGCAAGTTCCTGGACATTTCTGGGGGGAATGGCCCTAGCCCTCACCCTCCGATCCAACCATCACCCCTGGTGAGACAAAACCGCAACTCGTCAGTGAAGAGCACTTTTTGCCAGTCCTGTCTGGTCCAGTGACGGTGGGTTTGTGCCCATAGGCGACGTTGTTGTCGGTGATGTCTGGTGAGGACCTGCCTTACAACAGGCCTACAAACTCTCAGTCCAGCCTCTCTCAGCCTATTGCGGACAGTCTGAGCACTGATGGAGGGATTGTGCATTCCTGGTGTAACTCAGGCAGTTGTTGTTGCCATCCTGTACCTGTCCCGCAGGTGTGATGTTCGGATGTACCGATCCTGTGCAGGTGTTGTTACACGTGGTCTGCCAATGCGAGGACGATCAGCTGTCTGTCCTGTCTCCCTGTAGCGCTGTCTTAGACGTCTCACAGTACGGACATAGCAATTTATTGCCCTGGCCACATCTGCAGTCCTCATGCCACCTTGCAGCAATCCTAAGGCACGTTCGCGCAGATGAGCAGGGACCCTGGGCATCTTTCTTTTGGTGTTTTTCAGAGTCAGTAGAAAGGCCTCTTTAGTGTCCTACGTTTTCATAACTGTGACCTTAATTGCCTCCCGTCTGTAAGCTGTTAGTGTCTTAACGACCGTCCCACAGGTGCATGTTCATTAATTGTTTATGATTCATTGAACAAGCATGGGAAACAGTGTTTAAACCCTTTACAATGAAGATCTGTGAAGTTATTTTGATTTTTACGAATTATCTTTGAAAGACAGGGTCCTGAAAAAGCGACGTTTCTTTTTTTGCTGAGTTTATATAGCATTGTAGATGCATATAGATATTATACTAAGCTCTATTCACATAACCATGTTAGCCCCCCTATGTACTGTATATGTTCAGTTTCCGTTTTCACTCTTTTCCACAGTCAAGGCCATAATCGACCATGAGGCAAAGAATGGGATACCCGCCAATCGCGTGCTGCTTGGAGGGTTCTCTCAGGTAAGGTCAATGTGAAGCGCTATAGAGGTGTTGTGCAAATGAAGTCCTCTTTTTCCAGTTCCTGATTCTCAGTGATTTTTCAACATTGCTGTTTAAACTGTGTAAACCATGTGAACATCTCTATAGGTCTAAACACATTCTACCTCTCTTTCCCTCAATTGTTCCGTCTCCCAGGGTGGGGCTCTGTCCTTGTATACCGCCCTCACCTGTCAGCAGCAATTGGCAGGCGTGGTCGCGCTCAGTTGCTGGTTACCACTTCACAAGAGTTTCCCGCAGGTACATTTACACAGCTTACTTGTTTCTCTACAATTTACGGTACTCTCGGTCCCCTGAACATTCAACAGAGCTGTTTCTTTTATTACTGGGCTGGATTCCAAACTGGAAAATGTACTCCTCTCCATTGCTCTTGATGATATGGGTGTATGGGTGGTCCTCTGTAGCTCAGCTGGTAGAGCACGGCGCTTGTAACGCCAAGGTAGTGGGTTCGATCCCCGGGACCACCCATACACAAAAATGTATGCACGCATGACTGTAAGTCGCTTTGGATAAAAGCGTCTGCTAAAATGGCATATTATGATTTTGCTGTGTAGATATGAATGAACTGAATATGTGACTTGGTGTTAGAACCTGGTCTTGGTCTTCACTTTTTGCTTGTATTAGTTGGATGTAATGGTCTGTTGTTCTCATTAGGCGGCGAGCGCCAGTGGGAACAGAGACATGCCCATACTGCAGTGTCATGGGGAGATGGACCCCATGATCCCAGTGCAGTTTGGGGCCATGACGGCCGAGAAGCTCAAGATCATTGTCAACCCTCAGAAAATCACCTTCCGGACCTACCCAGGACTCATGCACAGCTCCTGTCCTCAGGTAAAAGGGGATTTTGGTTGTAACATTCAATGTGTGTTAACGGTTTACTATGAGTGTCAATGTGGAAGTATTCATGATGTTCGGTTTCTGATAAGCCTCTTTATTTTTATTTTGCAGGAGATGGCAGCAGTGAAGGAATTCATTGAGAAGCAGTTGCCCCGAATCTGACCTCACCTCAACCCCACTGTGACCCTTAGACACTGACCTCTCACCTCTGACCTGCCATTCTCCCACAGGAAACAGCCATGAGCACCGCCCCCTCCCTCCCTATACATACACAGTAACACTTACTTTCACATATCATCATCATATACACATAATACATGCCTCATTCCATAAAAATCCAACCAACGCACATCATACTGGACACAATCATACTGGACACACACCATTTATAAACGCACATTTGTTAACACACTGAAGTGCTCACACAACAAGTCTTACCTTTTCGAGCGAGAATCACTCACTCACACAGTACATTCCCCTGGGATTCTTTTCTCTCTTATCCAACACGCCAGTATCCCCTCTTTCTTTCTCTCAATCTATCTCTCCTCCTTTCACGACCTCCACTCCTGTTTCCCTCCTATGCTGTGTGTGTCAGTGAGTCAGTCAGTTAGTGAGCAGGGGTCCCTGTTGCTAGATGCCACCCAGTGTCGGAGAGCCTGACCCAGGCTGAGGAGATAGCAGGTTCAGCAGCCTGTGGTTCTGGTCCTCAGGCCCCGAGGTCTGGTGCCGTCTGGAGTGACTCTGGTGCCGTCTGGAGTGACTCTGGTGCCACGCTGCTCTGCATGCTGTTCCCAACGGGTTCACGGCCACTGGTGGGGTTGTGGTCACACCCCAGATCCCCATGGGTGCCCCTGTTACTCCTGGTGCCCCTATTTGTGCTGATTCAAATATCTGACATTATAAAAAAAAACAATTGAAATAAAGGAAACCAATGGATCATTATTTTTGCCACCATCCTCTGTTCTTTACCACAATTTAGGGCTATTGATGATGTGGATAAAATGTACATTTATATGATTTATTTTGTTTGACATGAATGGGCATGATAAAAATAAATGTATAAAATCAGACATTACTTCCATTGCAAGTCCAAAATGATGATGTGGCAGGATTTCCTTAAATGTATTGACTGATAAAGATGTTTAATTTCATACACCTTAAATGGCTTGGGGCTTAAAACAAATCCTAGAAATTGTTTTAGCTACTTGTTTGTCTATTGCACTAAATAAATAGTCAGCAAAGCTAAACTAGATTGGTTATGTATTACTCCAGATGGAACCAGAACCAGACCAGGACATAAAGTGGAGTAGACATAACTTGACTCATTTGACTGCAGCTATTCCTAGCTGTTCCCTCTTAGCATCTAGCATTTGACCAGTGAGCCAAGTTCCGTTCCATCGATGTGTCCAGCACAAATCAGTTTCAGCTCTCACGCTGATGGGTCATTTTGACTGTCGAGCAAAACTATTTACTCATTTGACAACTTACTGGCACCCACTAGTACAGTGTGAAAAGGTCAGAGTTAACTCTTAAAATGGGTATACACTGGGAAGGCTTTGATAGAAAAAAAGCTAATTGAAGGGTGATTTAATCTTGAATTAATCTTGAACAACTTGCAGAGCTTGGTTGAATGACTTTTAACGCTGAGTCAGTGTGCTAAAATCAGGTGTAATGTGTTTTCCTTTTGTCTATGTTTTCTCTCTTTATGATGCCCTATTCTGTGTTACTGAAACCTAATTTAAAATGGTAGACATTGGAGAAAAATAAATCTCTTGATTGTTCCGCTATTTAATGAATGTCTTTTACTCCCATATTTGTCTGTTATTACATCTTTCCCCATGTCGTCTTCCTTGACCCAACACATCTGTTGTTACTTTTCACTTGTACTAGTGGGCTACATTTTGTATGCTTTTCTCTGTGTTACTTTCTCTTTTGTCTTCCATTCCTTTTCGCCTTCTAGTCACATCCTCCTATCACGTAATTCCCTGTGGGACATGGTTGGATAAAGTGTCTCATGTATGTTCTCCTGAGTTGTACTTTGTCATTGTTTGAATTTTTACAGTTGTGACTCATTTTGATTTGTCATTTTGTCTCAATGTGTTTGGTCACTTTGTCATCTCGTCTTTGTGTCTTAATTTGACTGGCTAAAACATGTTGAGCGACTGTTGGTCCCTCAGGTTATTTTATTTTTCAAGACACCTGTATGATGAATAAATGATGCAAATAACAACAGTGCATTTGAGTTCAGTTTTTTGTTGTGGAATTATTATGGTAGTAATATTTCTGGTCTGTGAACTGTACATCACATCATTCAAGAAATTAGGGACAGCCTAAGAGTGCATGTGCACAACTCTCTTGTGCAGACTTCTGCAGTGCAGACCATAGAGAATGATAGAGGTCTATAGCGTCCCAAAGGCTGTTTAAGCATGGGCAGCGCCATTGAAGGCTTCCACCATTCTTCTGCCCTTTTTAAAGTAGTCAACTGGGTGGGGATTCCTATGGATTGTAGCCTCAATTGCGCTGCCCATGCTATCACAGACGCTATAATGGCACCGATATAAAGTTGAGTCCTCTATCTTTATGGTGCAGACACTGAAAAATGTATGTATTTGGGTAGTTAAGTGGTAGTTACCACGCTAAATGAACAGAACAAGCTATGTAACATAAATATTTGAGGGATTGAAATGATCGAGTCTATGTTTGAAAGGAGTCTGTCACTGAAGTGTAGCCTAATGACATGAATGAATTGATCTACTACTGTAATGGCATCAGCAAGGTAAACATAATGTTTCTTGAGACATTTAGCTACAGTTGAAGTCGGAAGTTTACATACACTTTAGCCAAATACATTTAAGCTCAGTTTTTCACAATTCCTGACATTTAATCCTAGTAAAAATTCCCTGTCTTAGGTCAGTTAGGATCACCACTTTATTTTAAGAATGTGAAATGTCAGAATAATAGTAAAGAGAATGATTTCTTTCAGCTTTTATTTCTTTCATCACATTCCCAGTGGGTCAGAAGTTTACATACACTCAATTAGTATTTGGTAGCATTGCCTTTAAATTGTTTAACTTGGGTCAAACGTTTCGGGTAGCCTTCCACAAGCTTCCCACAATAAATTGGGTGAATTTTGGCCCATTCCTCCTGACAGAGCTGGTGTAACTGAGTCAGGTTTGTAGGCCTCTTTGCTCGCACACGCTTTTTCAGTTCTGCCCACACATTTTCTATAGGATTGAGGTCAGGGCTTTGTGATGGCCACTCCAATACCTTGACTTTGTTGTCCTTAAGCCATTTTGCCACAACTTTGGAAGTATGCTTGGGGTCATTGTCCATTTGGAAGACCATTTGCGACCAAGCTTTAACTTCCTGACTGATGTCTTGAGATGTAATTTTCCTTCCTCATGATGCCATCTATTTTGTGAAGTGCACCAGTCCCTCCTGCAGCAAAGCACCCCCACAACATGATGCTGCCACCCCCGTGCTTCACGGTTGGGATGGTGTTCTTCGGCTTGCAAGCGTACCCCTTTTTCCTCCAAACATAACGATTGTCATTATGGCCAAACAGTTCTATTTTTGTTTCATCAGACCAGAGGACATTTCTCCAAAAAGTACGATCTTTGTCCCCATGTGCAGTTGCAAACCGTAGTCTGGCTTTTTTATGGCGGTTTTGGAGCAGTGGCTTCTTCCTTGCTGAGCGGCCTTTCAGGTTATGTCGATATAGGACTTGTTTTACTGTGGATATAGATACTTTTGTACCTGTTTCCTCCAGCATCTTCACAAGTTCCTTTGCTGTTGTTCTGGGATTGATTTGCACTTTTCGCACCAAAGTACATTCATCTCTAGGAGACAGAATGCGTCTCCTTCCTGAGCGGTATGATGGCTGCGTGGTCCCATGGTGTTTATACTTGCGTACTATTGTTTGTACAGATGAACGTGGAACCTTCAGGCGTTTGGAAATTGCTCCCAAGGATGAACCAGACTTGTGGAGGTCTACCATTTTTTTCTGAGGTCTTGGCTGATTTCTTTTGATTTTCCCATGATGTCAAGCAAAGAGGCACTGAGTTTGAAGGTAGGCCTTGAAATACATCCACAGGTACACCTCCAATTGACTCAAATGATGTCAATTAGCCTATCAGAAGCTTCTAAAGCCATGACATCATTTTCTGGAATTTTCCAAGCTGTTTAAAGGCACAGTCAACTTAGTGTATGTAAACTTCTGACCCACTGGAATTGTGATACAGTGAATTATAAGTGAAATAATCTGTCTGTAAACAATTGTTGGAAAAATTACTTGTGTCATGCACAAAGTAGATGTCCTAACCGACTTGCCAAAACTATAGTTTGTTAACAAGAAATTTGTGGAGTGGTTGAAAAACAAGTTTTAATGACTCCCTAACCTAAGTGTATGTAAACTTCCGACTTCAACTGTATATAATAGTTTCTCTTTCGCCTTCTCTAATGTAATTTTTTTTTTGCCTTTGAGTTGTGTTTCAGAAAGTAAACAAAAGTCTACCTGTCCTCAAGACGAGTAAGGTGAGTTCAGAAACTCAGGTAATGGCAACTGTTTGCAGCACTGCATTGTCGACCATTGTCTTATAATTCAACACATTTCACAAGCCTATTTTCGGAAGAAATGCACTTATAGTTAACCACTGCCTGCAAATCTCTCAAAATATAATATGTAGGCTAGGAGATAGCCTACCACAGATGCATTCCTGCCACTGATGCAAATTGTAGGCCTTTTCCCAGACATGGGGGTGCTTATTATATTCGATAATGCTAAGCATAAATTCACAGATAAGCTATAATGATGTGAGGGACCAGTTTGAGGGAATGAAAAAATAAACTGAACACATGTATTAATGGTGTCTTTATTAGGTTATAGGCAAACAGTGATTTGACAAAAATTCTAAATAGTATCCAGGCACATGAGTGATTGGTGGATTTCCCAGGCATTGCAGCTGTGCTTTTCCATCGGAATATGAATGTTCCCTCCAATGTCAGAAACCTACATTTTTTATTTGCATATTCTTGCACTTTTGGTAGTGTCTGTCAATTTGTGAGTGAGAATTGCTTATTATTCCTGCATCTCCACCATCGGTCTTTGGGTCAAAATGATACTTGAGACAATAATCTAGTTAAACCTATTCCTGAACTAAAAAGCAAAAGTATGGATAGTCTCCATAGAGTATCCTTTTTAGTCCAGGAAACCAGCCCATAGTGCATTGATTCTTTTGAAATGACATGAACCTTTCGCAAAACTTCAAACTCAGCTCTCACAGACCACTATTGTGGGGCAAGTGTGTATGCCCCACTGCCAAGTTCCTGTGCCAACTTTGAGTAACTTTCATTGCCATTCAGGACAAGGAACAGGTCATAAGCAATTTCCTGGGTAATGGCTACTTTACTAGTGTCCCCTTTCAGCTGCCTCTGACAACAACAGGTTAGGTCTGCTAAGGCCAACCTAACCCTCTGTGTCTGGGTTACTGTCATTGCTGATTATTGACACAACCGTGCAATGGAAATGCTTTTAAATTAGGACTGACTGAGTGAATCACAGAGCCCACTGAAGTTCACAAAGGGACCCATTGCTCATATCAAAATAATCAAGTGTATTTAGGGCTTATTGAGTCACTACTAGCATCCATTACTGCACTGTAAAAGTCATCCCATATGAGAATATAATAACAAATGTTTGTTGTAATTTTGGATGTATAGAGGAAGAGATGCAGAAATAACCAAATTCAATACATTTGAATCACACTCTTATAAATGAATTACAAGGCTTTTACACTTACAAAATACTGGCTTAAAGAACAACAATTGTCCCTGAGACTAATATAGAATAGCACTTTGTTTATAGCAAATTCAGTATGTATAAAAATAAGAAAACAAAAAATAATAGAAATAACTTTTTTTGACATATTATTATGACAAATCTTGATAAGAGCCCATTCAGGAACCAGTGCATCTTTAACAAAAGCTGTAAAAAGAGATAATAAATAAATATTTAATTATAAATAGAATGAATAAATAAAGGTACATTTTGCTCTCTCTAGATGTAATATTCAGTGCAAACTTAGTTCATCATAATAGTAAATACATAGCGCTGCAATCCTGCACAACACTTACAACACTCCAATTTAGCCATATAAATCAGGTTGTTCCATATCATCATCTAAACATGATGTCTTATCATGGCGTAATAGAATACATATCATACATGATGTAACTGAATGATTAATAACGATGGTGTTTTTTCACAATTCATATTACTGAAACAGATTGTTTCACACAGTCTTTACATAGCAATTTATTTATTTTGAGCCCCACTGATATTGTTGTGAAGGCTGGTGATACTATTGCACACTAAATACAATTATTTGGAAAAGTTATGAAAAAAGAAATACGCATTAAATTAAAGTTAAACTACTCCACTATCATTGATGATGAATCAGAATCTGATTCATCATCAATGATAGTGGGGTTGTTTAACTTTATGTACTCTCTAAGCTTCTATGAAGCACAATTTTGCTGACTTAAGAGTTGGGACTATACTATGTCCTCCTCCTCTTCTTCACACTCCCTTCCGCACCAGTCACAACAGCGGCAGCAGCAACAGCAGTAGCGCCAAAACCACCGTAGCAACCGGCTGAATCCAGGTGGAGAAGTTTCTGCTTCTACTACGCTCATCTGAGCATCCTCTATCACTGTGTGCTCCTCTGATTGAGCCTGGAGCTCCAGTGATGATCTGGCAAATGTCATATCCACTGTGGTTTGCTCTGTTTCTTGACTTATTTCTGCCAGCATACTGTACTCCTCCATTGTTGTTGATTCCTCCATCAACCACAGTCTCTCTTCGTCTACGGTTAATACCACGTCTGAGGTTTGGATACCTTTGTCACTTGTCTTGAGTGTTTCTGTCTCTTTGTCCATATTAACCTGCAGTCTCTCGATCTCTCTGAACATCTCCACTTTTAGCATCTCAAGCTCCTGGTCCTTCTCCTGAAGTTTCCTCCTACCTCTGTCCCACTCTCTTTGCAGAGCTTGGCTGCCTCTCTCCAACTCTGCCTTCATCTTCTTTAACTCTTCTTTCTCTCTTTGTATTCTTGTTCTCTGTACCAACTCATGTCTCTGAATCACCACTAGTCTTTCCTCTAGATGTTCTTTCATTTCATGAACCCTGTGCTTAATCTTCTCGATCTCCTCCCTTTCTGTCTGAGCTTCTTGACGGATTTTCTCCAAATGATCTTTCTTTGGAAGCCTTTCATCTGTTGTCAGATCCAACTCAACTTGCGTTGTAGTTGTCTTCTGTCTGAGGCTGTTCTCAGTTTCTTCTCTAAGTTGAGTGGAATCTTTGATCTGTCTCTGGATCTCAGTGGAATCTTTGATCTGTCCGTGCATCTCAGTCTCCACCAGTTCTTTTTTGGCTGTCTGTATCTCAGCTCTGATCTGTTGCAGCTCCTTCTTCTCTCTCTCTATTTCCACCATGTTGTTTTCAATCTCTTTTCTCTGTTTGTCTATTTCAACCATCAGTAGTGCAAGCTCACCCTCCTCATCCTCCTTCTTCAACTGTCCTACTTCCTCAATTTCTTCCATCTTCTCTGGTGAGGTTTGTGTTGCAGAATTCACCTGCTCCAGAACTTTGTGTGCTTTTTGCATCTCTTCTGAATGCGTTTGTGTCACAACATTCATATAGCTCCTTTTGTCCTTATGCTCAGTTTTGCTTACATCTTTTTCTGTTTCTTGCTTTACCAATTTGACTTTTTGTTTTGTCTCTGCCGTAGGTGTTATTTCTTTCGTCTCGTCCATCTCTCTACTGCCTACTGCCATTATATTGTCTGCTCCTGAGCTAAGAGTGTCTGTCTCTGCCGAAGACCACTCCAGGTATTCCATTTCCCTCCCCTCCTCTTCTTTATGTTGAGTAATCCAGTAACCTTCTGTACCCTTTTCTCTCTGGATCTCAACCCTTATCTTTTCCAATTGATCCCTCTCACTCTTTAATATGTATTGCTTGATTTGTATGTCATTCATAATCTCATCCAGCTCTTCTCTCTCCTTCTGTAACTGTTGCCTCAAGCTTTCCATTTCCTCCTCATGCTGGTTTAGTAGTAACTGTCTTTGCTCCAACTCATACTTCCCCCTATCTGTCACGTTCTTGTTTTTATTGATGTCTTCCATGTGTTTTTGTATGTCAGCTCTCATTTGTTCTAGATCTTCTCTCTCCTTCTTGATTGAGTCCATCATTTCTTCCTTTGTGTGAAGTGTCTCAACCTTGCTTTGTTCGGGTTCATCCTTTATTTGTTCTGTCTGTGTTGTATCTGAGACGAAGACAACTTCATCTCTCTGTTTCTGAATGCATTCCAACTGAGGCACCTCCATCATTGCTGCACCCTTTCTTTTGTCAATTTCATCCTTCAGTCTTTCTATTTCAGCTTTCATGTGTTCCAACTCCTCCATCTCAGACCTTGTCTTTTCCAGTTCATCTCTCTCTCTTTCCATCAAGTCCATATTGTTCATCATCTCTTGTCTCTGTCTTTCCATCTCAATCTTAAATTGCTCAAGAGTGTCCTTCTCATCCTTTAAGACAGCTGTAATTTGTTCAATTTCGCCTCTTTGCTGCGTAATCTCAGACTTCATTTGTTGCAGGCCATCCTTCTCCCTTTCAATCATGGCCTTGTTAGAGTCTATTTCTTCTCTCTCACTTTGCATCTCAACATTCATCAGCTCTAAAGCAGCCTTCTTTTGCTCCATCTCCTCAATGATTCTCACATTGTCCTCCTTTTGCTTTTGTATTTGGAAAGCCATGTCCTCTGTACCCTCTTTCTCCATGGTTTCCTCCACAATGTTCTCCAGATCTCCCAACAGTCTCTGGGACTCTATGGTAACCCGTTCCAGCCCATCCTTCTCCCTCTCTGTCTTCTCTTTTATGCCCTTAGTTTCCTCCTTTCTTTCTGTTTCTTCCTGCTCTTTTTGCAGGTCATTCATCACCTGATCTTGCTCTTCTTTCTCCTCCATTGTTGATTCTCTTATGTCTGTCATCGTTGTCTCAGGCTTACCTTGCTCTGGCTCATCCTTTTCCCTCTGGGCCAAACTCCTCAAATCTACAGTTTGTAACCTCTCTTCTGTCAACGGTTTAATCTTTTCTAGAGTAGCCATGTCCGCCTTTGTTACCAACGTTATTTGTTTGTGTGTGTATGGTTGTTCTTGTAGATTAACAGTAGAACTCTGACTTTCTGTTATTTCTGTTTTCTGCTTTTGCATTTCAGATTGCATGTACTGTAGTTCTTCCCATCTGTCATTTAGTTCTTTCATTTGACTTTCAATTTCTTCCCTCTGTCTCAGTAGGTCTGCGCTGACCTGCTCCATGCTCTGTCTCCTCGTCTCTATCTCTGCCATCATGATCTTCTCGTCCTCTTTCTGTTGAATAATTTGGTTTTCCAGTTCCTTCTTTTCTCTCTGTATTTCAGTCTTTATCTTTTCCAACTCATTCTCGTGTTGTATTAACTCTGCCATTCTACTTTCAGTTTTGTCTTCTTGTGTCTGTGGCCAAGCCTTCAAAAGGGATTGTTCCTCCCTTTCCACCATTGTGATTTCTTTTTGGAGTCCTTGTCCTTCTTCCATTTCTTGTGATATTTCCATCTCCACAAGAGATGTCTGTGTTGAAGCATTAGTCAGGAGTTTTATTTTGGTTTCAGCTTCTTTCCTCTCACTCTTGTCAGCAGAGTTGGCTACCTCATCATCTTCTCTCGGTGTATCTATGTCTGCCACACTTATCACTTCTTCCTTTTGCTGGCTGGCAGCCATTTCTTCTACATCAACATTATCCCCTTTTGTCTTCTCCATCATTCTCTCTACATTTTCTGACCTCCTCTGTAAATCAGTCTTGATCTGGCCCATTTCTTCCTTCTCTCTTTCCATCTCAATCTTCATGTGTTCCAGATCATCTTTCTCCTTTGATATCAAGTCCTTCAAATTTCCAATTACGTTTTTCTCTGTCTCGATATCGGCTTTTATCAATTCTAATTCCTCTTTCTTTGTCTTGATATCATCAATAACATGTTCAATTTCCTCCTTGTCCTTCTGGATTTGAACAGCCCTGTCCTTAACATTCTCCTTTTCCCTCTTTGTCTCTTCCATGAGGTTGTCTAGATTCTCTGACCGTGTCTGTAAATCATTCTTGATCTTTTCAATCTCATCCTTCTCATCCTGTATCTTTTCTTTGTTCTCCTCTATTTCCTGTCTTTGTTTTCCTATTTCAGACTTCATGGATTCCAACTCATCCCTCTCTATCATTGACAGCCTGTCGGTTTGTTCCAGGTCCTCTTTCTCTTTATGTATGTCATGACCTGCAATTTCTTCCATGCCCCTTTTGAGCTGTTCCTCCAAGCTGTCTTCCATGGGCTCTGTCTGTGTGTTTACTTCAGCCTTCATCACATCTTTCTTCACCATAGCTGTTGGTTCCATGACTTTACCCACCTCCTCCCTTTGTTTTTGCAAGGCAGCATTCCTCTCATCTAGTTGATTCTTTTCCACAAATATATATTTTCTCATCTCATCATGTTCTACTTTCTGTCTGTCTAGATCAGCTTGGATGTTTTCCAACCCTGCTTTTTTGACATTTAGCTCCTCCATTTGGGTTGCAATGTCCTCTCGCTGTAATTGTATTTCAGCATTGATCTGCTCTAGGTTGTCTTTCGTCTTCTTAATATCCTCCTTCATACTTTTCTCTTCCTCTTTCAATTCAACCATCTTCTTGTCTGCTTCATCTCTTTCTCTCTCAATCTCAGCCTTTTTCTGTTCCAAATCACCAACATCGATTGCTATCTTGTCCTTGGTTTTTTCCATCTCAATCTTCATTTGCTCCAAATAACGTTTCTCGCTTGATATCACATCCTTCATGTTTTCTGTCTCTTGTTTCTCTGTCTCAATCTCAGCTTTCATCAATTCCATATCAGTCTTCTTTGTCTTGATATCCTCAACAACACTTTCAATTACCTCTTTCTCCTTCTGGATTTGGACAGCCATGTTGTCAAGATTCTCCTTTTCTGTCTGGGTCTCCTCCATTATTTTGTCTAGATTCTCTGACCTTCTCCGTAACTCCATCTTGATCTGTTCCACCTCATCCTTCTCATCTTGTATCTTTTGTTTGTCTTTTTCTATTCCCTCTCTTTGGGTTTGCATTTCAGACACTTGTAATTCCAACTCATCCTGACCTTTCATTGCCAATTGTGTAATTTTTTCGAGGTCCGCCTTTTCAATTTGTATGTTATGTTTTAGACGTTCAAGTTCTTCTCTGTCATGTTTCAGAGTTTCCATCAGATTGTCTTCCATTTGATCTTTCTGTTCCTCTATTTCAGCCTTTATCCTCATCACATCCTCCTTCTCCCGCTTTGTCATTTCAATGATGGCTTCCAACTCCTCCGTTTGTTTTTGCATGCCAGCAAGCTTCTCTTCCAGTTCATTCTTTTCCATGATTATAGCATTTTGCGTTTCGTCCATCTGTTCTTTTTGTCTGTCGATGTCCATTTGAATGTTTTCCAACTCTGCTTTTTTGACATTTAGCTCCTCCATTTGGGTTGCAATGTCCTCTCGCTGTAATTGTATTTCAGCATTGATCTGCTCTAGGTTGTCTTTCGTCTTCTTAATATCCTCCTTCATACTTTGCTCTTCCTCTTTCAATTCAACCATCTTCTTGTCTGCTTCATCTCTTTCTCTCTCAATCTCAGCCTTTTTCTGTTCCAAATCACCAACATCGATTGCTATCTTGTCCTTGGTTTTTTCCATCTCAATCTTCATTTGCTCCAAATAACGTTTCTCGCTTGATATCACATCCTTCATGTTTTCTGTCTCTTGTTTCTCTGTCTCAATCTCAGCTTTCATCAATTCCATATCAGTCTTCTTTGTCTTGATATCCTCAACAACACTTTCAATTACCTCTTTCTCCTTCTGGATTTGGACAGCCATGTTGTCAAGATTCTCCTTTTCTGTCTGGGTCTCCTCCATTATTTTGTCTAGATTCTCTGACCTTCTCCGTAACTCCATCTTGATCTGTTCCACCTCATCCTTCTCATCTTGTATCTTTTGTTTGTCTTTTTCTATTCCCTCTCTTTGGGTTTGCATTTCAGACACTTGTAATTCCAACTCATCCCGACCTTTCATTGCCAATTGTGTAATTTTTTCGAGGTCCGCCTTTTCAATTTGTATGTTATGTTTTAGACGTTCAAGTTCTTCTCTGTCATGTTTCAGAGTTTCCATCAGATTGTCTTCCATTTGATCTTTCTGTTCCTCTATTTCAGCCTTTATCCTCATCACATCCTCCTTCTCCTGCTTTGTCATTTCAATGATGGCTTCCAACTCCTCCGTTTGTTTTTGCATGCCAGCAAGCTTCTCTTCCAGTTCATTCTTTTCCATGATTATAGCATTTTGCGTTTCGTCCATCTGTTCTTTTTGTCTGTCGATGTCCATTTGAATGTTTTCCAACTCTGCTTTTTTGACATTTAGCTCCTCCATTTGGGTTGCAATGTCCTCTCGCTGTAATTGTATTTCAGCATTGATCTGCTCTAGGTTGTCTTTCGTCTTCTTAATATCCTCCTTCATACTTTGCTCTTCCTCTTTCAATTCAACCATCTTCTTGTCTGCTTCATCTCTTTCTCTCTCAATCTCAGCCTTTTTCTGTTCCAAATCACCAACATCGATTGCTATCTTGTCCTTGGTTTTTTCCATCTCAATCTTCATTTGCTCCAAATAACGTTTCTCGCTTGATATCACATCCTTCATGTTTTCTGTCTCTTGTTTCTCTGTCTCAATCTCAGCTTTCATCAATTCCATATCAGTCTTCTTTGTCTTGATATCCTCAACAACACTTTCAATTACCTCTTTCTCCTTCTGGATTTGGACAGCCATGTTGTCAAGATTCTCCTTTTCTGTCTGGGTCTCCTCCATTATTTTGTCTAGATTCTCTGACCTTCTCCGTAACTCCATCTTAATCTGTTCCACCTCATCCTTCTCATCTTGTATCTTTTGTTTGTCTTTTTCTATTCCCTCTCTTTGGGTTTGCATTTCAGACACTTGTAATTCCAACTCATCCTGACCTTTCATTGCCAATTGTGTAATTTTTTCGAGGTCCGCCTTTTCAATTTGTATGTTATGTTTTAGACGTTCAAGTTCTTCTCTGTCCTGTTTCAGAGTTTCCATCAGATTGTCTTCCATTTGATCTTTCTGTTCCTCTATTTCAGCCTTTATCCTCATCATATCCTCCTTCTCCCTCTTTGTCTCGTCCATTATGTTTTCTAGATTTTCAGATCGTGTCTCTAACTTCATCTTGATCTGTTCCAGTTCACGCTTCTCCTTTGTTACCATGTCCTTGATGTTTTCTGTTTCTTGTTTCTCTTTATCCAGCTCAGTTTTCATTAATTTCAGTTTCTCTGTCCGTTTGTTGTTCTCTTCGACAACACTTTCAATAACCTCCCTTTCCTTCTGAATTTGAATAGCCATTTTCTCAGCATCCTGTTTCTCCCTCTTTGTTTTCTCAAAAAGGTTTTCTAGATTTTCTGATCGTGTTTCTATATCCATCTTGATCCTTTCCAGATTATCCTTTTCATTTAGCATCTTTTGTTTGTCTTGTTCAATTAGCTGTCGTTGGTATTGCATGTCCTCTTTTTGTCTGTCGATATCTGTCATAGCATTTTCCAACTCAGCCTTTTGGACATTCAGCTCCTCCATCTTGCTTTCAATGTCTTCTCGCTGTAGTTGTATTTCTGTGTTGATCTGTTCCAGGCTCTCTTTCATCTTACAGATTTCCTCCTTCATTCTTTGCTCTTCCTCTTTCAGTTCAGCCATCAACTTTTCTGCTTCATCTTTTCCATTCTCGATTTCAGCCTTTCTCTGTTCCAGCTCATCCATCTCAGTCACCATCTTTCCCTTGGTGATATACATTTTTTCCCTCTCTCTTTCCATTTCAATCGTAATTTTTTCCAGGTTGACTTTTTCTTTTGAGACCCTTTCCATTATGTTTTCTGTTTCTCGTTTCTTTGTCTCAATCTCAGTGTTCATCACTTCCAGATTAGCTTTCGTTCTCTTGATGTCCTCGATAACACTTTTCATTTCCTCCTTTTCTTTCTGGATTTGGATAGCCATTTGCTCAACATTTTCTTTTTCTCTCTTTGTCTCCTCCATTCGGTTTTCTAGATTCTCAGATCGTGTCTGTAAATCAGCCTTGATCTTTTCCAGCTCATCCTTTTCATCTTGAATATTTTGTTTCTCTTGATCGATTTCCTCCCGCTGGTTTTGCATATCCTCTTTTTGTCTGTTGATATCTTTCGTAACATTTTCAAACTCAGCCTTTTTAACAGTCAGCTCCTCCATCTTGCTTTCAATGTCTTCTCGCTGTAGTTGTATTTCTGTGTTGATCTGTTCCAGGCTCTCTTTCATCTTACAGATTTCCTCCTTCATTCTTTGCTCTTCCTCTTTCAGTTCAGCCATCAACTTTTCTGCTTCATATTTTCCATTCTCTATCTCAACCTTTCTCTGTTCCATCTCATTCATATCAACTGCTATCTTGGTCTTGGTGTTATCCATTTCTTCTCTCTCTCTTTCCATCTCAATCTTAATTTGTTGGAGATGATATTTCCTCTCCCTTAATGCCTCTTTCAAAGTTTGTTCTTCCTTTTTCAGTTCAACAACTTTGTTTTCCAATTCATCTTTTTCTGTCTTTTTACAATCCCTTTCCTTTTCATACTCACTCATACCAACTTTGATATTTTCCTGAATATTATTCATTTCTTGTTTCTCTCTTTCCACCTCAGCCCTCATTTCTTCAATGCATTCTTTTTCTTTCATTTGGTCTTTCATAAGGTTTTCTACCACCTTTCTCTTACTTTGAATCTCAGCCTTAATTTGTTCAAGGTAATTTTTCTCCTTAGCTATCTTCTCTTTGTCATTCTCCATCTCTCCTTTTTCTCTTTTAATATCAGCATTTAGCACTTCTAAATTTGCCTTTTTCATGTTGGTCTCGTCAGTGGCCTTCTCAATGTCCTCCCTTTCCTTTTTAATTTTTGCTGCCATTTCTTCAACATTTTCTATTTCCTTATTTGTCTTATCCATTATGCTGTCTAAATCCTCAGATCGTTTCTGTAACTCAGCTTTCATCTGTTCCAATTTATCAATTTCTGATTTCATGTTTTGTTTTTCTTGTTCCATCTCTTCCTCTTTTCTCTGTATTTCTAATCTCATTCCTTCCAACTCATTTTTCTCTTCTTTTCCCATTATACCACTTCTCTCAATATCTGCTATTTTGCCTAAATCGTGTTTAGAAAATTCCTGGACCTCTGCTTTGGTCTTCAGCTGTTCCCTCCAGTCGACATCTCTTTGTCCTTTCTTACCCTCTACTTCAGTTTTTGTTTTCTTCAGCTCCTCTGTTTGCCGCTTTGTTAGTTCAAAAATGACTTCTGCCTCTTGCTTCTGTTTTTGTATATCATGTTTCTTATTTTCTAATAAAGCTTTTTCCTTAAATGTTATAGTTTTTGTTTCATCCAATTCTTTTTTCTGCCTATCAATTTCCTTTTGTTCTTGTTCTAATTCAACATGTTTAGCATTTAAGTTTTCCATTTGTCTTTTAATTTCATATTTTTGCTTTTGAATCTGTCCAGCCATTTCTTCAGCGTTTTGAATTTTTATTTTTGTCTTGTCCATAATGCCTTCCAAGTCCTCAGAACGTCTTTGTAATTCAACTTCACTCTGTACAAGCTTATCCTTTTCTCTTTTTATGTCTTGTTGTTCTCGCATTACTTGCTTTTTTTCTCTAGTAATTTGAGACTTTATTTGTTCTAATTCAATGCTTTCCTCAGTTTCTGTCATGCTTCGTTCAGTACCTGTTGCTCTAGCTGTATCACGTTTCAGCAATCCCAGTTCTTCTTTTTCCCTTTCCAGCCTCAAATCACCATCATCCGTTTGTGTTTCCTTTCCTTTCATTTCAGCCTTAATCTTCAACAGCTCTTCTCTCTCCTGGATTGTCAGTTTGAGTATGGAATCAACTTCTCTTCTTTGTTTCTCAGTCAGTTCAGCGACAAGTTTTCCCATTTGATACCTTTCTCGCACTATTTCAGCCTCTCTGAGCTTCATCTCATCCATATCCCTTTCAATCAATCCCTTGTTTTTATGAAATTCTTCTTTCTCTATTTCAATTTCAGTGATTATTCGTTCAAGACATTCTTTCTCTATATTTTGTTCTTGCATCAACTTACTCAACTGTTCTCTCTCCATTTTTAACTCAGCCTTCCGTAGCTCAAGTTCATCTTTTTCTCTAGCCATCATTTCCCTGTTCTTTTCTATTTCTTCTTTTTCTCTTTTTATCTCTTCATTGATAATGTCCAGTTTTTCCTTATTTGTGATTGCTTCCTCTGTGATCCTTTCCATTTCTTGCTTTTGCTTTTGAATTTGAGCAGCTATTTCTTCCACATTTTCTGAATCCCCAGACCTTGTCTGTAGGTCATCTTTCTCTGCTTGTACAATTTGTTTGCTTTGCTCAACTTCCTCCTTTTGTCTTTTTATTTCTAACTTAATTCGTTCAAACTCATCTCTCTCTTCTTTCGTTAAAACGTTGCTTTTTTCGATATCTTTTGCCTTCTCTATGTCAAGCTTAATATTTTCTAGTTCCTCCCTTTCTCTCCTTAGACTTTCCTTCAGTTCATTTTCCATTTGTTCTCTCTGCCCCTCTATTTCGGCCTTTAACTTGACAAGAGATTCCTTCTCTCTCTTTACCAGATCAAGATCAGTATCCACTTCTTCTTTTTTTCTATTTATTTCACTTTGCCATTTTTCCAACTTATCCTGCTCTCTCAATTGGTCCTTTCTCCAGTCTGTCATTTCCTCTGCCTGTTTTCCTACTTCTTCACGTTTGTGTTCCAACTCCACCTTTTGAACATTGAGGTCTTCCTTATGGATTTCAATTTCATCTCTAAGTCTTTTGATTTCTTCATTTCTATGCTCTAAGCTGGCCATCTTCCTTCCTATGTCCTCCCTCATTCTGTCCTCTTCCTCTTTGAGTCTAGCAATCTGGTTTTCCATGTTCTCTCTTTCAGTCACTATTTCAGCCTCTGCCTTTTCTATAATGTCCTTGTTTCTATTAATGTCTTGTCTCTCTCTTTCCAAATCAGTCCTCATTTGTTCCAAACATTCTTTTTCTTTCTTTTGGTCTTTCATTAGAGATTCCATCTCTTCTCCCTGCTGCTTTAACTCATTCTTCATTCGTTTGAGCTCATCTTTCTCTTTTTGTAGCACATCCTGACTTACTTCTATGTCCTGTTCCCTTCTTTGAATCTCTTCCTTCGTGTTTTCCAGTTCCTTTTGTTTTGTTTTTGTCTCCTCAATAACACTTTCACCTTCTTCCCTTTGGATCTGAGTTTTCACAACAAGTTCCTCAACCTTCTCCTTCCGACCCTTTGTATCCTCCATGACCTGATCTTTGTCCCCTGACTGTCTTGCTAACTCAGCTTTGATTTGCTCCAACTTTTCCTTTTCTTCCTGTACATATGTTTTGTTTTGTTGTATTTCCTCCATTTGCTTCTGGATTTCAAACTTCATACGCTCCAAGTAATCTCTGTCTTTCTTTGTCAAGTCCTGGCCTATCTCAATATCCTCTTTACCTTTTTGTATCTCTTTCTTTAGCTCTTCAAGCTCTTGTCTTTCAGTCTCAAACTTCACTTTCCATTCATTTTCCATCTGTTCGCTCTGTTGAGACAGATCAGCTGTAATTTCCACCAAATTATCTTCCCCTGTCTTCATATGTACAAGGGCGGCATCCACCTCTCCCTCATCTCTTTGATATTCACTGGGCCTTGTCAGTGGTTGATCCTTTTCCATGAACGTATATTTTTTCATTGCTTTAATTTCATCTCTCTGTCTGTCCAGTTCCGCTTGTTTGTATTCCAAGTCACACTTTCTGATATTTAACTCTTCCATCTGGCTATTCATTTCATATTTTAGTCTCTCTATTTCAACATTTTTCTGCTCTGTGTTCTGTCTCGTCCTGTTAATCTCATCCTTTATACTCTCTTCTTCTTTTCTAAGCTCAACAATCATGTTTTCTACTTTACTCATCTCACACTTTCTCTGCTCTAGCTCATCCATATTCTGCTCTATCATTTTCTTTTTTCTGTCTAACTCACATCTCTCTTGTTCCATCTCAGTCTTTATCTGATTCATTACAAATGTTTCTTTAATTTGCTCTTGCATGATATTTTCAATCTCTTCTCTCTGATTGTTTACCTCTGTTCTGAGTTTATTCAGATCTTCTCTCTCCTTTGATAGAATGTCTTGTTTGCTGTCTATCTCCTCTTTCTTTCTTTTCATTTCAGCGCTCATCAATTCTTGTTCTATTTTACTCCTCTTTGTCGCCTCCACCAAACAATCAATTTCGTCCTTTTGTTGTTGTATTTGGACAGAAATGTGTGATGTACTTTCTTTCTCCCTCTTTGTGTCTTCTATGACCATATCTAGGTAATTGGACTTTCTCTGTAACTCCAATTTAATTTGTTCCAGCTTTTCTCTTTCAACTTGTACCTTAAGCTTCTCTTGTTCCACTGTCCCCTTTTCTTTCTGCGTCTCAGATCTCATCAGCTCCAAGTCCCTTTTCTCTTTTTCAGAAATGTTCCTGTTTCTTATCATGTCCTCTTTTTCTTTTTGCATCAGATATTCAAGTTCCTTTCTTTCCCTATTCAGACATTCACCCCAGTCATCTTTGTCTTCTTTCCGTCCCTCTATTTTAGCTTTTAAGTTCAGCAGATCTTCATTCTCCTTCTTTGTCATTTCAAGGATGGCATGCATCTCTTCCTTACGTTTTTCTATGTAAGCTTGCTCTATTGCTAATTTACTTCTTTCTGCCACGGTAACACTTTTGATTTTTCCCATTTCAATTTTCTCTTTCCTAAATTTAACTTGCGTTTGTTTGAACTTCTTTTGGGCTTTTTTCAAGTCCTCCATCTTTTGTTTTTTATATTGCATTTCCCTTACGATTACCAGTCTTTTTCTTTGTATCTCTGCATCCATTTGCTTGAGATTTTCTTTTTTCTTTTCTATGTTCTCAATCATTTGTTTGTCCTCCTCTCGTTGTTTTGTTATCATGTTCTCCATCTCAGCCTTTTCCTTCTCAAACTCGGCTTTTGTCTTTTCCAGGTCATACTTCTCTCTCATAATCATTTCCTCTCTGCGTTCCAAGTCTCTTCTTTCTTTTTCAATGGTGGTTCTTAGCTCTTGTGACTCAAATGGTGTCTCATTTGTCATATCTCCAAAATATGTTTTTTCTGTTTCATCCTGTGGTCTCTGGACCATGGTCTTCATAATTTCCATGTCTTTTTTCATTCTGGTTTCTTCCTCTTTCTGTCTGTCAAACTCCATCATATCCTTTCCAAAGCAGAACATTTGAGCTTAGAAACTTACCTTCTGGGCACTTTACATAGCAACATTATGTCTTAATGAATCAATTTCACAGTTTGACATTCACCCCGTGGATAATGGTAATGAGGATGGAGAGCTCCATATGCATAGTTACTTAAAGTTACTTCTCTGATTCATTTTGAAATATACTCTGAAAAAATATATAAATGCAACATGCAACATGCAACAATTTCAAAGATTCAACTGAGTTACAGTTCATATAAGGAAATCAGTCTATTTAAATAAATTCATTAGGCCCTAATCTATGGATTTCACATGACTGGGAATACAGATATGCATCTGTTGGTCTCAGATACCTTTAAAAAAAAGGTAGGGGCGTGGATCAGAAAACCAGTCAGTATCTGGTGTGACCACCATTTGCGACACATCTCCTTTGCATAGACTTGATCAGGCTGTTGATTGTGGCCTGTGGAATGTTGTCCCAATCCTCTTCGATGGCTGTTTCTGGATTTTGGCGGGAACTGGAAAACGCTGTCGTACACGTCGATCCAGAGCATCCCAAACATGCTCAATGGGCGACGTGTCTTGTGAGTATGCAGGCCATGGAAGAACTGGGACATTTTCAACTTCCAGGAATTTTTTACAGATCCTTGCGACATGGGCCCGTGCATTATCATGCTGAAACATGAGGTGATGGCGGCGGATGAATGGCACGACAATGGGCCTCAGGATTTCGTCACGGTATCTCTGTGCATTCAAATTGTCATCGATAAAATGCAATTGTATTTGTTGTCCATAGCTTATGCCTTCCCATACCATAACCCCATCGCCACCATGGAACACTCTGTTCACAACGTTGACATCAGCAAACTGCTAGCCCACACAATGCCATACACGCTGTCTGCCATCTGCCCGGAACAGTTGAAACCGGGATTAATCCATGAAGAGCACACTTCTCCAGCGTGCCAGTGGCCATCAACGGTGAGCATTTACCAACTGAAGTTGGTTACGATGCCAAACTGCAGTCAGGTCAAGACCCTGGTGAGGATGACGAGCACACAGATGAGCTTCCCTGAAGCAGTTTCTGACAATTTGGGCAATTATCTGGCAACAGCTCTGTCAGGTGGATGGATTATCTTGGCAAAGGAAAAATGCTCACCAACAGGGATGTAAACATATTTGTGCACAACATTTGAGAGAAATAAGCTTTTTGTGCATATGGAACATTTCTGTGATCTTTCATTTCATCTCATGAAACATTGGACCAACACTTTACATGTTGCGTTTATATATTTTTTCAGTATATTTTGTTGATGGCATTATAAAAAATGTGCAAGCTTCTGTTTAGTAGTTTACTGTCTTCTGGCTATATTACTTCAATTTCTGTGCTGATTTATTTTGAGTTTGGACTTGTGTAATTAGCAGGCCTGTATTTCTTTGTGAATGAATCAGAGATTTTTGCGTGTGAATCAGAGATTTTTCCACAACAAATTTGACAACCAATCTTGGGGATGTTGGCCCTAAAAGTCGTATAAAAAATGTGTAACACAATAATTCAGTACATACCTTCTCTTTCTTTGCATTGTCCTCTTTAATCTTCCTCTTTGCTCTTTGTATCTCCTCCCTTGCCAGGTCTATCTCTGCAACCGCTCTCTGTATTTCATCTTTCATCTGTTCCATATTTTCACTCTCAGTCTTTACATCTTCCATCTTCTGTTTCAGCTCTTCCTTTTGTCTCTGTATCTTTGACTTCACCAGTTCTAACTCATCCCTCTCTCGTGTGGCCTTCTCCATCCTTTGCTCCAGCTCTTTTTTTCTTTTTTGTGTCTCTGTCTTCATCAGTCTGATTTTGTCCTTTTCCCCTTTTAACTCCTCCTTGCTCTGTTCCATTTCTTCTTTCACCCTTCTTAACAACTCTCTGGTTTGTTCCACCTCTAGAATCAATCTCTGGATTTCAGCATTCATTCTGTCTTTGTCACCCATCTCCATATTGCTTTCTTCCATCCTGTTTTCCATTGCCACTTTCGTTTGTCGTACCATTTCTCGAGTTCTCTCTAGCGCTTGGATTAATCTCTGTATCTCAGCGTTCATCTGTTCCTTCTCATCAATATCTCCAAAGCTCTCTTCCATACGAATCTCCAGTTCTTCTTTTGCTCTTTCTATTTCAGCCTTCGCCTGTTCAATTGCATCGCTCTCCCTTTTGGTCTCTTCCCTTCTTTGTTCCATCTCTTCTTTAGCTCTCTCTATTTCATCCTTCATCTTTTCCATTTCTTCCTTTTTTCTCATAGTCTTTCTCATCCTCTGTTCAAGGTCCTTTTTCTTCCTTTGCATCTCAGTCTTCACTAGTTCCATCTCTCCAATCTCTCTCTTGGTCTTTTGCATCTTGTTCTCGATCTCTTGTCTCTGTCTCTGAATATCTTCCCTCACACTTTTCATCTCATTCATTTCTGTCTTTGCTTGTTGGATTTTGTTTTCAATTTCCTCTTTCTGCTTCTGTATCTCAGATTTGATCCTTTCTATCTCATCTTTCTCACTCTTTGTTTTTGCCATCTTGTTTTCAATGTCATCTTTCTGTCTTTGTATTTCAGCCTTCATCTGTTCCAGCTTGTCCATCTCTCTCTTTGTCTTCTCCATCCTTGCTTCAATGTCATCTCTCTGTCTCTGTAGGTCAAATTTAATTATTTCTATCTGGTTCATCTCTTTCTTAATTTCCTCCATTCTCTTATTCAACTCCACCTTTTCTCTCTGCAGTTTGGCTCTCTCTTCCTGTTCCTCCCTCTCTACCTCGTCCCAGAGTTTTTCCATCTCTTCTTTTACTCTGTTTAGCTCATACTTGACCTTTTCATAGGGTTCTTTCTCTCTTATTGTTTCTTCCTTTATTCTCTCCAAAAGTTCTTTTTCTCTCTGAATTTCATATTTCATCTGTTCCATCACATCTCTTGCTTGCTTTGTCCTCTCAATGGATCTTGTCATTTCATCGTGCTGGTTCTGTATTTCAACCTTCATCAGTTCAACTTTGTCTCTCTCTAGACTTGTGGCATCCCTGCCTTGTTTTAACTCCCTCTCTATTTGATTCTTAGTTCGCTCGATCTCCTCTCTATCTCTCTGCATTTCAGCTCTCTGTTCAAGCTCTTCCTTGACAGCTTCATCCCTCTTTTTCTCAAACTCCTGCTTTTTCTTCAGGGTCTCACACCGAAGCAATTCCAAGTCCTCTCTTTCTCTTGCGGTTTCATGGATTTGTCTTTTCAATATGGCCCTTTCTGACAAAACCTCAGTTTTAATTTGCTCAAGCATCTCTCTCTCTTGCTTTGCTTCATCCAGCTTATTTTGTAAGTCCCCTTTTTTGTTCTGAAGCTGTATTTCTTTGGAATCCTCTTTAGCTCTCTGTATCTCATCTCTTATTTTCTCCAACATTTCTCTTTCTCTTTGGATTTCAGCTCGTTGTTCAAGCTCTTCTTTCGCTGCTTCATATCTCTGTTTCTCAATTTCATCTTTTACTCTTCCAGCCTCATCCCTTTGCTTTTTCAGCTGGGACTCCACTTTTTGTACGACCATCTTTGCCTGATCCACCTCATATTTTTCTTTGTTTGTCTCCTTCACACGGTTCTCTATTTCTTTCATCTGTCTTTGGAGTTCAGCCTGCATCTCTATGATCGCTTCCTTCTCTTGCTTTGTGACTTGCTTGCTCCTCTGGATCTCTTCCCTTTCTTCCTGAAGTTTAAGCTCCATTTCCATTAAGTCCTCATTCTTTATTTTAACCTCTTCTGATATTTTCTCTGCAATGTTTTTCTCGTCTTTTACACTGGCTTTCATTTTTTCTAGGTTTTCTTTTTCTCGCTGAGTTTCCACCTTGTTCCTTTCTATTTCATCTCGCACTTCCTGTATTTCCTCTTTCAACCTTTCAAGCGTTTCCTTCTCTCGCTGTGCTCTTGCTCTCTGTTCCACCTCTTCTTTCTCTGTTTCACACCATTTTCTTTCCATTTCCTCTTTCAATTGAATTATCTCATACTTAATCTCTTCATAATGCTCTCTCTCTTTCTTGATCTTTTTACTTCTACTCTCTAAATCTTCACGTTGTCTCTGTATCTCTGCTTTAATTTCTTCCATTTTGTCTTTTGCTTGTTTTGTCTCTGTAACTTTATCTTCTATATCTTCTATCTGTCTCTGTATATTAGCTTTCATCTGTGCCATTTGCTCCTTTTCTCTTTTTGTGATCTCCCTGCTTTGCTCAATCTCCTCTTTCATTCTCAGTGTTTCAAAATGAATCTTCTCCAATTCTTGTCTCTCTCTCATTGTCTCTTGCTTTTTCCTCTCCAGGTTGTCTTTTTCATTCTGAATTTCGGCTCTCAATTGTTTGATCACGTCTCTCTGTCGCTTTACTTCTTCACTCCACTTTTTGGCTTCCTCTCTCTCTCTGTCTTGTCTTATTTTTTCAACATCCTTGGCTTTCTGTATTTCAAACTTTAGCATTTCCACTTCTTCCCTCTCTCTCTGTATTTCAGCTCTCTGCTCCAGCTCCTCCTTGACAGTCTCATACCTTCTTTTTTCCATTTCTTCCTTCACTCTCCTGGTGTCATCTTTTTGTTTCTCCAGTGCCTCTTTCGTTCTCTGTATCTCTGCTTTTACGTGTTCCATTCTGTCATTTTCTTGCCTTGTCTCCTCAATTCTTCTCTCAATCTTTTCCATTTGTCTCCGCAGTTCAGCTTTCCTCTGTTCCATCTTATCGTTCTCTCGGTTTGCTTCCTCTCTGTTTTGCTCAATCTCCTCTTTGTCCATTTGAATCGCATACTTGATCTGCTCCAACTCCTTTTGTGTTCTTAATGTTTCTTGTTTGTCCTTCTCAAGTGAATCCTTCTCTAGAAGAATCTCTGCTTTCATTTTGTTTACCAGGTCCTTCTCTTGCTTTGTGTTCTCCCTGCTTTGATCAATCTCCTCTTTAGCTCTTTGCAGCTCAGCTTTTACATTAGCCAGTTCCTCTTTCTCTTGCTGGAGCCTAGCTCTCTGCTCAAGCTCTTCTTTCTCAGTTTCATACCACCTTCGCTCCATCTCTTCTTTTACTTTGTTTATCTCACATTTAATCTGCTCAAATTGTTCTTTTTGTCTTTTAATCTCATCTCTTTTTGTCTCCAGCTGACCTCGCTCCCTGTGTACATCGGCCCTCATCTCTTCCATTTTTTCTTTCGCTTGATTGGTTTCTGCAATTCTTATTTCTATGTCCTCTATCTGTCCCTGGATGTCAGCCTTCATCCATTCCATTTTCTCCTGCTCTTGTTTTGTTGTTTCCTTGCAGTGCTCCATCTCCTCTTTTGCTCTCATTGTCTCATACTTGATCAATTCCAAACTCTGTCTCTCGTTAATGGTCTCATTGCGTCTTCTCTCCAGAATGTCTTTCTCTGCTTGGACATCAGCCCACATTTGTCGAATTCTGTCTTTCTCTATATTTATTTCCTCCTTGTTCTGTTTCAGTTTTTCATTAACATTCTCTATCTCCATTCTCATCAGCTCCATCTTTGTGTTTTGCTCTTGTTTCTCAGTCATTAGCCTTTCTATTTCATTTTGTTGTTGATTGATCTTTGCTTTCATGTGGTTAGTTTCATTTCTCTCCCTTCTTGACCCCTCCCAAAGTTTTTCAATCTCCTCAATTGCTTGCATTGTTTCTTGTCTTCGTCTCTTAAGAGAGTCCTTTTTTGTCTGTATGCCAAGTTTTGGTGTTGTCTTATACTCTAATTTTGTGGTATCTCCATACATTTGATCCAATCCTGTCTGTGTCATCTTACTGTTTCGATGTCTCTGCTCTGTTGTGGGTGAGGAAGAGCAATACATCAGAGTTTTCTCAAAGCAAACCAGTGAGCATTGAATTTATAAAAAGGTGAGCACTTTTTCAGATAAAGAACACTTGGCCATACTTTAAAGCAGCCTTTCTTAAAGGTGCTACATGTAAAATGTCTCACCCATGTGGAAGCTAGGTGAATTGCAACAACAACTAGGCTGCATTTCAAACATCCCCCCATGGTAGAGAGGTTAGTGCTATTCGGGATCCTTGGGACCTCCCTACCATTACCCTAACCATACCCTTACCTACACCTAACCTTACTTTAACTATTTTAAATGTAAACTTTAATGGGGTAACATCAGAGTTGGAACATCCCAAGGATCCCTGATTGCATGAGCCATGGTGGAGACTATTTTACTTTCGGTTTTGTCCACCAACTTCAAACAGCCATAAAAACGATATTTCACAGCAATTTAGATGGTACAATGATTCCCCCCACTATTCAGTATAATAATAAATATAATATGCCATTAAGCAGACGCTTTTATCCAAAGCGACTTACAGTCATGCGTGCATACATTATTTATATTTTTTTGTGTATGGGTGGTCCCGGGGATCGAACCCACTACCTTGGCGTTACAAGCGCTGTGCTCTACCAGCAGAGCTACAGAGGACCACGTGATTGTTTTCTCGCATAAACTGATATTAAGTGAGTGTAGAATTTTAGCAAGCAGGACATTTTTGCAACGAGGAAACTATTTCTACATTGGCCGCTTTCCCCAGGCTGCCATTGTTCGTTGTGCTCAAGGAGGAGATGACCACCATGCCTCTTAGTGATGCCAATGGAAGAGAGGAAGGGTGTAGTTTTCCCATCTTGTCAAATAGAAAGTCTGTATTTTACATTTACTTCATTTTACCCCCCCAAATAAATGAAATATTTTACCACTATTACTGCAGATATATTATGGACATTTTCTGCAATTACAATGCAAAAATTCTACATATAGCTCCTTTAAAGTATGGGTCTCCACCCAAAGTGGACATGCAACAATTTAACTTTTTATTTTTTTTGAACTTACTGAGGTCTCAAGTTTAGAGTTAGCATAGTAGAATACAAGGTAACATTTCGAAATTTGGTTGTGCATCAGCAGTTTTTCTCTTGTTATATCAGTCACTGACAGTCACTCAATTAGCCATGTCAGCTAATTATTTTTTGATTTCTAAGTTAGTCTAGCCAGCTATCTAGTAATCATGGCCAAATACTAACCAGGCACACAGGGCAGGTGACCAAGGGCCCTGATCTCCAGGCCCCCCCCCCCCCATTGATTTTGTTAGTCACTCTCACACAGATATAATATTAACATGGCATAAGTCATGACAAAATGTGTAGAATTGCAGGAAATTATCCAGGGGTTGGAACCAAAATAATTTTCCTATAGTTTCGTTCTGAACAGAACCACTATTTATTTTTTGTTCCGTTCCATTGTTCCGACCAGGATAATAAAGTTATTTTTAACTTGTGAAATCTACATTGTTTTGACATTTAGCTCATTATATTATTACACCAATCAATGCAGATAGAGCAGCTTTCTATGGACAGGCAAGCTAGTTCTTTACATGCTTGATGGACAGACAATTGTAGGGCGCGAGATGTGATTGAAATTTTGCAGGGTGGGGAGAGAGCGTGGTGGACATGGTTGAGGCTTAGCTTGAAGCGCTGGGCATCATGATTTCACGTTCATTATAATGTGTTTAGGATATTAGTAAGCCTATCATTACTTCACTGAATTACATAATTATATACTAGCTAGATCCCAAAGGAGGAGCAGCTAATATGGAGGAACTTTGAATGTCAGAGAGTTTGCTCAACGTTAAGGCTAGATCAACGCCCTGGACCAGAGATGGCTAACAAGTTTGTGTGCGCAGTGGCAATAGAATTCAAAACACGTCTTACCTTTTTGTAGTTAATAAATCCAATGTGAAATGTGATAACTATAGTATCATTTACTAGCCTAGAAAACTAGCAGGGAGACACTGGAAGGAGACGTTTCTGAGTGACAGAATGAGTGCTTTGCATAGGCGCTTTGATTACGTTTTTTGTGGGACTGAAAAAATAATGCTCGGAACGTTATTAACCAGTTCCTATGCTTTTAAAATAATGTTTCTGTTCCTGAACACTAGAGATCACTTTCGTGCCCGGTTCTGTTTCCGTTCCTCGAAAATGTTTGTTATTTTCCGGTTTTAGGTTCTGTTTAAAACTACAAAGATTTCTCTACACCCTATGGATAATGGGTAGAATTGCAGGAGATTAGCTGTAAAACAGCAAAAAAAATTATCACAATTAGTAGAATTGCATGACATTTGTTATAAAGTTTCAGAAATGTCTCTCCGCCCCATGGCAAAATGTGTAGAATTTCAGAAAACGTTCTTTAAAACACCAATATTCTCTTTACGCCTCATGATAAAACTTTAAAACAAAAAAAAACTATCTCCGCCATCAGCCAAATCTTTTGCTCGTCTTTATACACAAAAAACTGTGTTGTTCGTTTAATACACTGCTAAAAAAATAAAGGGAACACTTAAACAACACAATGTAACTCCAAGTCAATCACACTTCTGTGAAATCAAACTGTCCACTTAGGAAGCAACACTGATTGACAATAAATGTCACATGCTGTTGTGCAAATGGAATAGACAACAGGTGGAAATTATAGGCAATCAGCAAGACACCCCCAATAATGGACTGGTTTTGCAGGTGGTGACCACAGACCACTTCTCAGTTCCTATGCTTCCTGGCTGATGTTTTGGTCACTTTTGAATGCTGGCGGTGCTTTCACTCTAGTGGTAGCATGAGACGGAGTCTACAACCCGCACAAGTGGCTCAGGTAGTGCAGCTCATCCATGATGGCACATCAATGCGAGCTGTGGCAAGAAGGTTTGCTGTGTCTGTCAGCGTAGTGTCCAGAGCATGGAGGCGCTACCAGGAGACAGGCCAGTACATCAGGAGACGTGGAGGAGGCCGTAGGAGGGAAACAACCCAGGAGCAGGACCGCTACCTCCGCCATTGTGCAAGGAGGAGCAGGAGGAGCACTGCCAGAGCCCTGCAAAATGACCTCCAGCAGGCCACAAATGTGCATGTGTCTGCTCAAACGGTCAGAAACAGACTCCATGAGGGTGGTATGAGGGTCCGACATCCACAGGTGGGGGTTGTGCTTACAGCCCAACACCGTGCAGGACGTTTGGCATTTGCCAGAGAACACCAAGATTGGCAAATTCGCCACTGGCGCCCTGTGCTCTTCACAGATGAAAGCAGGTTCACACTGAGCACATGTGACAGACGTGACAGTGTCTGGAGACGCCGTGGAGAACGTTCTGCTGCCTGCAACATCCTCCAGCATGGGTCAGTCATGGTGTGGGGTGGCATTTCTTTGGGGGGCCGCACAGCCCTCCATGTGCTCGCCAGAGGTAGCCTGACTGCCATTAGGTACCGAGATGAGATCCTCAGACCCCTTGTGAGACCATATGCTGGTGCGGTTGGCCCTGGGTTCCTCCTAATGCAAGACAATGCTAGACCTCATGTGGCTGGAGTGTGTCAGCAGTTCCTGCAAGAGGAAGGCATTGATGCTATGGACTGGCCCGCCCGTTCCCCAGACCTGAATCCAATTGAGCACATCTGGGACATCATGTCTCGCTCCATCCACCAATGCCACGTTGCACCACAGACTGTCCAGGAGTTGGCGGATGCTTTAGTCCAGGTCTGGGAGGAGATCCCTCAGGAGACCATCCGCCACCTCATCAGGAGCATGCCCAGGCGTTGTAGGGAGGTCATACAGGTACGTGGAGGCCACACACACTACTGAGCCTCATTTTGACTTGTTTTAAGGACATTACATCAAAGTTGGATCAGCCTGTAGTGTGGTTTTCCACTTTAATTTTGAGGGTGACTACAAATCCAGACCTCCATGGGTTGATACATTTGATTTCCATTGATAATTTGTGTGTGATTTTGTTGTCAGCACATTCAACTATGTAAAGAAAAAAGTATTTAATAAGATTATTTCATTCATTCAGATCTAGGATGTGTATTTTAGTGTTCCATTTATTTTTTTGAGCAGTGTATAACAACTTTATGGCGGATACATTTATGGTGAAGAGCATGCTTAGAATGTTCCAACAATTTTATAATAAGATTAACCAAAGATTAGAAATATGAATTAATCTTACCTAGTTTGTCCATGAGTTCAGGCTCTTTCAGTCGCAATATCAGATGAAATGCAAGTTTGGTTTGTGGTGTCTCTCTCTCTAGGGCTTCAAATAGAGCCATCATCTGGTCTTGTGTGGTCTGGGCTGCACGGACGCTGTGTGCCAGCTCTTCTGGGATAAGATGTTGTGAGATCACAGCGTCTGCTATGGGCCCGGATAATCTCACCTGCGCTATGATCTGCTCTCTGAACTCCTCCAAGAAGTCCCCAACTAGGAATGAATGAATTCATTTCAATGAGTTGCTGAATGCATTAATTAATTCATTATCATGTAGCTTTATTTGAAGTATAGTATAGACCCATGGGGCGGCGCACAATTGGCCCAGCGTCGTCCAGGGTTGGGGAGGGAATGGCCGGCAGGGATGTAGCTCAGTTAGTAGAGCATGGCGTTTGCAACGCCAGGGTTGTGGTTTCGATTCCCACGGGGGCCAGTATGAAAAAATAAAAAATAATGTATGCACTAACTAACTGTATGTCGCTCTGGATAACTGCGTCTGCTAAATGACGTAAATGTATAACTGACTAAGATTTTTGTAAGATTCTTTACCATTTTATATAGTTACAGGCGACTCCTGATAAGTGCACATGGGATAAGTACAAACTGAATAAAGTGTATT